AATAATTATCTAAAGGATAAAAAACTTATTATTTTATAATCTATAAGAATAGTATCTTTAGAAGTATTAGATTAAGTTACTTCTTTTATTAGCTATCTTTTAAGAATAATAGCCTTCCTTAAAGTTATAATCTATATAGCTTATATATTAATATTAACTATATAAGCTATAAGGGAAAAGCTTAGGATTTTCTTTATTAATTTTAATAGAATAAATTAAAGCTAAATAGTAGTTTTCTATAACTAGAGAAGAATAAATAATCCTTTTAATAGAGATTTTCTAGTTATTTATTATTTTTACTAAGTTAGAGAGTTATTAGTTTAAAAGCTAATTTTAGAGGCTTTTAATATTTTAGTTAGGTTTAGTTCTACTTCTCTTAGTTTATAAAGGGGGGGAAGCTTCCCCTCTTAATACTTTTAGAGGTAAAGAAAATAAGGTATAAATAGGGGTAGTAATTTAGAGGGTTTACTTCTAAATAGCTTTAAAACTAAACTAATTTATTAAATTAACTTTAAACTTATTAAAATCTCTTTTTTTAAATAATTTATAAATATTAGTTCTTATAAGTAGGGCTATTTTATCTAAAGCTAATTAATTAAATCTTAATATAATTACTTAGATAATTTAAAAACTAGTTATAATATTAAGGTTATATCTTATAGTTTTAGTTTAGATATTATTAATTTTTTATAGAAACTATATTACTACTTTATAGTCTAAATTATCTATTATTAGAGTTATAGAAATAATCTAATTAATTTAGTTATTTAGAAGTTCTTAATAATCCTTATTTATAGCTTTATAGTACTAAATAAAGTATATTTTTACTTATAACTAAGCTTTCTTACTAAATTTTATTTAATTATTAGTTTAGAAAGGTATATCTATATAGAAAATAATACTTAATATTTTTAAAATATTAGTTATCTCTACTACTTCTACTATAGCTTTATAACTTTTAAGAAAGTTTAGAATATTATTTCTAATAAAAAATAGTACTTTAGTTATTTTAAGTTATAGTATTTTAAACTTTTAGAGTTTTAAGTTATATATTCTAGAAGCTTTTTAATAAGATTTAATAGAGTTTAAATAGTTTTATATTATTTTATCTTTTAAAGAATTCTCTTTAGGTATTATATTTATACTAGAGGTATTACTTTTAGAGATTATTATTTTAAAGACTTTAGTTTCTATAATTACTTTAGAACTTTAATTTAAATTTAAGATTAAGGGGGATCTCTCTTATTAAGGTTAATAAAAAGAAGGACTTATAAAAGGACTTATTAAAATATTACTAATAATTAAGTTAACTTTATTATTTATTATTTCTAATCTAAATTATTTATCTTAAACTAAAGTTAAAGTTTTTAGAACTTTAGAGTTTAGTAATATTATTCTAAAGAAGATATAAGTAAATTAATAGAAGAAGAAGTAGAAGAAAGCTTTTCTAAAGAAGGCTAAAATAAAAAGATTATATAAAACTTAAGTAAAGTTAATAATTTATTAATAGAAGGAGTAATAAAAGAATTCTTATAATATAGGTTTAAAAGGATAATTAAAAGTAAGGGAAAGGATAAAGAAAGAAAAAGATATTTTTATTATTATTTTTATTTTTATTTTTCTCTCTTATCTAGAAAGTATATTTATATTTATTATCTTTCTTCTTTTCTATTATTTTAATAGTAAAATTATTTTATACTTTAGGTTTTTTTTTCTTCTCTTTATAAGAGAAGTTTAGTTATTATTAGTAGTATTTTTTATAACTTTATTCTATAATACTCCTCTTTTATAAATTAAATTTAAAATTTAATAAAATCTATAAGAAAACTATAATACTAATTATAGACTTTAAAAGGAGTATTTTACTCTAATTATTTATTTATTACTTAAGAATATAGAGGAGGAGTAATAGAAGAAATATATATATCTTCCTTTCTATAGAGTTAGTATAGAATTATTCTTAAAAGGGAGAAATACTCTTAGTTAAGCTTAGAAAATATTCTCCTCTCTTATTTTTAAAAAGTTAATATAGTTATAATATTTTTTTTTTTTCCTTTTTAACTTCTTATACTTTTATACTTATAATAGTTTATAATTTAAGAAAGTTAGATCTTAATATTTCTATATATAAATATAACTTAGATTTTAAATTTTTAAGCTTTTTAGTACTTCCCCTTATTAGTTAATATATTATTAGAAACCTTCTAATAAGTTTAAGTAAAGAGAAGTTTCTTAGAATAGATTAATTAATTTTATTCTTTTTAAGGTTTATAAGAGGAGTAAAATAAATCTTATTACCCTTATAATTTTAGCTTTAGAAGTAAGAGTAAAATAGGTTTACTTTATCTTAGTTACTCTTAGGTTATTATTATAATAGCTTATAATAAAGTAATATATAATAATTTTAAATAAGTAAATAGTAAGCTAATAAGGAGGACTAATTAAGTTTATATAGAACCTTATTTACTTTCTTCTATCTAATTAGATACTCTTCTTTTTAAAGTTTTTTAGACTTCTATAAGTTTAGTTAATCTTTAATTTTAAGTATCTAAGCTATTACTTTTTATTTTAAGAAAATAGAGGTTAAAAAGGTATTAATTAAATTTTCTTTTAGTATAGTAATACTTAAATTACTTCTTATTTTAAGCTTTTCTTATTTTAACTTAATAGAATAATATAAGATAATTATAAAAGGAATCCTCTATAGTAATTTAGTTTACTTCTTTATATTAGTTACTAATTTTATAATAAGGTAAGAGAGAAAACTTATTAATTATACTAAATACTCTACTTTAAGTGAAAATTCTTTAAAAATACTTAAATACTTATATATTAATTTTCTAAATAACTATAAGAGATATAAAAATAAATATATAAATATAAGCTTAATTAATTTATATTTTATTTATATTTTCTACTCTTATTATACTTTAAATTATATAATCTTATAGGAGAAAATAGGCTATTAAGAAGAAGTTTAGTAGTATTATTTCTATAGTATTTTACTCTATTTTTATTTTAAATAATTAAAGAGGTATAGTAGAGATTAAGAAGGAGGATAAAAATAAAGCTAATTAAAGCTAAAAGGGCTTAAAAATACCTATCTTTATTTAATTTTTAAAAAGTAGGAATTACTAAATTTTTTCTATAAATTAAGCTAAAGAGTTCTAAAAGCTCTTTTAAAAGGATAGTTACTAAAGTTATTAAGAAAAAAATAGAAAAAATATAAAAATAAGTATATTTCTTATTTATCTATTTAGTTTTTTTTATTATAAACTAATTAGGCCTCTATTTACTTATATAAGTTATTTCCTTCTATAATAACGCTTAACGCCTATAAAGCTACCTATTTGACCCTTTACCTTTAAGTTAAAATTGCTAAAAATTCTAAGTTCTCTGCCCCCTTCTAATATTAGGTAGAAATATTATAAGGGTAGGTAAAGTGTTAATAGAGGTATTAAAAAAGTATATAAATAAGTAAGGCTTTAAGAGATTAATTAATAGTAGTAGTAATAATAATAATAGTAGTAATATTAGTAGTAATATTAAAAAAGGGTTATTTTTAAGGGCTAATATAAGGGTTAAAAATAGGCTTTTTTTAAGCCTTAATAAGGGGGCTAAGAATATATTAATCTAATAGTATAATAAAAAATATATTTCTAGTACTTCTAATACTTCCTAATAATATTAGCTTTACTACTAAGAAGTATTTAGCCTTACTTTACTACCTATTAGCTTAAAGGTATTACTAAACTAATATCTATAACTACTTACCTTTTTTTTTATTTTTAAATATATTATAATAAGACCTAATAAGCTAGTAATAAGTCTACTATATAGGTAATTATAGAGATATTAGTTTAAAACTAGTTTAAGTTATTTATTTTAAATATAAAAGTTATAAAGGTTATAACCTTAAACGATTAGAATAAGGCTAAGTACTAAAATATCTAAGTAAGCTTTTTTTATTTTTTAAAAAATCTTTTAAAAATTATAATTAGTCTAGAGGCTAGACTTTCCCTTTTTCTAATTAACTTCTAACTTATTTAAGTTAAATAAGTTAATAGTAATAGTAACTTAGCTATTTAAATCTCTAAATAGCCTTAATTTAATTAGTTATTTAATTAACTTATTTAAATAGACTTAGTTTAGGTGTAGCGCTAGTTAATAGTACCTTTGGTCTCTACGTGTATGTGTAGCAAGGATGACGTTTGGGGCCTATTGTGTTGATATCTAGAAACTTCCCTCGGCAATGCAGTCACGCTATATATTCGAAAATCCCTGTATCAGATTTAATATGTAAGTCCTGGGCTGGCGAAGGACTTGTAGGAAGCCTGATCGCAGGGACAAGATATCAGCCACTATCGGCATGCAGGAGCTCCCCGTGATGGCCCCCCACTAAAGATAGTGGATTGCATGGTAGCTGGGATCCGTGCGGTGCCGTTCAAGATAGGAAAGCTCGGCACACTAGGATCTTTGCGGGGGAGCGGCTTGGAAATCTGGGGAAGGACCTGAATCAATCATGAGCCACGGATGTAGATCTACGATGCATTCTTTGGACGTGCAAGGAGATTCGGACAGGCGGAGACATGGTTCTGGTGGTATCTCTCTCCATGCTGACGAAGCCCAGTCACACTGCAAGCAGACGAATCGAGCGACATGCCAGCCATGATTTGGACGTTGGTGCAGGTAATGGGTTGACTGGATCTTAGTGTGTTCAGAAATGCGTCGGTGTAGACGGCAGTCAGTCTGTAGCTGAAGAAGGGGAGGGAGGGGTAGTGCACGTACCTTTGTCCGGCTGAATCTCCGAGGTCTTGATAAGACGTGGACGTGAGAGCACCGCAGCTTTACATATAAAGTTCTTGGAGTCAGACCACGGAATTCAGATTCCTTGCAACTCTCTATCAACATACGATAATCATCCCAAAGTCTCGGGTAGTGCTTTTCTCGACCGATCTTTGTGCCACTATCGTTCGACCAGACCGTGCGTAGGACTGACTATGACCGGCGAATATCGCAATGACGGCAAGACAGCCGAGCCAAAAGCTGTTGGAAGCGATGGGCAATCGGTTATTCTTGGAGAGCTCCATGGTATGGACGATGATGCCATCCTACGAGCACAAGGACACGCCCCGGCATTGAAGAGGACATTCAATACTCTTGGAACCCTTGGTTTAGGCTTCAGTGAGTTAAATTTGATGTTCAAACCTTGCAGGGCTCGCTGAAAACTAAAGCTTGGAGGTAGAAGTATGCTAACGTTGTGATGTCTTTAGTATCACAAACTCGTGGTTGTCGTATGCGAGTTGCTTTGGGCAGAGTATGATATATGGTGGCCCGCAAGCAACAGTATTTGGCCTGATCGTGGCTTGCTTTGTACAATGGATTGTAGCCGCTGGCATGGCTGAAGAAGCCTCTGCTTTTCCGTCTTCGGGAGGTACGCCATTTGAAACGCTAAAAGAGCAAAACATGCGATGGTCATTAACAAATAGTTACAGGCCAATACCACTTTACATCTATCTTGGCCCCGAAAAAACACAAAAAGTTTGCGGCCTTCTCGGTTGGGTTGCTCAGCATCGTCGGGTGGTGGGTCATCACTTGTTCAGGGCTGTCCAATAATGTTCAGTCGATCATGGGTATGGTTCAGTTTGTGAATCCCAGCTTCGAACCCCAACGCTGGCAGTTTTATCTGGTGTACCTTGCACTTTTAGTTGTTACTCGTAAGTCCCATCTTACTCCATCCATCAGCAGACGCTTCCCACCCAACTCCTGAAAGCTAACTTGAGTCTCCCAAGTCGTGCCGATTTTCACCATCCCTCAGCGCCATATTGGGAAGTGGACAACTCTCTGCTTAGTTCTGTCAATCCTCGGATTCTTCATTGTCACCATTGTCATCCTGACGATGTGCAAGTCATTTCAGCCTGCTAGTCAGATCATCAAATTCGACGGTGCCAGTGGATGGCCGAATGGGATGGCTTGGTTCATGAGCATCGGCAACGCCATGTACGCCTTTGCGAGCCTAGATGCCGTAATCCACATTGCGGAGGAGATGCATCATCCCGGGAAAGAGATTCCTCGTGTCATGTAAGTGTTGCGATGCAGCAGATATCGCGTCATTTAGCGGCAGCTGATGTGTATGCCTAGCAACTTGACTCTAATGATCGGCCTGGTAACATCAGTGCCGTTCATCATCGCGATGATGTTCGTGATAAAAGATGTTGAGGCTGTGCGGGGTGCAATTCTACCTAGTCTTGAAGCGTTTTATCAAGCAACAGAAAGCAAGACTGCCGCTTTAGGCTTGCAAATACTGTTGACTATTCTGTTTTATAGTAAGTTCCGCCCCTCGAGATCTGACAGTCAGAGAGACTGATGATGCTGTTCAGCGTGCATGCCAAGTCAGTGGATCACATGCGGACGTCTGACATGGGCTTTTGCTAGAGATGTAAGTGCTGAGCATTGGTGTGTCCCAAGGACGGAGATTGACGTTTTCATCAGAACGGACTTCCGAGGTCAAAATACTGGACTGAGATCCACTCATACTATCAGTTTCCTGTACGAACCACTCTTCTCTCGGCAGCCTTCTGTGCGATCTATGGATTGCTATATGTTGCGAGTACTCAAGCGTTCAACTCCATCATCGTCTCCGCAGTCCTCGCAGTAAACATCTCCTACGTTGTCCCGCAAGCTATCTGCCTCGTGCAAGGCCGAGGGAAGACTCTTCCCAATCGTTCATTCGATCTTGGAATCTGGGGGTACTTTTGCAATGCATTTTCTCCTGTTTGGATAACCGTCATCGGTATCGTTATCTGTTTCCCAAATATCCTACCTGTGACGGCTGCTTCAATGAATTAGTAAGTTCCGTTCCAATGACTTGATCCTTTTGGTCTGGAACATTTCTACTGACATGACACGTAATCTAGCGTATGTGTGACTTTGGGGGCAATTGGCTGTCTCATCATCGGGACATGGTACTGTATTAGGAAGCAGTTTCAAGGGCCTGCTATCGACTGGGCCATGCTCAACGACCAGAACGCTATTGATTAAGGCAATGGAATGGCCCACCGTCGTTGTCATGGTACACCTAGGATATCTATCGAAAAGATCGTACGAGTACTTAGCAGATTCAGTATTGCTGTTTCCAATAATGCATTGTAATTCATGGCTTCTGTGAACTAGTGCGATGACGATTGCTCCTCCTGGCTGAGAATTACAGTATCCTATGGTCCCGTGATTTGTACTTGTCTTCGCCTCTGACGTTCCTCACGATTGCTATGTTGACCTGATGTGTGGAAATGGCCATTGCACTTCATCTCCATTTTCAGTACAAATACTTCAGACCATGTAAACTGAGGAGCAGAGAGCGAAAATTGAAATCGATTCCTATGACAGATTTTCTAATTTACAAGTGCGCCTTCTTCTTCCTAGTTGCCCTCGTCAGAGGCGAGATTGACCAAGCCTCCCCTTGGGTCTGAGTTCCGTGGCAATCGTTTGAGCATTCATGATGCCCTGTTCAAGTGCACCATCAATAGAGGCTCGCCAGCCATGAGCCCAATCACCACTAGCAAAGAAGATATCTCCATGTCTGCTCTGAAGCTCATCCTGATACTTGGACATGTATCCAGGCCTCCACCAGGCCGGACCCCCTTTAGAGTATGGATCGGTACACCAATTGTGGAATATCTGAGCATCATTAACATCTGTGGAATCGGATCAAGATCATCATAGTGACTTACCATTCTCTGAACATTCATCGGGTGGAGCTGTTCAAAGGCTTCGACAGCTGCCTTCGGGTTTTCCTCTGGTACAAATCTTCCTTTCTCATCCTTTCCGAAACCGACAAGATGGACATTCCCATTTGGAAGGACACCATCGCCGTAGCCGTACATAAGAGTACCAGGAAAGCGCATGCCGTTCCAACCCTCGAGCTCAGGGTTGCTTACATCGACGTGTATCTTCGACATCTGGTTAACATGTCCCAGCTCGATGGCTTCGCGGCGAGTCGTCGAGAGTGGGGGTATGAACTGGACATCCTTCAGAACGTTAAGTGGAATGGTGCAAACCACTTTGAGAGCCCTGAACATTTGTCCTGAAAGACCATGGACCTGAATACCATCCGATCGTTGGACGATGGAGCTGACTGGGAACGAGAAGATGTAATCGAGCCCATAGTCAGCGGCTTCCCCGAACATTCGCTTGGCGAGGGCTGTCTGTCCTTGTCTCAACTTGTATCGAAGCCAGATATCCCCGAAGTTCTTGGAGTCGTGCGTCATAAGAGCGTGAGATCGTGCCATGTCCCAAAAGCTGCTGTTTTCCATGTCGCCTCCTGAAATGTGCAAGAGCAACGATACAAGAAGTCCTCTTTCTTCGGCGCTGAGCTGGTCTTTGATTTGCACGTATCGGTCCTGACAAGACATCTGATCCCATTTCTCGATGGTCGATCGATCAACAACGATATTACTGAGCTGTGCGTGAGGCAAAGGGCAGATTGTACGACAATGTTGGCCATCGACATTGACGAAAAGATCCCAGGCTCGAGATGTCATAGCGCCGGCTTCTTCGTGGGATGTTCTTCTCGGCTTCGCACCTAAATAGTCCGATAGGATCAGTTTCAGTGAAGCGGGTGTGATGATTGCAATGGTAAAATACCTGGAACGTTAATGGTATAGTATCCATCCCTTTTATCCGCGATGCCAGTTTCCATGAGATCACGATCCATGTTGTATCTTGTCATCTCTCTGAGCAGGTATCCCATGTGGTGGGTGACCCAGGTGCCTCCCATTTCGTAGAGAAATCCTGTTCGACGATGTCAGCAGAAGCTTTCGATGCACACGTAAGTCTCGTACAACATACCATCTTTTCTTACCGTATAGGTTCGTCCCCCAATACGGTCTCGAGCTTCAAGCAGCAACACGGAGTGGCCTGGCGCTAGTGTGTTAGTATCTGGGACAGCATAAGTCTTGGACAGGTCCAAGATCCTACCTTTGGTTGAAAGATCGCGCGCGGCTGCAAGGCCAGCATATCCTGCGCCAATCACAATGGTGTCATATGAGCGGTTGGGAGCCAATTCCAACCGTCTAGAAGGTTGAATAACTGCATCACTTTCGAGGCCCTTCGAAACCGAGACAGACTTGGGAGTCCATTCGTACCCATCGTTGGTCTTCTTCTCAGGCGCCATGTTGTAAAGATGTTAACTCAACTATGCAACAAATGGTAACATGCCCCAGGTCTAGTGCCTGATCCACAGCAGTTAAGAATGCTGATCCGTTTTGACAGAAGATATCAGACAATTCCATCTTTGGTCCAATGCCGGGTTACTGGAATGCACTCCAGCTATGTCTTGGAGAGCCTGGTCTTTGGTTGCATCAAAGCCACTGTTAGTTTCAGGTTGTGGCCATTCAGCGACTTTTGGAGAAAGTTTGCGGGGTTGTTGGCATTATTTCCTATTTAGGAAATATTTCGTACTCCCTGGACCGGGTCCGAACTCCGGTCCTCCCCGCAGCAGGTGGGAACATCTACCCAACAAGGGTAGGAAATTGGTTGACTTGCCAGAAGAGGCGGAGTTAATCCACTCAAGAGTAATCGGTCGTAAGGTCGCCGATGATAATTGCAGCAGAAATGCATCGTCATCAATACGTTGATTGTAAATAAGAAGAAGCGACAAACTTCATCTTCCCCTGTTATCTTCATCAAACCTTCATATCCAATACTTCACAATACATCAGCCATCCAATTGCTGTTAGTGTGTGATCTCATTACCATTCCCAGATTCAACCATGGTAGACTTTAAGGGATTGAGCCTTGAAGGCAAAGTTGCCATCGTCACCGGAGCTTCTAGGTATGAACTGGCATCGATTTGCTAGTATCATGGCGACGCGCTTTGCTAATTACAAAATAACAATAGAGGGCTTGGTGCAGGTATCGCCGAACTCCTTGGAAAGCGTGGGGCCAATGTGGTCGTCAACTACGTGTCCGAGGGCAGCCGCGAGGGTGCGGAGAAAATTGTGAAGACGATCGAGGCCAACGGTACCAAAGCCGCACTCTGTCAGGCGGATGTCAGCAAGCTTGCCGATATTCCTAAGATCGTTGACAGCGCCTTGAGCATCAGTCCCACCGGCAAGATTGATATTCTCATCCACAAGTACGGCTTCCCCCCGGGACGAACATCACTTGATGCTGACAATCGTACTCCAGCGCCGCGCAAGGCAATGAAGCCAATCTTGTGGACACCACACCCGAATTTTATGAGAGGCATTTCGATACAAATGTGAAAGGCCCGATCTTTCTAACCAAGGCCGTCGAGCCACACCTCCCAAAGGGTGGACGTATCGTTTTCATCTCGTCTGCAGGCGCTCGCCTGGGTGTCGCAGGACAAACGGTATACGCCGCCACCAAAGCGGCCAATGAAGCCCTTACTCGGACTTGGGCGAAGGAACTGGGGCAATCTCATGGGATCACAGTCAACAGTGTCAACCCAGGTCCGATCGCAACAGGTGAGTCACTGCACAAATACACGTTTCCTGTATGTGTACGGGGATTCTCGCTAATGCTAAGCCAAACATCTAGACCAATGGTTCCAGAGTGATGAGCAATTTCTGAAGGATATGCAGCCATTGATTGAGTCTACTCCGGCGGCTGCTCGGGTTGGCGAGGTTGATGACATTGCTCCTTTGGTAGCGTTCCTGTGCTCTGACGACGCTCGTTGGACCACCGGCTCTACCTTGTCGGCAAATGGAGGATTGTACAACTAGAACAAGTAGAACAAGGATCTGTTTATGACGTATGACGTTTGGACACGTATCTAGCATCCCATTTAGTAAAATAAATCATGGTTCCAGATCCAGCCGCAAGAATTCTCGCATCAATAGATGGTGCACATGGGAATTTTGTGCTAAGAAGATGCCCTGGCGCTTGTAAGATAGGGTGATAGTGAGATGGGACGCAGATCCCGGCCTCCGGACTGAAGCGGAATATATGACCCGCAGAGCGGAAGAGGGCCCGGCACCGGAGTCTGCCCACCAGTCTCCAATTACCCCGCGTTATTTCGTATTTTTGATGGGTCGGACAGGCTTAGACCCCGATAAGACATCGCAGATGCCCCAACGCGGCAACTGTCGCCTATTTGGAACAGAATCTGGGGCCTTTGAACTCTCCAAACTCGACGCTCACATTGCCTGCTTATGTTCTTCACATCGACCGTTTCACCACTGTAATATTTCCGAATATGCCGCAATCAGCAACGAAGCCGTCACGAGGATTCAGATTCGTTGGGGGGCCCAGCCGTAAACGCAAGCCGAACTCTACCCCTTACCGTCATAACCGAGCTCGTCGCAATTTGAACGACCATTCTCGAGATCATCCAGAATTCCCGGGTGTCACGAATGGCGATCTGCATTCTGCGGCTAATTTGAATGCCCAGGCAGAGGGGCTGTCGCAGGATTGCATTACTGTAAGACCGGAGGATGAATCTGGATCTCGGACGCCACAGCCCATGAATATGAACGAAGGAGCGTCTTCAGAGCCATCAGGGCTTTCTGGTACCACACTACCTCCAACTACGCCTTCGTCATCGCAGATGCCTGGAATAGACGCGACCTTACCCATGCAAGCCCTGCCTGTGTCGAATGTTGATCCTTTCTGGGGAGCCAACGGGCAGTTCACGGGCTACGAATTCGACTCCATGGAATTTTCCTCACTGTTGACACCATTCCTGGAGACCCTAGATGGCCTTGCTGGAGTCGATGACTTTTCCTCCTGTAGTCCGTCGGGCACTGATGCCTCCGAGAATCTCGAATCACAGAGAGACGACCAAATGCAAGGTATCTCAAGCCAAGTTGACCCCGCTATGATCTCGGTGCACCGAGCATCAAGGACCATCGAATCGCCGAAGGTCCCATCACCGAACGAGGTGACTAGCACACTCGATGACCTTCTGCTTCAGTGTATTTATACCTATCACGATTAATGCTACATAGCTAACTAACCAATTAGACGACCAAGAGTTCTGCGTACTCCCATTGACATCTGATTTTGACGCCAACCCTTTCAGATGCGGGTCCTTGAAGTGGAAGAAATCCGATATACTCCTCCACTCGATTCTCGCATTATCCTATCGACATATCAATCGGGTCACAGGGAAGTGTGGAAGAGAAGCTAGCCAGCACAAAACGACTGCTTTAAAAATGCTTGAAGAGATCTTCTTGAAGCGGTCCTCATTCTATTCACTCTCAACGTACGTTTTGCCGAATAGGGTGCTTCTCAAATCATCAACTGACCGCCAAAAGTGCTCTTTATCTGCGTATGGCTCGTGGACGTCGCAGCTTCACGCTGCACATCGGGTTCTCACAACATTTGATAAGTCCGGAGGAAAACGAACGCCTAGAGTAGAGGCTCAGATTTCCATGCTCATTTGGTAAATCATGATCTCTGTTACAACGTGTGAGCAGGTGCTAATACTTACCTCAGGTGGGACGTGACTTTAGCTCTGACAAAACGAAAGGGCTGCGTTCTGCCTCACACATATCACTCCAATCTTCATTATCAGACTCCCGATAATGAAAAGGCATTCTACAACGTGTCTGGTTGTCCAGAAGAGTTATTTGGATATATGACACGTTTAGCAATGTACGCAAGAGAGTTTGAGCTCGCCACCACGATGACATGCGTCACCTTTGATACAGGTCCTGTCCTGTCGGTGGAGCAAGCTATCAAAGACTGGAGGGCACCTGCATATTCGGACTGCGTTGATATCGAAACCTTGGAGAACGAAGGGTCCCAGAATGTGGATCAGCAGGAGATTGAAGAAGCATTGAACTACAAGCAAGATCTACACCACTGCGCCGAAGCTTGGAGATATGCTCTGCTTCTTTACATTGAGAGAGTATTCAAATGGGACAGGAAGTCTACTTCCCTTCCAGTTTTGGGTTTGCTGGCCCGAAAAGCTCTCAATCATGTCAGCTCGTGCCGGCGAGGCACCATGCTGCAAAAGCAGCTCCTGCTCCCAACCTTCTTGGCAGGGTGCGAAACAACGAATTCGGAGCTGAGAGAACAGGCGAAGCAGTATTGCGAGTGGTGGAATGATAAGACAAGGTATGACATGTTCTTGACAGCTGCCGCTCTGCTCGAGGAAGTATGGGCAAAATACGGATCCGGAAGTTGGTGGGGGTCTATCATGGACGAGAAGTGTCAGCCAGGGGCACATGGATACACGCAAAATCAGTATCTGCTAGGATGAGGCGCAATATTATGGGCTACCTCAAGGCGTTTACTTATGGATTGTTCAGATTACAACGGTGGGTTTAGGAATACAGGCGTCTTTCGGTTGGGGTTGCTTGATATCTGTCTCTGGATATTCATTCAGAATAGTTCTGAGTTATTGCTAGGACAAATCCACTTCAAACTACGTCAAACTCGATAGTACCCCAGCCTTCGAAGTTGCAAGACCAATGACCCGGCTCCTCCATCGGAACTGCTTGTAGACAGCTACCAGGCAAAATGACTTGGCCTGGGCTGAACTCCACGTCATATTTAGAAAGCTTATTGACTAGCCAGGCAACAGCTGAGACGGGATTACCGAGTACGTTCCGGGTGTTGCCAACCATAACCTCTCGGTCATTGAAACGAAGAATCCCTCGAGTGTTGCTCAAAGTGAGGTCGGTAAGCCGCCGGGGGGTGCCACCAAGAATCACAGCTCCAGTGGAGCCATTATCTGCTAGAGTATCCGCCAAGCCGATGGCCCAGTTTTTCACCCTCGAGTCAATGATTTCGATGGCGGGTATGGCGTAGTCTATGGCGTTGATGACATCGGCCACGGTAACATTCGGCCCCTTCAGATGACCCTTCAGCACAAAGGCTGGTTCGAGCTCCACAAATGGCTTGATGTAATCCTTCCGCGGTAATGTTGTGCCTTCGTAGATGAATGTGCTCGCGAGAAGAAAACCATAGTCTGGCTGATCGAGTCCGAAAGCATCTTGCATGACTTTCGCAATGTTCCCTAGCTTGTACCCCACAAGACGGTCGCCGTACTTGCTGACCGCATTCTTGACGGTTACCCTTTGGACTTCAAAGGCGCTGTCAGGATCGAGACTTTCCCAGGTCTTGGCAGGCGGGTCGATGGGCTCTCGGCTTATACGAGCAGCTCTAAGAGCTTCTGAAATTTGTTCAAGTTCGGATTCTTGCATTACTGTATTGGCGAAAGAGTAGAGGCTTAGTGGAAGAGGCCGCGATCAAAAGTCAAGTGCATAGGATAGTGAAGCGATGCTTAATGAGAGAGGCGCTTTGATGCTTTCTATTATCTCATGGTATTGAGAGTAACAATGTCCTCAAGCTATATAAGTCTCATAAACATTTGCACATGGACAAGTTCCAAGAATTCTTCTGCCCGCCCAGTATCTTTTCTGATAAGCCGACTGAAGACCGATGGTTGATGCCCGGAACGACAGGAGCACCTCGGGATCTACGTTAACCATCGGCGAGGCTCGGACCTTATCTGGAACGCAACATGGCAATCCGAAACTTCAAATAACTGACGAATGAATTCAATTCCGTTGTCATAGTCTTATCTTTTGGTCCGACCCTCCCGTTGAAATTGAACCCCCTGTAGTCGGGCGCCCGATTCTATCGGACCCTAGCTCCCGCTCCCGATCCCTGCAAAAACGCATCCGAGACTCACTACGGAGGCTGGACGGAATCGCTTCGGCTGCATCCAACGTAAAGCATTGCACTTTAAAGCCATAGCCGCCACATACTGAATTCGTTGGTGCTTTTGCCAACTCTGCCTACCAAGAAGTGTGTCATAGTGTCGCCCGTCTTGGCGCCTCTACCCCAGATGATCGTCTCTAGCTGTCCGGTGTCTCGGCTTTTGTGCAGACGTAATGTCAAGCAGCTCATTGGTCCCGAGCCGGAAGGGGCCCTCACTTTCTAGCTTGACATCCTCGTAATAGATCAAGAAATCAGGGCGGAACCTTACTGGATGAACCATGTGATCGACTGCTCAAGCTGTCAGCTGAACCTATCCCATCTCGGGTTAGACCTCAGGGGCCTGTATGCCATCCGACCCTTACGAACCGATGAAGGCGACCGGGACTGTTGCGTAGTTCCTGGATAGGCTAGTCCTGCTGTTTTCAGGGCGTATACGCGACGCCGACGTTGCAATGATAATAACCGGTGATTTGGCCTCTATTTGTATTCTGGGAAGTTTTAAACATCGACCGGTCCGCGAAACTTTCCCATCATCATCGCACTCTCGACCCATCATTATACATACGTCATCTTCTCATTGATATCATTTTCTAGGCACATCATTAGCGTCAGACAACTTTGGAAGCACACATCATGAGCTCAACCGAGTCAAAGCTGTCCGCAAAGATGACTGAGCTGAAAAAGGACAGCGGCGCGAGTGAAGTGGGAAGCGGCGAGATTATCCACAATCCTGAACACCTGCAACGCCATCTCACTCCACGTCAAGTCCAATTCGTGGCAATCGGAGGCTCGATTGGAACCGCTCTTTTCGTTAGCATCGGGTACGGTCTGATGCGTGGCGCAGGCAGCCTGTTGGTAGCGTTTGCTTTGCAAGCCTGCGTAATTGCCCAAGTCAACAACTCGTTGGCGGAGATGACTGTCTTCATGCCAATCAGTGCATCTTTTATCCACCACGCCAGGACCTGGGTTGACGATGCCTGGGGCTTTATGGTCGGCTGGAATTTCTTTCTCTTTGAGGCGCTGCTCATCCCGTTTGAGATTACGGCTTTGGATATGGTCCTGACGTTTTGGCGAGACGATATTCCTTCCGCTGCAGTCATCACGACGTGCATCGTCCTCTACGCGTAGGGCTCCAATGTTCATGGCTTATCTCTGTGAAGCTGACAATAAGCCCTCCAGGGCATGCAACGTGCTCGTTGTTAAGTATTTTGGCGAGACAGAGTTCTGGTTGGCTGGAGGCAAGCTCCTGCTCATTTGCATACTCTTCTTTTTCACCTTCATCACAATGGTGGGAGGCAACCCGCAACATGACGCCTACGGTTTCCGTAATTGGTCCAAACCGGTATTGCTCCATTTTATCTTTTTCCGTGTATCACATTCAATGCCGTGATAAGTACTGATCAAACTGCAAGGCTCCTTTCGTTGAGTATATCGACACAGGCAATCTCGGTCGATTCCATGGCTTTCTCGCCGCATTGTGGCAAGCTGCTTTCACAATCGTCGGTCCCGAGTATTTGGCCACTGTGGCTGGTGAAGCCCAAAATCCTCGGAATACCATGAAGTCTGCATTCAAATCCGTTTACTGGCGCTTCGGTATCTTCTTTATTGGCGGCGCACTATGCGTTGGAATTGTCCTGCCAGCTAATGATCCTACTCTGCTCCGGGTGCTGAGCAACGGCGAGACGGGCACCGGCGCCGCTTCGCCGTTTGTCATTGCCATGAAGAACATGAACATTGGTGTTCTCCCACATATCGTTAATGCTCTGCTTCTGACAAGCATCTACTCTGCCGGAAACGCTTACGTCTACTGCTCATCCCGCAGTCTGTATGGCTTGGCCATCAACGGACATGCGCCGAAGTTCTTGACCAAGTGCACCAAGCAAGGTGTTCCTGTCTATTGCCTTTTGGTTTCGGTCGCTTTCGCCTGTCTTTCTTACTTGAAATTGGGGAGCGGTTCCGTTACCGTTTTGACCTGGTAAGCATGCACGATGACTGATTTCACTATCTGGGGTCTCATCTATGATGAGTGTGAAATCACTGCTAATCGGCACTTCAATAGGCTGACGAACCTAATTACTGGTGGAACCTTGGTAACATACGTCGTCATCTGCGTCAACTACCTCTTCTTCTATCGAGCCCTTCAAGCCCAGAACTTCAACAGATCGGATCTCCCGTATGTCGGGTACTTACAACCATATGGCACATGGATCGCCTTGGTGTGGCTCATTGCTGTCGAGCTTTTCTATGGTTACGCCATATTTCTCAAAGGCCGCTGGGACATTGGATCATTTTTCAGCAGCTACACTATGGCCATTCTTGCAGTTCTGCTCTTTGGTGGATGGAAGATCTTCAACCGCACACGGTTCATCAGGCCTGAGCATGCTGATCTAGTCGGAATCCGACCCGCAGTCGATGAGCACGAAGCGTCCATGATTGACAAAGAGGAATTGGGCTTGCGCAGACGCATGGCACAGTTGCTCAATGCTGGCTTTAGATTTCACCGAGATTAGCGACGCTCGGTCTAGATCATCGGTACGCAGGCTTACGTTCAGACGTGCACTTGCAAAGTCGCTCAATGATGGGTTATCAATCTAGCGCTTTGTAAAGGTAGAATCGGCCCGTCAATATCATGCAACTATGCAGTCTATGTGTGTTCTTATGCAAAACTCTAGTATGGTGTCGCCGATTTAGCGGTATGAGACCTCCGCATGTCCAAACGCACACTGTCAGCAGCTCCGTTGACGGCTTCTGCGAGCGAGATAACGACGAAAATCAAAGTTCTAACGGGCCAAGAATTCCAACGCATAGTTCTCGAATTTTGAATCAATGCATAACTGGCCCCGTTTAGGAACAAAGTGTTTGTAGGTTCATCCGGTCGAGCCGGTGTTGTGGGACCCGTCCAACCGGCGTATCCCCGCGCCGGAGGTTGACGATATCCGGGTGTTCGGAGAAATCCCCCGCTATCCTGCGCTTACTTTGTCGCCAGGGCTCGTGGTCCCTGAAAGTGATATGCATGCTGTGTGACGAACTCTCAAGGATGTGTCATGGCGCCGGCAGTTATTTGCGGGGTGTAGCTCTTGAATGCTGCCATCATGACAAGGTTTCTAGCTATCTTCCGCATCCCCTCTTTGAACTTTGAAATATTTCGTAGTAATCCCTATGGTGTCTCACTAAGGAGCGACGGAGGTTCGGGGATGTCAGCACCGACACACCCAACGAGGAAGACGACAGCTGTTGGGCGGCATCCCACAAGTCAGCTCCTGCCAAGATTTCCGGGAGTCCCGACGGCACCGAGAACATTATTCCCGAGCGACTTCGTCAATCTATCCGTATGTCAACAAAAGCACGCGATCAAACACTCGTATTCCAACTGCAAACGCTGCCGCAGCAATTGCGGATCTGGGATCTCGTTTCACGAACGATCGAAGTGGAGTTGTCCATGGATTGCTAAACTGCACTAGGGAAGGATCATCACTGAACCGGTCCCCTGCAGAAGCTCTCGCCGCAAGGTGGCATTGACGCGGCTGCAGAGGCTGTTTGCGTCTGACTGCCACTTGTCCGGGACTGGCCTGATGGCCGTTTGAGCTGGAGATGGTGTCAGAAGTGGCTGGTTCATCGTTCAACCTTAATTCAGCTAATGTGACACGACGCGAGCCTCGGAAGCTCCAAGAAAGCTACGACGACGGCAATTGACCTTTTTGACATTGTCTGAACTTCAGCAAGCAGTGTCCGCGGCCGCATTCGTTCCCTCTCTTGGACCCCGGGAGCCCTCTCGGAAACCGCAAATCTCGCACCCGAGGTTGGCATTAGGTTTCTGCAAGGCGAGCGTCACCAACAGCTGTTCGCCTAAGGCTCATCACAGAGCTGCCCACCTGTGACATGTGCAAGCGCCTAGCATGTCAGACGTCGGTTTCCGTGGTGAACATCGGATACCATTCATACCAGCCGCCAACCTTTCGACGCGCTTCTCTCTCAGCCACCTGTGCGGGGAAGGGTTCAGCTGCGGCAAAGGACGGTCGATCCGCCGTCTTTGGTTAGCTTCAGAGCTCAATAGTGGCGCTGTTTGGCGCATTCGGATCCAGGGGTCTGTGGCGGAATCCTCCTCTCTGAGCTCCTCTCCGCGACCCCCAAGGACCCCCCAACGCCCCCTTCTTTTGCCCTCTGGCACGTCAGAAAACAAGCTACGTGGCAGGGGCCCGAGAGTGCCCAGACTTTAACGCGTTTGTTTCCCTGCCTTTGCCTACCAAAGAGCCGTGCCGACATCCGGGGCTGTGTCTGCGGGGTGGGCCGTGAACCCTGACGCGGTCATCCCGATTGGACCGAGACGAGGATAACGCGCGGACGTTCTGAGTCGAGACTTTCATCAGCCTCTCTCCACAATGGCGGCGGTGTAAAAATATCTCGACGATTGGGTAATCTGTAGCATCACAAGCTTCGGATCGACCCATTCTTGGAGGCTCAACACTAGCTTAGAATTTATTTAAGGGATACAGCTTCCCCGCATATCGTTATGCTTTCTTATCACTCAGATCTTCGGACTTTGATACCAATAAACAAACACAGTCTTTTCATTCCTCACAAGTAAAACATCATGAGCTACTACGGCAACAACAACCAGGGCGGCGGTTACGGCCACCAGGGTGGAGGCTACGGCGGTCCCGGCGGCCCCCAGGGCGGCTACGGGGGTCACAACCAAGGCCCCGGCGGTGAAGCCAACTCTTACTACAACGAGCAACAAGGCCAGCAACATCAGCAACAAGGGTTCGGATATGGCCAGGGCCCCAACCACCAGCAGAACAACTTCTCTTCCCCTCCTCCTTACCAGAACCAGGGAGGCTACAACGAGCACAACCGCAACGACGGACCTGGAGGCTACGGCGGCCCAGGCGGCCAGCAGGGCGAGGACGGTGAGCGTGGTCTCACCGGTGCCCTCGCCGGAGGTGCTGCCGGTGCCTTCGGTGGCCACAAGGTCGGTGGCAACTTCGGCCACAGCAAGACCAGCACCTTCATCGGTGCAGTAGCTGGTGCCTTTGCCGGTCACAAGCTCCAGGACGGCGTCTCTGACTGGAAGCACGAGCGTGACGACAAGAAGGAGGAGGAGAAGCGCAGAGAGGAGGAGGAGAAGCGTAGACACGAGGAGGAGGAGAGACGCAGGAGAGAGGACCACCACCGCCCCGAGGAGCACCACCACCACCACGAGCGCCGTGGCTCTGGTGACCGCCCCCGCGGCGGTAACTTCGCCGGCGGCTTCACCGGGTCTTCCCGCGACATCCGCATCGATGCTCACGGTGACTACAACCTCCGTGCGTCCTGCAAGCGCCGCGACGGCGGATGGCAAGAGAGCTGCATCAGCCTGAACCGCTACCTGGAGAACGACCAAGGTAGCTTCCGCTGGACTTCCGGCGGCGGTGGCGGCGGTGGCGAGCAGAACTACACCGTCCAGCAGGGAGACACTCTTCGCAATATTGGCGACCGCTTCGGCGCCAGCTGGGAGGAGATCGCGCGACACAACAACATTGCCAACCCTGACCAGATCTGGCCCGGCCAGAACCTCCGCATTCCGGGACGCGGCGGCGGTGGCGGCGGCGGCAACTTCGGTGCCTCGGCCCGGGATGTCCGCCTCGTCGACGGCGGACAGCGCCTGGAGGCGGAGCTGTCCCGTCACGGACAGTGGGTCCGCGCCTCAATTAACCTGGATGAGAAGATTGGAAACAACGACGGCACCCTGCATTACGTCTAAGGGTGGTCGAACTATCACGGCCGTAAATAAAAAAGCGATGTTGAACCGGTTTGATTTTAGCGACACCGGAATACTAGATGATAAGGGTTGAACTATTGGATAGTCTCAATGCAAATGACTTTTGATCATTACTATGCAACTATGATACTTCAGGCCTCTGACTGAATTCGCCGATATCTATTCTTGAATAATGTTACAAGTTGGGTGAAATACCTCCCGTGACGATCATTTTTATCGTCAAATAATCCTCCACCCCGTATTTGCTGCCTTCACGCCCCATGCCGGAATGCTTCACGCCTCCGAATCTGGGAAATCGTCAGTTTTCACTCTGCATATACTCATCCGGCCGGTGTGGGTCACTTACGGAGCGGAAGCATCGGAGATGACTCCGGTATTGATGGCAACCATGCCGAACTCTAGCTGTTCCGATACGCGATGCGATCGTCCCAGGTCATTTGTGATGAGGTATGATGCCAATCCGACCTCGGATTTGTTGGCCCTCTGGATAACTTCTCTCTCAGTCTTGAACTTGGTCAACGCCGCCACGGGACCGAATGTCTCCTCTTGTGTGACCTTCATGGAGTCATCGACGTCTCCCAGGATCGTCAACTCATGGAAGTTGTTACCCACAGAAGAAAGTCGCTTTCCTCCAATGAGTACCTTTGCATTTTTGCTGACGGCATCCTTGATGTGCTCCTCAACCTTCGACACGCCGTTTGTGAGGGGTCCGTGAGTGACCGATGCATCCGTGCCGTGGCCGACCTTGAACTTGCTGACTTCTTCAACTAGTCTTTGAGCAAACCTATCATAGATGCCTTCCTGGACGAATATTCGGTTTGCGCAAACGCAGGTCTGACCAGTGACCTTGAATTTAGAGACGAGAACGCTGGAGATGGCAACATCAAGATCGGCGTCATCGAAAACGATGAAAGGTGCATTACCACCCAGCTCTAAGCTCAGCTTCTTCAGAGTGTCGCTTGATTGCTTCATCAACAACTTGCCAACTCGAGTGGACCCGGTAAAAGAAATCTTCTTCACGGTATCTGACTGACATAGAGCAAGGCCGAGTTGAGGTGTGTTCTCCAAAGCCGTAACGACATTAAGAACACCGGGAGGAACACCGGCGCGTTCGGCCAGGACCGCGAGGGCGTTGGAAGAAAACGGCGTGAGACCATCTGACTTCATTACAATCGTGCATCCGGCTGCAAGAGCGGCAGCGACCTTTCGAGCACCCATGGCGAGAGGGAAGTTCCAGGGTACAATCAACCCACATACACCGACAGGCTCCTTGATAACGCGGGTCCTGTAACTCGGGTTGCTGTGAGGAATGATATCGCCGTAAATCCGGGAAGCTTCTTCGCTGAACCACTCGAAGAAGCTGGCTGCGAATAGCGACTCGCCCTCAGCATCACCCTTTGCCTTGCCATTCTCGGCGGTGTTGATCTTCCCGAGATCTTCCTTGTTCTCAATTAGAAGCTCAAAGATACGCTTGATGATGCGACCGCGCTGTCGGCCTGACGTTGCCCTCCAGGCCGGAAAGGCCCTGGCAGCGGCCTCGATGGCCTTGTTCAGGTCATCCGTGTTGGACTCGGGGCATGTCCCGATAAGCTCTTCTGTTGCCGGATTGGTGACTTGAAAGGTCTTGTTTGTTGTTGATGAGACCCATTGTCCGTTGATGTAGGACTTCTCGACAAAGAGGCTGGGGTCCTTCAGAGAAGACGTCAGGGAGGGTGACATTGTGTGGGAAATGAGATGAGATGAGACGAAGACAATAGGGCAATGAAGATTTGACGCCTGGTATAGAAGGAATAATGAGTCTGTTTCGGTATCTCACTGGCAATACTTGTTGAGGCTTGTTTTATGCCTGTCTATCTAGGAGAGACGTGCATCGTCATACTTACAAGATGGTGTCCGACCCTTGCTGCGCTACCCGAAAGTGGTAAACCAAATGAGATCCGATTACTCCGCACACCTGAGCGGGGTTCGGGGTCGGGAGGGGCATGCAGGTCTCGGCTTTGGTGGGGTGAGCGCGACCAGGATCGGAACCCGATTGTGCTGCATAACACGAAGCCGAAGCCAAGAAAGCGGCTAACTCTCCGCATGGAGCTCCTTATCGAAACGATCACAAGGCTGGAATGAAGAGCATGTGAGCCACAAGCTCCTAGCCAATGACTATCTCATGACTATCTTTTGAGTTGATGCCCGACATGAATCATACTTGCGAAACCATCTCGGGTCGGGGAGCAAGAAACCGGTCAAGGAGCCAATCATGGCAATCTCCGGACCTCATTCTTTCTAGGTTTGGGGGTTTCGCAAGAGAGCAACACGGCCTGGGCTCCGTGTTGCCGTCCTGGTGACCTGCCTATATCATCTATAACAATGAAGCTGTCGTGGAAGTGATCTTGATGAGCAGATCAAAAACTCAAGAAGGCGGAAACTCAGAAGCAACCTTGACACTCAAGATTACTCCCAGTTATCACGCTCTACGAAAAATATCATATTTTCAGTCATGGCCGAAGTCGTCTCCGCCACTCCATCTCCCTTGGCCAAATTGAGCTTCAAGCCTATCATCAAGGATGAGCTGAAGCCAACATCTTCTGGGAGGCCCACCGTCACTTTCAACCCAGACCAGCACCTTGCCTTCGTCGAAGATCCTAAGAAGCTTACTCTCAAGGATGTTTCTCTTCCGGAGGATATCGGCATCTCCCCTGTTGCCTGTTCAGAGCCATTCCCCCTGTTCACTGAGGAGGCCATCCAAACGATGAGGCAGGAGATCTTCACGACGGAAGTGTGGGAGAACTGCTTGCACAGCACTTCCTTCGCTCCTTGTCAACTGCGAGGTCATTGTCCAAAGTAGGAAACCCACTTTCGCGTCACGTCCTTGACTAATTCATCTTATAGATACGCACCATTCATGGACCAAGCTTGGAACAACCCGAAGACTCTTGAAGTTATCTCCGAGGTCGCCGGAGTTGACCTGATCCCGAACATCCAGTACGAAATCGGCAACATCAACATATCCATCCAGAAAGCTGCCAGTGACGAGGACAAAGCTGCTGCGAAGAACCGGGACAACACTTCGGTCACCAAATGGCACTACGATGCCTTCCCATTCGTGTGCGTTGTGATGATGAGCGATGCTACCAACATGCTCGGAGGCGAGACCGCTCTCAAGACCGGTACAGGGGAGGTCCTCAAAGTCAGAGGGCCTCAGATGGTAAGCAAGACATCACAGTGCCCAAGTGTTTCTCTGCTGATGCCTCTTAAGGGCTACGCTGTCATTCTTCAGGGGAGATATGTCGAACATCAAGCCCTGGCAGCTACTGGAGGCGCCGAGCGCATCACGATGATAACTTCATTCCGACCACGTGACCCTTGCGTGAAGGATGACTCTGTTCTCACCTCAATCAGACCCATCTCGGAGCTGTCTGAGCTCTACTACCAATGGGCCAAGTACAGGACGGAAGTTGTCAGGGCGCGCTTAGATGCCATGTTGAAAAAGCTGGATGAGGACCATGAAGCTGGAAAGCAAACAGACGTTCGAAGCATCAAACAATTCTTGCTGCGGAACGAGGAGTACTTCGCAATTACTAATAAGGAGATTGTGGAGACAAGAGAGCCTCATCGAGCATGGGAAGGATATTAAATGTCAATGGTTGGTCGAACCTTTGGGCCCATATCTTAGTCAGGGTAGTTAAGAGATAGCGTAATGGCTCTGAAATGAATTCGACCATTTGATGTGTGAGTCCGAGATCTTTGCCTCCGATGACACTCTTCATAGGATCAGCACAAGCTGTCATAGCTGAAAGGAAGTTGTCGAAGTTTGGTCTGTCTAGACGCCGTATACAAAGCAGAGACTGGCACCGCTTAGGAAAAAGAAAAAGAAAATACAACTTCCCCAAATACGTAATGAATTCTACATCTAGGCGCAGATTAAGACTCAGAATCAAACCAATTGATCCTATCTATGTCGCCCTGTAACCATTTTGAGCTATTGCTGCTTCTTTTCTCGTCCTATGTTCCTCGAAGTGAACAAGGACTAAACTGTGATATGAAGATCACTCGGCAAAACCCCACTGTAAGAAGTGCTAGCCAACTAATTCTGCTTAGTCGGTGTCCTACTCCCGAAAAGGGTAACACTCTGACCCGTGAGCTTCCCAAGGAAGTAGTTACAGGCAGGGACGGTCGTTGCGATGACAATGACTGCAAAGATTGCACTTGCGACCATTACCAAGCCTACTCGGTACCATTTGAATGGCAGGGGCGGATTAGCAATGGCCAACAACCAAAGCACAGGTAATGACGAGAGTAAGATAAGCTGCCGATCACAGTCAATAACAGCTGGCACATTGTAGACAGTAATGGAGATACTCACGACAGCCAGCGTAAGCGCCGCTACCGATAATCTGTTCGGCTTAGTCCGAGATACTATGTCCCCCAACAGACTATTTCTAGCCTGCGTCGAATTAGTTTTACGGACTGACATAGTCGCGGGCCATTTTTACCTGGCAATCCGCAGAATTACAAAGCCTTCTGAGGCTCTGGAGTGTCCGTTCAGACTCTCTCAAATCTGCGACTGATGAAGCAATGGTTTGCAAGCACCCATTTCTTCGCCGAACCGATTTGCCCTTATTGGAGACATCAAAGGTTTTCTGACCCTGGCTTGTATCAAAGAGGTCCACCTTCTGGATCGTTTCAGACAACGCTTCGGTCAGCCTGTCTAGAACCTTTGTTGATTCTGAACGCCAGACTTCTGAAGACGCTAAGCCATGCGATGTGTGGTAGGATTCTCGGCATATCTGATGAAGATACGTCAGCAGGTCTTGCATGAGCCTCAATTGAGTGACTTACATAGTCTTTGAAAAGAATACTCAGCCTATGCGAGATGCAACTCCACTCTTCCGCCACCTGTCCAAGTCTCAGCTCGAGAATCCTTTTGAAGTATTCCCGCGGCTCCCATGAAAGGTTTTGATCTCCACACAAAGAGCCAATAGACAGAGGGTCGACTGAGTCGCCATTCTGTCTATCATCATCGCGATATAGGAAAACAGAGCTGTCATCTTCATCATCGAAGTATGAATCCGCCAAACATATCGCCGTCCATGCCGTTATGTCCCAGCCAGTTACTACCATAGACATCTGACATTCGTAAAGATAGTCACCCTCGCTCGTTATTCCACACGAATCTTTCGGGCTTGACAAGAATGAAAGATCTATCGATTTCCGAAGAGGTTGGTTGCCTGGGCCAATCCGGTGATCGTGCTTTTGTTTTGGTTGGCGCCTCCAAGCAAAGGACGGAATATGGAACTCAAGGGTGAAGCCTGGTTGGATTGTCCACTATATGCCTGCGTAAGTTCATGGATCGACCGTAAGAGGGTGTAGCTTACGTTGGCCTGATATTCACTCTGGAAAGACAGGTGGTTCTGTATGAACTGTCTAAGAACCGCCTTCTCCGACGAAGAGCTGGTCGCAGCAAGAGCATTGGCTGCCCAGGGATCAAGATTGCTGATGTGTCTACAGAATATCAGCCGTGAGGTCTAGAGTGGTGTGGGAGATGAGTATACATTAGCCGTTTTTCGTTACTGCTAGCATGTTGCCCCTCCTTTTCAGGAAAGCATCGCTGAAAAGTTAGCACCTTCCATGAATTTATCTGGCCAAAGCCACTGGGACGTACCTTCTTTGCCAATTCATTGATCAGCTCTGATGGCGTGACAGATGCTGTAAATGAGGTATTCTTCTGACTCTCGTAATGGTATCTACGAAGCCAGATCGAACGTTTCTGAGGAGTGTATCGGCTGACACCACGATGTGTCACCCCACGACAGAAGTCGCGAAGTTCTCCGAACTTGCAATTGTCCTGTGAATTTTGCCCCCAAAACATACTCCAGGGGTCTTTATCTTCGGCAGACGATAAGAAAACATCAATTGACCTTTGCTTGGAAGAAACAGCGAGGCTGTCTGCTGTTTCGAATCCATTGACTGAACGACCTTTGTTTTCCGGAACGTAGACGGGTAGAATCGTGTCTGAGGAAAGTGTTGGTGACTCTCTAGTCACCAAAGGAAATCCATCGCCCCAGGTTCGAGAGTCTTGGTCGACTAGATCGATTGTTTGTCGCATCAGGCTGGTTGATGAGTTGTGGAAGGTATCCACGAGCGCTAAATTCATACTGAATCCTCGGACTGAAAGATCCCGAAAAGTATCCCAGGCTGGCACGATGTAAGCAATTCCTGTGCCAGGACACCCTCTGACGAGATGTCCACAGAATGCGCCAGATTCTGAATCCAGCACCGCAGCGCCACAGTCTCCTTTGGATACCATTCCCTCTAGTTGTATCAGTTGCAAAGTGCTGAATGATTCGATATCCTTTCTCTTGAACATGGCTGTTCCTGGCATCAGAACTCCTTTTCTGGCTTCGCCATCTTGTCCGACTAATACCACACGTCTTTCTGTTCCCAGGATTGTGGCAACGGATCGAACAGTCAGTTGTCGATGATTGCCTCGGTCACTGAAAACAACTGTGTTGAAAAGGTCCAGTGGTGAAGGATGAGGTATTTCCACCAGAGCGTAGTCAAGCCCGGGGTTGTTGCCTGTACTGGCCTGGATCGAACAGATGCCAATTCTGGCTGAGGTGTCTTGATGAAGTGCATACTGGATTGTTTCTGACTCAACAGGTAATTGGCCTCGGGAGATTCCGAGACCACATGGACTTGGTGTTGTTCGGGTCAACGGCTCGTCAGTGACACCTTGATCCGCTTCTTCGTGGGTTGGGCTCTGCCAGCTAGTTTCTGGAGATCCTTGTAGGGAGAGCATGCTGGACGATGCAATACTAGACTCGGGAGTGGCACTGCCCTGGCGTAAGACTTGGACATCATGAAGATCCTCCTCTTCATCTTCGCTGAAACCATCCATGGAGCACTCATCTTGGCTACCAGAATTTGAAATCTCATCGTCATCCTCAACGTCCATAGCCCAGCCATGTTCCGAAGTTAATTGAAAGGTCTTTTCCCCTTGCTGAAGCACAATTCCTCCTGTCGCCCACAGGCAGAGTTTACCGTCTGGTCCAGATCGGAGCAACTGCCTGCCAACAGTTGGTTGTCTTGAGGCGGAAAATATGCTGTGATGTGAAGGTTCGAACGCCTTCGGCTCCATTTCCCGAGAAGAAGACCAATCACTTCTGTCGCCAGCGAGCGGCACAATACGACGGGGTGCCTCCAAGGGTCTTTGAATCCTATCAAAGCGAAACCCAGCCTCGGTGAATTGCTTAGAAATCTCGTTATCACTGACGTTTGGCTTTTTGAAACTGTTCCGCAACGCATTCCGCACCTCGCGGCCTTCCTCTTTCCCATCACAGCACACCATGATGATCGGCCGAGCCAACACTTCCGATCTCCCCACCATGTAAATATTGATGAATATGTTAGCCCGTTCGACTTTCAAATTATTCATGATTATGTTGTTGATGGTGGGTCGTAGATTGTCGTAGATGTCGCGAGCAGGCCCTTGGGCAAGCCAGGCTTTATTGCCTCTAGGGAAACCTCGCGGGAGACGATCAGCGGGAATTTCACGCCCACAAGACTCTTCGGCGTGCTTCCAAGATGACCTGCTAGACATCTCTAAAATGATATCCACAGTAGAGTGGACATGTATCAACGGAGGAATGACGGGAGGTGACAGTGTACAGCAGCATCGAGCTGGAACTTCGGCGAAAGAGTCATGTAGAAATAAATGTCAAGTGCCGGTGTCTTGGGCATTCCCCATGTTGTGCGATGCTTTGGGCATCAGGGCAAATGATCGACACGAGACAACGCACATTTAAGATGCATTTTTGGACAATGAACCAGTCAAACTGCTGTTTTGCCAAGTGAGGCGAACAGTCTGACTAAGTACCACGTCTGGTGGCCAACAAAACATCCAAAGGCCCAATAAGACGTCGACCAAAAGAACGCCACAGTTGACCTATTGATGCATGGTCAGCAATTACACTTGCATCACCAACTGAAGGGCGAACTGTAGAAACAAAGTTACATTCCCCTGCAAAAAGCAAACATGACATGAAATACTTGAAGCTATGGATGTCTTCATGGTGCGTTTCAGCCCGATCAACAGCACATTGACTTTACCCCCATACAAATTGACAACCCGAGATGCCCCAGTCAATCTAAACCTAGGAACACATATCCCATCCGGAGAAACTTCAAAATGACGGAGCTGACCGATATTCACGCTGAGGAATTGATTCGCAGACTTTGGCACCAGCCAACAATTAATTCTTATGGTCAATACGGAATTCTTGTCAAGAATCCAAGCCACTTCTCCGCCGCTTATACGGACTACTATCAGCGTCAGTGGATCACTATGGCAGGCCAAAATGGCATTCATGTGTGGTTCAAAACTCCACAAGATCTGAACGCATTCATTTCGCACATATCTGCCGCAGAGTCTCTGGCCAAGGAAGATCTGTCATCATACCTCGAAGAGAATTGGGGCACATCGCTGGACAGCGAGCATGGGGGCCATACCCTGAATCTTGCTCTCAGCTTACTGCTCATGGTCAAATTTGGACCGACAATTGGGGAGGTACAGCCGCACATCTTCTTGCAGTGGACATCCGGCTGCCTCAAAGAGTGTCTCCGTCGGCATTTCAATGCAGACCCAATTCTTGACACCCATGAAATTCGACTTTCCCAGAACTTCAACGCTTGGTCTTTGAAAACTATTGGGGCAATCGAAATAGGCTTTACCGATAATCTCGATGACCATTTGTTGTTGGTAGAACGCAGCAAAGGAATGAAGGTTTTGATCTTCCATCACGTCTCTTTTCTAGAGTGCCACACGAGGTTTGACAAATATTTTCTCCTACGGTCCAGATACTGACATCCATATAGCTCAATATTTCCAGACGGCTTTCTAACTGAGACTCTGGAAACACTAAGACTGGTCTTCCCCGCATCTGAATTTGGGGAGGATGGCGGTCACAAAACTCATCGAAGAGCCTGGTTTGAGAATTTGAGGAAGGTCATCGATGGAAACGTGATTGACCTCAGATTAGGCTCGTGTGGTACCCTAAGAGCGGAGCATAGGCGCATTGAGCGATTTAGGTTTTGGCGAGATCGCCTTGTTGTTCTCAAACAGGCTTATGACGAAGCGACACCGAGGACCCTATCACAGTGGTGGTATGATCAACGAAATCAAGTGGTTTGGTGGACGTTTTGGATAGCGGTGCTTGTATTCGGTCTTGCAGTTGTGGTCGGCATTATTCAGTGTGTGCTGGCCGGAATTCAAGCAACACGTCCATAAGAACGCATGTTCTCGACGAGGATCGTAGACTGCATCCCCGTCTTGTTCATTTTCTCTATTCGGGCGGATAGTTGATACGGACGACAGTGATGCGGACGAGAACGAAGAGGACGACGAGGATGACAACGAAAACAATTGTCAACAGCAAGAACAAAGATAATGATTATGACGATAGTACTATTAGAAACAATGAGGCCTTTATTGAAGATTCAAGTCAATGTGTAAATAAATGGGTTGACCTAGGGATAGTAATCCGCCTACTTAGCTTTTAGCATCCGCCCGGATAGTAAAACTTGTATTTTTTGTCGTGCCTATTTAGGCTCAAAGTGAGACACAGGCGATCATGTGTGCTGTCAAAAACCGGCGATTTCGAGATCCATCTCATTGATTTCCCATCCCCCCGTGGCACTATGCTTACCACACAGGATTTCATCGATCTATTTGGATCGAAGAGATACGTGCTTGGCGGCATTCTTTCGATCGATGAATAGTTCGTGGCTATCCGATCTATTGGCTTTTGCCGTTCTCGGAATGTGGGAGAATAGCCCGACAGTAGCAAATATTCAGCCATCGGCGAAGTGGAGCGAATGCGGTCTTGTGAACCAACATCTCGGTCGGCGCCGCCGTTAAAGCCACACTGTCGAACGGGGGTTCCCTGACCTCTTGGAATTCGGTCACTGAAGACGGCGCCTGAGCCACGATTGCGCCTCATCTTCTCCGAGATTTAGACTCTTGCATGGCCCCATTGGTCCAGAACGATCCAGTTAGCTCGGGCCTTGAACAAATGACGAAGACGCGAGCAACCAGACGAATTCACGTGTCCGCCATCTTTACCAGAATCCCAATGGCAACCTGTCAGAAATCCTGCACTGTCCGTAAAGATGTCATCAACGAACAGACGTGGGCCAAGCTCAACTGTCCCAGCGCGAACACTGACTGCGGCACCAAAATGCCGGCCCCCAAGACCAACGGCTCCAATTGGCCGGCACACCGCGGGGCTGGGCTGACTCGCATGGTCTCGTCTCTGAAGGTGTGGCGTCACTCTCCGCGAGGCGAGAAACCTTGCCGACCTCGGTGTGGCTCGGCATTGACCGATGAACCTGCTTTTCCGTTGTGGCTCGACGGTTTTCCCTCCCAAGCCACAACGCGTGATTTGGGATGAACCTTGAGTGCGCATTGCGCCTAGCTCGGGGCTCAGAGTGACGTTATCGGTTTAGTACGCTGAAACGAGATCCCGTGCGGAGCCCCCAATTGCGCGGCCCCTCATGACATGAGCCAAGTTGGCCCTTTGATCCCAGTGCCGAGCCGGGTGTGGGCATCCTAGCGCTCGGCCGACGAGCCGAAATGACGCACGAAGGGTCTTGATCACAGCCTCAATGCGGGACTCTGTTGAAGAAACATTCTGTATAAAGTTGTCACGTTTTCCCCTTCCATTCCTGCAGTGCTCATCATCACCAACCAAACATCTTCAAGCAATTGAAACAAACAAAGATCTCCATCACAATTTTCTACACAACCACACCCATCAAGTCAAATAGTTAACTCAACCCCAACCAAAACTTCAAACCATCACAACAAACAAAGTACACAGTCAATTCATTGACTAAACACACAAGGCACAACTTCATCTACTTCAAACTCAATTAACACCACAACATGTGTTTCGGTCTTTCCCGCAGACACCACGGTTACGGCGGCGGTGGTTACGGCCCCCGTCCGGTAATGGTCCAGTCCCACCACCACCATCACGGCGGCATGATGGGCGGACCCCGCCCTGGATGCGGTCCCCGTCCGGGCTTCGGCGGCGGCTTTGGGCCTCGCATGGGTGATGGCTTCGGAGGAAGACACCACCACGGACACCATGGTCATCATGGCGGCGGCTTTGGCGGTCCCGGTGGTGGTTTCGGTGGCCCAGGCAGATGGTAAGCCAGAAGAGGCTTACATATGATGGGATGGGATTATGTTTACACGGCGCAATATAACATGGGAGGGATGAGATTTACATAGCACCTCAATGATACCAATTCAGTTTCTTTTCCTCAACATAACGCTTTTTGCACAAGAGTTTGGATCGTGATGGTTTCCCACCTCTCAATGATTCAGTTGAACTCGCCATCCAAAAGTGTCCGGCCGCCGCAGAGGCGTGTCTTGACCATAATTCCCGGAATTTGAGACATTCGTGGCCAGCACTCGCACTCGCTTAAGCCAACAAACTTGCAAATTCTACTATTTTCGGGAATATGTCTCCGAATCAGATTACTTATCACGTCCACTAGGGAACACTCCCGACGCGGGGAACCGCTGGGGTAAGGTGAAACTCTGAGCATCCCGCCGGTTGGGCAGGTACCCCAGCCTACGGATGTAACACTTGGGCCAAGCTGACATCAAAAGTGACCACAAGCGGACCGTCGGCCTGATATTAAATGGAAGAGGAAGCATGTGGTAGGAAACTCTGATGTCGTAAATTGCTTCCGCGCCGCGGCGCCGCCGGGGTGCGAGACTACATTTATGGGCATAATCCTCAGTGTTGAGAAGGATGCAAGTGTGTTATATCCTTCCCACATCAATGTGTTCTATCAAGTTGAATGTTATCATTCGTCAATAGCTTTCGTCAAGATGCAAGATGTTGTGCTCGCGCAGGTCGCCAAGTTCGGCGGCGCCGCAAATTTCTCCTGCGGCGTGGCTGCCATCACCGGTCTTCTGTCACACTGGCTCTACTTCATCCACGGTCCCAAGAGCATGGATGCCGCAAGCATCGTGGCATTCCATGTTGTTGCGCTGATCATGCTACTCGCGAGAACGGTTCTGTCCTACGGTTTCTATGACGGACTGGTGGTCTCCGCGGCTGTATCTGGATCGTACTTTGCTGCCCTCTATACCAGCATCGGGGTCTACCGCATCTTCTTCCACCCCCTCCGCAAGTTCCCGGGCCCGTTCCCCGCTAGGATTACCAAGTTCTACTCGATGTGGGCCAACCGAGATTGGAAATTACACGATCGAATCCTGAGGCTTCATGAGAAACTCGGAGATGTCGTTCGGCTCGGTAAGACTCCAAGTCTTCTTAGTTCCCTTTGCTGGAAGAACAGAGTGAGCCTAATTTTGAATCCAGGTCCTAATGAAATATCGGTGTCGGATATAGACACGTACATCAAGTTCCACGGCCCGCAGTCAAAGGTAACCAAGAGATGGACTGGGTTTTACGGCGCTCTTGCTTCGAAACACGAGCTGAACCTTGACGCCATTTGGGAAAACGAGGCGCATCGGGATCGACGAAGGGTCTGGGACACAGCACTAGGGACAAAAGGTATGTAGCTTCACCATCTGTGCTTGAGGTATGATATGAGGAGCTTTCCACTGATGCCGGCGGTAATCTGTAGCTCTGGAACGATACGAGGAAGAGACAAGATCAGTTCTGCGCGCTTGGCTAGGCCGCATCGAAGAGGTCGAAGGCAAACCCATTGACACCGCCCTCTACGCCAAGCTGATCCCTTTCGACAACATGGGCCGCGTCGGCTTCAGCCACAACTTTGGCACGGTACAAGATGGCCGCGACGACCGAATGCTCGAACTCATCGAGACATCCTTCAAATTGGCTGCCCAGATGGGTGGGATTTCGTGGCCGCTGATGCTGCTCTCGAGTATTCCCCGTTTTGGAATGGTGAAGGAGTTTGAAGGCCTTGGGGCGCGGTTAGTGGATGAGAGAATGGCCGTGAGACCAAAGCCAAGGACCTCAAATGTGGGCGAAAGCTGACTGTGAATTGTTTTCAGACCGACTCCGAACAGTCGCACGACATGATGAAGTACTTTCTTGACGACTACAAGTCAGAGAAGCCAAAGTCTTTTCGCAACATCAATGTATTGTACTCGGACTCGTTGGCCATCCTCATCGGGGCAACGTACGCAAGAATCTGCCCAAAAATCATCCAAAGAAGGTTCCACTGACAGCTTTGCAGAGACACAATCTCTTGCGCATTGGGATATTCCTTCTACTTCCTCGCCAAAGACCCGAAGCTCCGCCAGCGTCTCTACAATGAAATAGCCCCAGTGCACAGCAAAACCGTGCCTGGAGAGTTCGCTGTCGCCGATCTAGCGAAGATTGAGTACCTCGACGCCTTCATCAACGAGACACTGCGCATGCACCCCCCGGCGGCGACCAACGGACCTCGAGTCGTGCCTCCTGAAGGTGTTACCTTGGCCGACGGAACGTACATCACCGGTGGTGTGACAGTCTTTACCCCGTTGCATGTGTACCAACGAAGTATGTCACCCCGTATTTCTACATTCGCAAGATGGGAGAAACTGACACACTACGAATAGGTTCCAAGTACTGGAAACAGCCCCACGAGTTCATCCCCGAGCGCTGGACCACTCGCCCAGATTTGATCATCGACCGACGAGCGTTCGTTCCCTTCCACTACGGTAAGTCACACGTGACTATGATTTTCATGACGAAGCTCACGCTTTACACCAGGCCGCTTTGATTGTGTGGGTAAACGGCTCGCGATGAACGTCATCCGAATGACCGTGGCCTACACGCTCTGGAACTATGATTTTGAAGTCGCGCCGGGTGAGGATGCAGAGAGACTTCACAGAGAGTCAAAGTTCCAGTTGATTGTGAAGCCGGGCAGTTTGAATTGCGTGTTCAAGAAGCGACCTGAAGCTGGCTCGTCATGAGCAAAACGTAAGATGGGATATGTCAGAAATCTGAAGTAGATTCCATAGCTCTCAAGTTTGACTGTAATTCGTTACAAAAATGAGCCAAATCCGACGTTATACGGTTTGCTGATTTAATCTTATATTTAAGACGGCCGTGGCATCTGCCATCTTGTCGCGACCCACGCCAGGTCATTGTCATGCGCCTCCGCTGGCATATACCCCCACCGCTTCTTCTCAGTAAGCCACGTGCGGCTAGGCATCATAGCCTCGAGCATGTAGTAGTTGTCGCGGTGAAAAGGTAGCTCAGTAGTGACGGGCCCTTGTCTATCGAGGAATACATCGGACTGAGACTCGATGTCGGCCTGCGTCATCTGAAAGTGACGTCTCTTATTGCCCTTATTCTGACTGTGGCGCTTGATGGCGACAACGGTGTTCTTGAGGTGGCTCTCGAGTATACAGGCATGTAGCAGGGGAGAAGTAACTGCCCTGGATACGAGGTTCATGGTCTGGTCGACGAGAACGCGATTCCACTCTGGCAGAGGCTTGCCTCGATCCATCATGGGAATCGGCTCGCCTTTTTCCAGATTCTGCTGCCAGTTGGAGAAATCGACAGCATTGCAGAGAGCGTTCCATCTGATGACGCAGGTGAGGCAAGTACAGGTGCGATAAGGATCAGCAGGAGGAATATGCTGATAACGGCGATGAATATTAAGCGCGGCCACTCTGTCTGGATGTTGAAGACGGCTGTGGGTCTCAGGTTCTACCTCGCTTAGAGGAATTGGAAGACGAAAGCATTTCTCCAGGATGGGGTATCTGGCGGCGATGATTTCGCGAGCGAGGATGGCCTCGTCGTGCTTCACGTACTCGTAGAGATGGCGGCACGTGCGGGAAACCCTGAAAAGATCGCTGGGCAGAAGGTAGACCATGATGTTGTTGAGGACCTCATTGGGAAGGTCGAAAATGTGTGTTGGCTGTGACGACTTCTTGGCGGTCTTCTTCAGCATCTTACGCTGACGTCGCTCGGTGCGTTTGGAGCGTATCTTAAGATTCCCAGAGGCGGCGACGCGATCGCTATCTGTGACGGCCTCTGTTGCCTCACCCCGGAGAAAGGTCTGGTTTTCTTGTGAGGCGTCGGTTGTGGTGGCGATGGAAGCCGTGTCGGTTGCCGTCTCAGTCGCTTCAGTCGCTTCAGTCGCTTCGCTGGATGATTGAGAGGTCTCCAAATTATCCGAGACGGTGAGGGTCTCCATCTCAGGAGGAAGACTCTCATCTCCAGTTGTTTCCGAAGAAGTGCCCATTTTTGAAAGGGATATGAGCAAAGTCAAAGCCGTCCCGGAACGATAAAAAAAGCTGAGGTGTAGTCGAGCACCTCACTCAAGGTTGCAGCTCGCCAATCGCCACAAGCCGCCAAGCAGGAGGAGCGATCGCCGAATGTGTCACGCCGAACCCCGCCAATGGGCGGTCTTGGGGGCTGCACGGACCATCGCAGAGAGCATAAGATTATATAAGCGGCAGAATGCATCAAGCGGAGCAGGAGGTCCACTGACCGCCTGCCTCCCATGACCAACCGACCCCTTGCCGGACTTCAACTTCTCCCCTTTACCTTCACTTCACGATGTTTGATGCCAGGTAACATTATCTCAATCTCTTGGAAATGGTGAACTTGATGTAATGGCTTTCGGAAATTTATGGTCCGAAATATCTAGCAAAGCCCACCTGAGATCTCTCCAAGCTATCTGGACCAATGGGGCCAAACCGGGTGCCGTGAGCATGATGTCCATCATACCAGTTGCTTGTTTTCTGAAGTGAAAGCAACTCAAAGCAACAGTACAAAGCCGTAAGCTGGGTATCAAGGCAAACTCCAACAATCAAGTTCAAAAAGCAATCCGTATCCTACCAAACTCCATCTACCACCAAAACATCTGTCCGCTGTAGCCGAAAAGACGGCACTCAGTTGTAAGCGCTAGGCTGCGGCGCGCAGGGGTCGTGGCCGTACTGAACCTCCCAGTAGGGGGATTGAATCCCTCCAACATCATACTCGCGCTGCAGAGCCAGGTATGCCAACTCCGCCTGGTTGCCGAAGCTACCAAAGCGGTACTCCACGTCGCCCATGTCCTCGTTCATGACGATGGTGATGACCTCGTCAACCTCAAAGGTGATCTTCTGCTTGAAGTAAGCAGTGAGAGCATCCTTGTTGACCACATCGGGGCGGCCCTTGATGCGGAGAACGCGAGAGTTGTTGCGGCGGTTGTCCTGGGCAGTCTTGATGCGGTTGAGCTCGACCTTGGTGACGTGGCCACGGACCTTGAAGCGGCGCGCGGGGTTGCAGCTCATGGCGTAGAACTTCTGCGCGGCGCCGAGCTCGAAGAAGACCACCTTGGCAGCCGCGGTGTGGTGGTTCTTCGCGGGCTCGGGGCCGCTGATGACCACGCTCCAAATGCGACCCATGTTGCGGATCTCGGCGAGAATCTCACGGTGAGTGACGTCGGGCGGAAGGAAGGTAATCCAAAGGGCGCAATTCTCGCTGTCTGGGATGTCGGCGGAACGGTTGCGTTCGATGGTCGGGTCACCGGCGTAGTTGGGCGAGATGCCGTACATGGCCTTGAGCGCGGCCCTATCCTTGTCGTTGCCCTTGGCCTGGCCCTGCTTGGCACGCATGGCAGCCCAAGTAGGGCGGAAACCCTGCGGCTGTCGACCTTCGTTTGGCTGGGAAGAGGTGGCGTTGCTGGGAGGGCCATACTGACGGGGGCGATGCGGATATCCAGAGGGCTGCGAGTTGGCCGTGGCCGCCTGCATTCTAGCTTGTGAACGTGCCAGGCGAGTCTCCCATGAACCTGCGATGCGACGACTGGGCATGGGCATTGCTTCCTCGTCTGAGGAGTGGAAAGATGGACGTCTGCGGTGTCTGATGGGGACAAGGTCCAATGGATGCGGAAGCCTACTAAAGTTGTGCCAGGGAACTCCCCGAGGCCCCGGAGGCAGCGCCGACAAAGGGCTTCTAATAGGCGGAAGCGCCATCTTGCGCGGTCAAGTTAGCATCAATGTTTCAGAACGTTCTGGTATGAGGGGACTCACGTGGTGCCGAAGCGGAGCATTCTCGACGGCTGTGGGAACCGACGCATTGGCGCGGACGGAGCTCGAATTGCCCATTATAACGAGCTCGCGATCGGAGTCGGAGTCGTAGTCTGAGTCCGAATCGGAAGAATCAAAGATGTCTTCCGTAGCCGACTTCGCAGCACCAGACTGGGATCTAGGACCCGAGCTCATGGACAATCGGCTCAGGCCAAGGCCTGGGTTGGCCACCGTGGTAGTGTTGCTATCGGAAGATGCATTGGTAGCATTCGAAGTCGACCTTGGGGGACGGGTTGGGTATTGAGGACCCGAGGTAGGTGTCAAGTTGCCGGACGATGAGGGAGTGAGAATCACCCCATTCTCGATGAATCTGGAGGTGGATGTTCCAGAGATTCCGAAAAGCGAGTTCGAATTGGGGGCAGATGTGGACGATCTAGAGCTGCCGTTGTAGGCCAAGGGAGGGACTGGATCCAAACGGACCCAAGGAGAAGAGTTGTCGCCGATGGAGGGAGGGGTGGGTACTGGCCATGGCGTAGGAACTGCCGACTGGTTGCGGAGAGACTGTACTCGGGAGCCATGGTGTAAGGCGGGAGTTGGAGAGTCGTCCTGGTTGAGGGTTGCGAGGGTCGACGGGGTGTAAGGGCGGAAAAGGCCATTGGTTCGCTCAAGCCGGTTAGCAGTCGGAGGACGCTCTGCCAGGGCACTGGGGCTGTTGTCTTGGTTGATGATGCGCTGGCTGTTGAAGTTGTCTCGGGTGTTGTTAGGCGCCATCTTGGAATCGTTGACGGGTGGTCTCAGGTTAGGGCTCCGAATTGCCTGCGCGATTCAATGAGTCAGTTTCACACCCCTCACAGACTCAGTCAGTAGCAACTCACTTGATGTGAAAAGTTGGACGCGGAGGTAGTAGCGACGGTCTGTGGCGTTGAACTGGGGACAAGAACGATTGCGTGCAGAAGTGAACGAAAATAGCTTTCTGTGATGATGTCTGTTACCCTTTGTTGTGTTGGACGGAAGGGTTGTGCTGTGGTTGAAAGCTTTTGGATCGAGTGAGATTGTGAAAGAAGATGGAAGATGAAAGTTGGTGGAGGTGATGGTGGATGAGGGAGATGGAAGTTGGAGTTGGGAGAAGAGGTGGGACGATCTTTTATCCCCAGTTGTCGGGGGAGAAGAGTCGTGGTGTGTAGGTGAGAATGGCGGCCTGAAAGGTCTGGGAGGTGGGAGAAGGCAGTCGCGATTTGTGATGGACGCGACCTGGACCCAGTGGAGGTGAGGTGAAGGTTCCGACGCGTCGTCGAGAGTAGTTTAGGTGCCAAAATGGCAATGAGACGCGCCTAGAAGCACCTCAGATGCGATGAAGAACCGAAAAAGGTGAGGTGAAGGGCGACAAGGAGACGACAGGTAGCGGTACAATGAGATGATGGCCTAAAGGAGGTCCTTACCTCTTTGTTTCGTCTCCTGTGAAAGGTTGGCGAGTAGGTCGTAGGGGGGCCCGGGGCACTTCGAGCGGAGAAGACGCAAAGCAGATAGCGGTAGGAACACGAGCACAAGATCGCGTGAGGCTGAAGTTGTTGGTTTGAGGTAGGTAGGCTGTGCTGAAGTGAAGTGGGTAGGCTGAAGTGAAGCAGGTAGGTTGAAGTGAAGCAGGTAGGCAGAAGTGAAGTGAGGTAGGTAGCACTAAGTGAGGTGAGGTGAAGTGAAGTGAGGTGGGATAAGTGAGGTAAGGTGGGAGGAAAAATACTGAGAGTACGTACCAGGAAGGCAGTCTCCACGATTGAGATACTCAGGGTGAAATTTTAGCTCATTTGATGAGGTTCGCTGAAGCTGGAAGGCAGCAATTGAAGTGCTTGAGTCTGGGCGTTACGACTGCTCGTAGACGGCCACCACAGAGGAGCAGTCATCTGCCGAAAAGGTCATGTCGTCCGCATCGTCACTGCACCCAGACGTGACAACATTATCCTACCACCGTGTAGGTCGGCCAGACCACGAAATCGATGGCTGTATCGCATAAGTCTAAAGGCGGGACAAGTACGATTTTGCTCATAGATTCACAAGGGAAAACGCATGCCTACTGAACCGTACAGAGAACTTTTGGTATCAGAGCAGAAACTCCATGCCTGTAGGTGGAAATGACGCAGTAAGCAGGAAGTAAACTCACTGTAGCGTATTCTCACGAATACCAGGGCCCGGGGAATAGAGACTCAAAATGCCTACTTCTTTGACCCTAATGCCTTTGCGATGGTGATTCCCATGAAGTATGAGTTTCTGAAGCCAAAAAAGACTATACTTTAGCATGAAAGTTCGTAGGAGATTCACCTGGGCGACGTTGAGGTCTTTCTGTTCTCAAGTAGGATATTTTGTGGAGGACCTGTGGCGAGTTGTATGAACCAGAAGGCTCTAGTCAGTCGAATCACGTCGATGTTGTCAGTCAAATGTAGCAGCGGAGGGTGGTTCTCAAGAACGTTAGAGAGCTCTGTCGAGTGGAAACATACTGAATATCGACGTCACAGCACAGGCCATCAGTGTGATATGAAGAAGCTGCTAGATGGCGTAGGAAACGGTATCGATGTGCCTTTCATAAATCAGCAAGGTAGCAGACTTCCGATGATGCTACCGCGGTACTGCCCGAAGATCGACTTGCATCCAAACAAAATAGGAGTTCGAGAGTTGCTTGGTGGCAGGATTTGAATGTGCCAAAACTTGAAGCCGGATGTGGATTAAGGGTAGTGAAGGAGATAAGGTCTTTCACAAGATACTTGATTTTTGCTAGAGATTTGGAGTGGTTTCTTTGCACATGTAGGCAGTAATTCGACGACTTTGAAAGTTGATGAAAGGAATCAAATTGGGGTTTGAAGCCAAGCGTTGAAGTCAACGACATGGGCGAAGCAATTGGTCTGTTTTAGGAGAAATGTAAGTAAATCAGAGGCAGAATCAGAGTCAGAGCCTCCACATTGTTTTCTGAGATTGGGATGTTTGGTCCGGTGTTCTTGATGCCTTTGTCCGTTGTAAGACCGTGCCTTCAGTCAGCGAGGAGTCGGCGTGAAAGGCCAGGAGAAACATCTGGGCTGTTCGAGCAAGGAACAAAAGCTTTGAGCAGGCTGTTCGTGGGATCAGTATTTTATTCCGAAACTCTGGGCAACTTCTAACTTCATGTCGTCAAGAAGATATGAACCAGACGCATTGCAGCCTTTTGTGCTTTGCCAAGCCCAAACATGATTCTCAACAAGCGATCATCCTTCCAAGGCAAATATTTAAGTGAAATGCCACGAAAAGGATTGATGTGGGCATATTTGTGCTCTTGCTGTGTGAGCCTTCCTTATTACCACGTCGCGCGATACTGCGTTCAATTTACTCCCAATAAAGCTGCCTGACAGGAAGCCACGAGAATAGAAAAGTCAGACGCCTGTTGTGTCTACAACACATTCCGATGTTGCCCATCCAAGTGTGATTGGTTTTCAATCCAAACAAACAGATATGGCTTGTTTCAACAAAGCTTTCATACTGGCAACGCAATGAAAACACATAGAAAACGTCCAAATTTCGATGGGGATGACGTTCAGTTCATCGATATCAGCCCCTATTATTGTCATCTCAAGCAAGAAATTAGTCAGAAAACAAGCAATTACGCCTAGAATATGGTAACGTCTTACCTATTTGACGAAGTCGACTTCGTGCGAGCTCTCACCACTGACAACAAATACGATCCCGTCAGAGACTGCAGAGCCTCACGCTTAGCATGACTCTACTACGTCCACGTCTGAACCTCAAAGCATGTTCCGCTAAAGCACATGGAACAAATGGAACCCGCGAGATCAATGTGGCAGATTCTGCCTGAACGCCGTGTTCGAGTCCATCGTTGTGCCAGGTGCCTTGTGTCTCGCGTCTGCGCCCAGCGGTTTTGTCACCACGTTACAATCTCGGTGTTAGGTGGGACAAATCTCGTTGCGAGGATTCAAGACATCGCAGAGCGAAGGGCCATCCAATCACCTCACGTCCGTTGCACATTTCTTCCAGCCTGTTTAGCCTGCAGTCGGGTGGCTGCTTACGTCGGGAAAACGGCTGCAGCCGCCCGAAGACTTGACTCTTTGCCACGCGTTTGAGGACGTCGCCAAGTTCAAATTCCCAATCGGCTTTTGCAACGGTCCCTCGACGACATGGAACGTCGTCTATTCTGTCCTCTCTCGGCCGAACAATCTCTGGCCCGCCGAGACAATCTCATCTTGCGATTGAAAGCCCGGGCTGAACCAATTCGTGCACCAGAGCCGGAGCGCAGTCGAGGCAGTATGGACCCCAAGTCTTGTGTCAACATCGATCCTCCGTGCCGAGAGGTCTCATGATGGCACAGCAGAGGCCAGAAGGCAGACTTGCGGCGGCTGAGTAAGATGCCCACTCAAATTTTCACTCCCTTCAGGTGTATCAACTTCCAAATCAGCCTCAGTGATCCGCTTCCACGACAGACTATTGCATTTTCTAGTTTTGTTTTGCTCCTCGTATCGCAAGATCAGCCCCGGTCGGGCTCCTTTGCATCCTCCCTTGCGCCGGGGAGTTTCCTCACGTCAACCATCACAGGAGAATTGGTCACTCTGTCTCACCCGGGGAACCAGCGCCACGGAATGGGAACCTTCTCGAGCAGCCCGAAGCGAGAATTCCTCGTCTGTGGTTCAGGGATGGCAAGATTGTCGGGGTTCCACAAGAACATGCGGGGCATGGGCCCCAAAAAAAGAAAGCCCGGTGAATCACATCTCCTGGCCAAGGAATTGAGGGCATCACGACCGGAATGCCCTCACAAAAGAATTGACAAAAACAACTGCCGCGTCACAGCAGCGCGACCATAGCGAACTCTAGCTGCAAGCTTACGGTCATCTGCACACGTTTAAGCCAGTGAGGCAAGATGGTCAGTTTTGTTGTTTCTTTTCGAATGTGACAATCGGATGATGTCTTTACACCCAGCACGACAGGCGGTTACACATCACTGTTCTGATGGAAGCTCACATGCATCGATCGACCCCGACCGGCCCAACCTAATGCACCTATCCACGCGCCCCGGGGACCCAACCGGATCTTGGGCTCTTTCACAAGACAAGGGGTGTAGATCTGGGGAAAAGGAAAGCTAGAGGAAGGGGGCCCTTGACGAAATCAAATTGAATCGAGTAAGCGCTCAGCTCTTCCAATGGGTTCGTCGCGACCGCCTCATCGTACGCGAGACCTTGCATCATGGTGTCTGAGCTCGCAGTTCTGGTTGCTTGTTGGGGCCCTCGGATCTCCTTATAATTGCTTTTTTCTGCAGTGATGGGAGAAACTCTCCTGCGCCGGGGGGGCCGTCTCCTGTCGGCCGGCCGGTTATCTGGGAATGTAACCATTATGTAAACCCGCAACCCGCTACGTATCGGCACCGTTCTTTTCTCAACAAGGGAGGGGAAACACTCGGCAGAGCGCCCAATGACGCCTCGCTGCATTAGATTTCCCCCCTCCGGCTCTCTCCCTCCCTTCTTCAATAACACGAGTTCTCACTTTCTTCGAGTCACCTCTTGAACCGGGAACCCAATGTCTCACGTTAGCGTGCGACTGGGCGGGCTGATTCCCAAAAGATTTTGTTTACTCGGATCGACCCCCTACATTTGATCTACCGACGTCTACCAGGTGGGAGGATCTCAGACAATGCGGCGTCTTTATTATTATTCTTTTTTCTTTCGAGAAAATTTTGCAAATCACAAAGGGACCCAAACGCGCACATTGTTCACTCGAGACTGATTTCGTCAGCAGATGATGCGACCACAGTCGTTAGATCACAGTTGGGGGCTTTGCTAATTGCTCCGGCGTACCTTATTACTAGAGTCCCAATCGAAAAGCGCCACATCGTCTGCGTCAGCAGTCATCTTTGACGTAACGTCCTGACTTACGGCGATCCCCAAAATTAACGGAGGTAGACCTCCAACCGGGCATTTCTCAGCTTCATCTTTCCGAGGAGACAAATAAGATCCAATTCCATCGGACGATCATTGTGCATGGGGCTGCCAAGGGTGGTCTCGCCCGCCCGCCCGCGCCGGCGGGACATATCCCGGAACCCCCCTCCCGGGAGACATGGCTTCGACTCAGCGAAGCCACAGACCAAGGGCAAACACGCCGTGCTTCTTCACCCACCGAAGCCAAGGCGAGCAAACTACAGGGCTACTGCCACCGGCTGCACTTCCGCATGTCTTGTGTAATTCTTGAACCCCATCCCACACGGCCCTGGCGTCCTAGACCGGGATGGGCCTAGCCGACGTAACTTCTCAAGGCATCCGACCAACAGGGCCAAGCTGACCTACATGATCCTTTTTGCGATCTCCACTGCTATGGGAGACTAGGGTTGGATGTTGTGCTCGGGTGACTTCTACTTCGAGTAGGAAGGGGAGCAAACATGGCCAAGGTATTCGTCCACTTCGAAGAATACAAAAGCCCGGGGCCGCTCGCCTGGATCCTGTGGTACATTCACCAAAGCAGCAGCCAGAGCAAAATTTCACATCACTCCCATATTGGAGAACGCCGGTCAAGTCACATCTTTCCTCCTTCCATCAGGTGACTTCCCATCATGAGCGGCTTCCAGGACAACAACTCGTCATCCTCCCTCCCTGGTGTTGGGGAGAAGGACGTCGAGATCATCACGACTCACCATGCTGGCGAGGGCATGTTCTCGGAAGAGAAGTATGACCCAACATCAAATGCGCCGGCATCCTCAGACGGCACACAGTCGGACGACGACACTAGCAGCACCATCAGCGAACCGAAGCAGGCTCCTCTGTCCAAGTTCCAGGCCATCGCCCTCACGGCAACCGCTACCGGCGCATGCTTCTTGAACGTGAGTCGAGCCATCACCCCGCCGATGCCCCAAGAAACAGATCTTCTAACATATTTTACCAGACACTCTCTATTCAAGCCGTGGTCATCATCCTCCCTACCATAGGCCGAGATCTCAACATCCCTGAATCTCGCGTTCAATGGATCGTCTCCGCCTATTCGCTCACCTTCGGCTGCTTCCTTCTCCTCTGGGGCCGTATCGCAGATATCTACGGCAAGCGTCTTATCTTCGTCCTCGGTACCGCCTGGCTTGCCGCCACGACCGTAGCTTGCGCATTTATTCCCAACGAGATCGCCTTTGACTTCGTCCGCGGCCTGTCAGGTCTCGGAGCCGCCGCAAATGTTCCCACAGCAATCGGCATCTTGGGGACCACATTCCCTCCAGGTAAGGCCAAGACGTATGCCTTTGCAGCCTACGGCGCTGGCGCACCCCTTGGAAGCATTTTCGGCAACATTCTCTCTGGTATCATCGCCGAGTACGCCAACTGGAAGTGGGTGTTTGGTGTTCTGGCGCTTCTTGCTGGTCTCGTTGCCATCGCTGGTGTATTCGTGTTTCCTGCCGAGACTGTTACTCTGCACAAGAAGGGCGTGAGCACGAAGAAGTCCGTGGACTGGATCGGTGGTGGTCTCATTACCGTGGGTCTTCTCGCGCTCATGTTGGCATTGACGGAGGGTAACGTCGTCGGCTGGCGCACACCCTGGATCTCAGTCCTCCTCGTCATCTCCCTCATTATTATCGCTTCTTTCTGGTTCTGGCAACGCCACTTGGAGTTCAAGACCAGCCGCCCTCCTCTCATGAAGACCTCAATCTTCCAAAGCGTCAGGTTTTGCGCCGCCATGGCTATCATGGCTCTCTTCTTCTCGTCTTTCAACAACTTCCTCACTTACGCGACATACTTCTACCAGCAATACCAGGGTCAATCCATCATCACTACGACGCTCTACTTTCTTCCCACGGGTGTGGCTGGAATTCTCGTTGCATGGGCCGCAGCGCTTCTCATCTCTCGAGTGCCCACCTACTTGCTACTGGTCTGTGGCAGCGCCTCCGTCTCCATTGCTTGCCTGCTGTTTGCGATACCCATCCCATCTACGACGTCGTACTTCGCCTATGGTCTGCCGGCCATGATCCTGGCCGTCATTGGTTCAGACACAGCCTGGCCATCTCTCACTCTGTTCGTCTCCAAGTCGCTTCCCCAAGAGGACCAGGCCCTGGGCGGAGCGCTTGTCAACTCTGTCGGCCAGGTCGGTCGGTCCATTGGCCTGGCTCTTTCGACTGCCGTTCAGACAGCCGTCATGGCAAACTCCAGGGGCACATCGGTGGAGGATGTGGGGCCGGTTATGGAATGGGATCAGCCTTCATTGGACGGTCTTAGGGCAGCTTCTTGGATGAACTTTGCCCTGGGCATCACCTCCCTTGTCATTGTTTGTGTTTTCTTCAGGAGTTCAGAGATTGTTGGCAAGGCTGATTCGCCTGAGCCGAAGAGGGACGAGGAGGCGGCCACGACTACAACAGAAATAGAAGTTGAGAAGAAGTAGAAGCAGAGGCGCTGCTGGTTAGACAAAAGTAATGCATTTTCTGTTCGTCAAATGTCTTTCGCAAGCTTAACCGTGATGATCTTCTATCGACCCGCAGGGACCAAGACATAGTGTAGCAGACGGTCGCTGCTAGAGCAGATCACATTCCATGGCACAAACGAGTCCACATTGCAACCGAAGCGATGAGCAGAATGTCAGACATACTAGTTTCTGTAATTGGGTCTGCGGCGACTGAATCGCAACCAACTCCACCCGACAGAATAGAATACGGGCGTCCGACCAATGCTGTGAGATTGAACTGCCCCGAATCGCACCATCACGACGATCTGTCTCTAACAATCAGAGTCATCTGGTAGCGCCGGCCTCGTATCCTTGTCCCTTGGCCGTGCGGCGTAGGGCCGTAACGCCATGTTTGCTCCAAGACAACCCTGTTCCGACCTCTTCACTGCGGGCGTGTTGGGAGCAAACAATCGGTGAACAGGGTAGTATTAGTGAAGAAACAACAAAGACTCTGCTTCCGACCACCACGGTTCTTGGCCAACGTTGATTACACAACAGAAACTGCCCATGTGCAGGGGCCGCTATGTTGCCTGCATTTAGCTCGATTCCCGTGTCTGCATGCCACCCCGCACATTCATCTACCATTATCCATGAGATGGTGGGTATGATTAAGAGGTTTCTATGTCAATGAATCTGTCCTCAGCTGCAGGTGTACACCTCTTGGCTTGCCATCAAAAAGGCTGTAAGGATCGCGCGGTGGCCAATGTCATACTCGCTGATGAAGAACACCAATCATCCATAAAAGGTTCGATCGGGATCACCACCAATGAAACTTGCCTTGAAGATGTTGAAAAAGGCTCCGAGACCGGTGCCAAAAACATCCCTTTATCTGACGGAAATATTATGCTGGTCAGGGTAGAACAGGTGATACTGGCTGCTCGCCTACAGTCAAGCAACGGCATTCCCCGACTTATATAGGCAACTTACTGAAGCATCGATTCATCGACGGTGATGATGTGAAGGATACGGTTCTATGCAGCGGTCAGTAGATCGAGTGTGTTTCCTGCGGCAGCAGCAGCCAGCCGTTCTGTGAACCTAGATGCGCTAAGGAATTATGCCGCACAAGTCCTGATGCTTTGTGGTATAGATGACCTGATTTTGTTGAGGGCAAAATGGAGGCTATATTTGCAGGCAATTCTCTTAGTGAGTCATATCGTAGGTCACTGAGGTAGCCCACACACACTTTCTAGCTTTCAGGGTTCTATGTCCCCACGTGGCTGGGCCTACTTTCAAACCCTGGGGCTCAGATCAACGTGTTATCAGCCGGTATCTGTTGACTTAACCATCTGTCGAAACGAAGGCCATTCAAATAACGTGCTGGTTGACAATCTTTTTCGTTTATTGGAGACTTTCTGCTCAGTTTTACGTGCATATCTCTTGCTCTTCCGGTAAGGGTTTTGGCAAGGGGTTTCCATCCATCTAGTTGTTGATCGTACCCTTATGACCTCCAGGCAGCTCATGTATCTCCAGCTCCCAAGGGAATGACTACATGTATTCCAGGTTTTTAGTAACTCAATAAGGTTCTGCTGCCTTCCATCACACAAAATTTGTCCATCGTGAAATCGTACTACACCGTCGTGGGCTTCCACAATAGTGGCTGTTGGCTTCTCCGATGTTAGACACAAACCCATATATTCCAAGCTCCAGGCACGCCTCCAGGAGGAAGTTTTCATCCGAATTGTCATCTTCAATGCTCATTGTCGTCTATCCACCATCATCGTCTCAAACATCTAACAACAACCAACTTCCTCAGTCGCAACTACTTACCACTGCGACATTAATCAACACATATCCAGCCTACTTTAATGGGTATTTCTGCATCTGCAATCAGAATGCGTTCGAACAAAAGCTGCGTTAAGTCCACCTGGTCCTCTGATTACAATCCATGCAAGAAGCAGGTTCGCTTTACCGAGGATACCTTTGATCCTCGCCCATCTGCTCTCTCACACACCCTGGACAATTTCATGTTCGCCCAGCCAGAAGATATGGCTTGCTTTGATCACTTTCCAGATGAGCCCGTGGTCATCCGTCGCACACGGACAGTCCGCACGCCCAGCAGTAGCCCTGTTCGGACCGAGCAGATCAGCACCTGCGCTCCCCTCAAGAGCTGCATGAAGAAGCCCAAAAACTACGAACTTCCCGCGGTACCACCTAAAACCGTCCGCTTCAACGCGGCGCTTGAATATGATACCGATGTCATCAAGCATGAGCCTCCCCGACAACAGCATCAGTCGCCACCCAAGGACTCCTCTGCTAAAGAGCCCAACCCGAGAACAAAACTGCCGGACAGACCTCTGAAGCGCGCCAACCTGGAGAAAAAAGAATCCTTGGCAACAAAAAGGGCCAGATTCGCAGTCGACGACAACAATGACAACGGCAGCGACACCGAGGAATTCAGCGACATCGAGGAGCACATCTTCCGCATCGAGGATATGGTGACCGACTTCCGCGTAGAAATGGCTTGGAAGAGAATGAGGGAGCAGGAGCTCCGGGAATGGGACAATTACATGTTCAGAAAGTCGCTTATGGGGAACAAAATCCGAAACACGAAACCTTCGATGATAAAGAAACGAAGTCCCTCACTACCGCAGGAGTGGAGCGAGGGGGTTGAGCGCGGTGTAAAATCTGGACTGGTTGGTTCAGTGCAGTTGAGTACGGGCAGGCAAGTCGGCCTCAAGGCCGCGAAAGCGCGCCACCCGCTGTTCCGGGTTTGAAGGTCGAAAGCATAACGAGGCGCGTGTAGAATGGCAAGCCGAAGGTGATGAGAAGGCGAGGGATAGAGGATTCGGGATGGATCCAGGACTGCTATTCCCGGCAGGCGACCAAATTGACGATTTGGACAAATCTAGAAGCATATCACGTCAAATCAAATACGAAGAAATTAAACGTCACATACGATTTTAGGGAAAACCGTGCCGTCCTGCTAATTTTCATATCTTATTGTTCTTCCCCTGCCCGTAATACACGTAAAGCTTAATGGCCCCTCAACCGCAACGAAGACCATCTTGCCTACCGCAACCACAGCCAATACAAACTGAAACAAATCACACTCACCCCTTCAAAAAGCCCATCTCCTCGACAACATTCCAGGCTCTCCTCGCAGCAGCGTCCAAATCCTCCCTGGTCGCCGGTATCCCCGCCGCCACAATCTGCCACTGCAGCTCCGGCACCAGTCTCGTCAAGACGTCACAGACGCGATACAGCTCCGGCAGCCGCACAGGGAGCAGTGCCTCCAGCGCGTCGTACACCGCGGTGAACTCGTCGTAGCTCTGATCCCGCTCTTGTACCATGCTGCGCAGCTTCGAGACGGTCTCGAGGAGGCGGCGCATTATCGCCTCGTTGGCCGGGTTCGTGAGAGGTTCCATTTGTGCCAATCCGTCTGAAGGAATGCTTGAGAAGGGTTCTGATGAAGTCAAAGCTCGTCAACACAGAATGAAGTCAAAACACAGCCGGCCGGATGTTCATCATTGAACAGGCGCAACTCCATCACAGAGTTCCATGTGGGTCTGCAAGTTCCATTCTCGCGCAGGATACCCGGAGTACCGTGGGGTGTCAAGTTTCGCCGGGATGCGTGCCGGAAGTGCTGGTACCTGGAGATGATCATAGCTCCGACGAACCTGACATCATTGAAGAGCTTCCAGCCAGTGAGCTTTCAGCTTACGTGCGACAGGGGACACCATCGCGAGGCATCTTCCCCGCAGGGCGAACACTATGACCACGATGTCACGACATGGAGTCAAGACTCACAAAGACAGTTCGCAACGGATGTCGTAGCTCTTGAACAGCGCTTTGAGCGCCTTGATTCATTTAGCTATAGATGGCCTAAGTCGAGAGGGCCAAGCAGGCGTCTACAGCCAGTCCAACCCTGCCCTGCTTCTGGTATACCACGTCCGAAATAATGTCCCTGTCAAGGTCGGGAAACATGCCAGCAAGCGTTTCGACGACGTTGTTGTGCTCTGCCCTATGAAGGCGCTGAGCTTCTGCAGCTTCGGCACTCGCCTGTCTCGCGGCCGCCTCCTCTGCCGACAGCTGATGCCGAGAGCTGGGCCGTTGTCCCTCAACTTCCATACTGGGTCTCGGAGACAAGCGCTCGGGGCCACCAGGGGCTCGGGGCGGGTTGCTTGGTCCTGCAGGCGGAGGCGAGGGCTCGTCGGAAAACATGCGACCGATTGTGCTCAGGGGCTTCTGTATTGAGCGGAGAAGGCCGCTGATCGGAGCTTGGTCCGTATCTGGGGTGCCCTCATTCGATGAGGTCGAGCGACGTGGGACTGATGATTCGCCGACGGCGATGTCTAGCGATGGCCTCGTTGTGGAAGCCTCGCTTGGTGGAAAGCTAAAGCCGGACTTTTCTGAGAATACGGGTTCTTGCACAGGATGAGGAGAGTCAAGGCGGTGCTTCTCTGCGATGGCCGAAACAGCCGCCTCCACGTTCTTCTCGAATTCTTCGTCGGTGATGGTCAGCGTTGTCCGGTCCATGTTCTCGATGAACTGGATAGCACCCATCTGAGTGGGGTCAGCATGAAATGAATTGCATAACCGAGCAATCGTCGATGACTTACTAATGATGAGAGGTAGTAGCCTGCCTCGCCGCCGAGCTTCTCTTGGTTCCTGAAACGTAGGATGTACTGTACGTTGGAGACCAAATGCTCGGGGTTGGCTTGGAGGACAACGTAAATCAAAAGAGGCATGAAGGAGTCTGCGGAAGAATCCGATTTGGAATGCTTTAGTAGGCCTTGGATTGGTTAGACATCGAAACCGGTACAATCTCAGCGCGAGACTCACCAAATATGACCTTGCAGCAGTTCAAGACGCAGATGATCTTGTCTCGAGGGGCCCTGTAAGACTTGATTTTGAGAAGTTCTATGAGAAGTTAGCAGCGACCAAAGTTGTCTCGTAACAAGGCCACCAACCTTGCTGGGCGAGTTTCAGAAAACGTCTACCACTCTCGCCAGCTGGAGGAATGTCTAGATGCTCTTCTCTCAACCAGGCGTAGATCTGGATCTTTTGCGTCAAGACATCGTCGCGCTCGATATCTTCTTGGTGTTGCCCCCTCCGTCCGGGTCCCATGGGTCGCTCGCCACCTCTCCTCTTTGGCTTCGCGCCGGGAATAGGTTGGGGCGGAGGAATCGCCGGAGAGAAAGTCTGCGTGTAGAGTCTGTTCATGACGAGCTTTTCCATACCCTCGCGCGCATTGTCAAACTCGGCGTCAGAAACATCCCGCCACACCTCGCACTGGGCCATCTTGTTGGCGATGAATGCCAGGAAATCACTGATGATCTTGACCTGCTCGTGCACCATCCACTGCCGCTTTCCAAACTCGGACAAGAAAGACTTGAGGTATCTAGCGACTGGGTCTGCCTTTTTGTTTCGTAGTTGTTCTAAGAAACGGTGGAAATCGAATGGTAGTGCTGGCTCTGGCTCGGGCTCGGGCGGCGGCGGTCGGTGCAGTCCTGGAGACATTTGGGAGTCGACACTCATTTGGCGGTCGTCATGCGAACGCGCCGGGGTTGCGGGCGGCCCATCCTTAGGGGGCACGGGGGGCCCTTGATCGTCGGCCGGCCTTTCACGGGAGAGGATGCTCGCGGGAGAGGCAGTGTGTATCCTAAGGCCCTGCAGCTCCTGCACCTGATGGGAAAGCGACGGCGCCACCAGAGGCTCGAGACTAGACTTGCGAGGAGGGTGCTGAATCCCGGGGCTGCCCAGAGTAGTTCCCAGCATCGGCGACGCAATCTCCAGTCTTGGGCTCATGACTTCCTCCTCTCCGGGACCTCCACCATCGCCGGTGAACTGCTCCATGATGCTTTGGATCTCGGAGCGCGAACCCTCCTGTTCATCTTCGCTCGCGTATCGACGCTCGTCGTAGCCCGCATCGGACCTCGTTGGGGAGGATTCGGAGGATATCCGGCGCTGACCGGCGTTCGAAGGGGTTCGGGAAGGCGGTTGGGAAGTTCGCGGAGTGGGAGGTGTTGGGTCGACGTAGGGTGCCGAGGTCGCTTCTATCGTGAGGAACTGTGTGGAGGTCTCCGCTGGCAGAGGACTCGTAGGCTTCAGGGTAGCGATGGAGGAAGTCATGGTCTCTGCGGTTCCTCCAGGGGCTGGTGCGGAGGCGGTCTGAGCAGATCCTTCCGTCTTGTTCTCATCATCTGTAATAACAGGAGCTGCTGGCGCAGGAGCTGAAGAATCGTCGCCAAAGTCGATCAGATCGTCGGTGGCCTGCTGCTTGCCGGCTGCTTTCGCAGACATGGTAGCTTTGCCATCCTCGTTGTGGTTCTCGAGACTGGCGAGGTCTGTTTCAGCCTTGGACCCCGCGTGCTCGGCGCTCGTCACCGGAACGGTCTTGTCATTTTGCGTGGCGCCAGACAGGCCGGAGGAGTTATCTGTGGGATCCGTAGGAGACATACACCACAGATATTCGGATCAAGTGAGAATTCGGATTTGGAGCTTGAACTAGGGCTAGCGATCGAGGCTGAGGTTATTGTTGAAGTCGGCGACGGGTTGTGGGGGGCGAGGCTCGAGCTCAGCAAAGGGCGGAGGCGGGACTGTTGCTGACATGCAGATGCGCAGTCTCCAGGGCCAGGGTAGGTGCAGGGAAGAATCGTGAGTGATCTTCAAAATGGATACGATTATTGAGGGTGTCGGAGGGACGGTGCTGCAGGCGGCAAAGCGGGTGGAGGGTGTCGGCAGCAGGTGAGTAGGTTGGTTGTTGAGATATCGGATTGGAGTATCACGGGATGGGATCAGCAATGTAGCGGGTTGACCGTGTGACGGCGGAGAAGGCTGCAGCGGTGCTCAGCGATTCTAGATCCCACAATTCGTGGGGGATTGCTAGAACTGCAGTGCACCACCTGCTGAATGTGCTGCGCCGGAAGCCAGAGTTTTGCCGGATTCCAGGGTCCCACGACCTGCAGGAGCCGCTGTGACCTCACGACGTCACCTGAGTGGACAGACGCCCAGACCATCGCGCGGTCTTTCGGGGAAATCATTTGCCGAGAGGTTGAGCTGCCGTCACGTGATGAGACTGGATCAACGCTTATGTCATTCAACGTCCGGACTCTCGTCTCCTCCGCTGCCCCGCATCGGCCGCACGTCGGATCCGGTGCGCCGGAGTCGGGGTGTCCAACAGTTCTTCCGTCCCGGCGCACGGCTCCCTCTTCCATCATTCCAGTGTCTCAGCTTGACAAGGGGGCTCGACTTCTCAAATACTGCCCTCGACCTCGGCTCATCAACTTGCATCACCGTCCTCGACTCATTCTTGCATCAAAGTCGATGCCCTCAAGGAGAAAATCTGCCTCCATCGCCAAGTACGGCCAAGTCTGCCCCCAAACGCTTGACTAGCTCGTCGGATCAGCACAGGGGAACTGTACCGCCCCGATCCTCTCGCAAATCTTTCTTTTTCGGTTTGCTCAGACCGCGGCTCTGGGCCCGTCTTCCCGCTTTTATTTTCCCCCGACCGGAGCCGTTTTCTTTCATCGAAGTCTTGTTGCTTTTGGTGTTGAGCCACCGTCCGGTCGGCGGACCTGCAATAAACGCCAGTCTCTGGTCAACTTACTTTTTTCCAGCACGCGGGAACCTGAACTCTGCGCTTCCGGCGCTCCGGCCCATGAGGCTGGGCCCGCGCTCGGTCCTCTGACAAGTGTCAGCGCGGCAAGAGCCTTTCGCCTACTTGTCCTGAAAGGGTGTGAAGCTGAACTTCCCTCAACCTCCGAAGTCCGCTCCTTCATGCCCACCACACCTCACGTCAAACCCAGGATGGTAATTCACTGTCTTGGTTGTCAGGATGAGGCGTGGCGACCGGATTGTCTTGCTCGCTGAGTGGCCCTCACGTCTGGTGCGATCCCTGTTCAGGAGTCTCCTTTGTGAGCGTTTTCCCGTTTCGATCTGGTCATCCCAAGTTTCAGGTTGGAACTTCTAGAACGTATCGTGTTCAACCCAACTACGACGACCCACCACGGGCGTTGTCAAATTCGCAAGCTGCACTTTTATCGACAAGCGCCGTTCGTCCATCAGGGAAGCCTCGTGGTTGGTGCCAGCCCTCCATGTCGACTCTGGCTTGCCAAGCGGCAAAGTCACGGTTTCGGTGCCGTGGTTGACAGCTAGATGAGCTGAAGACAAGAGTCATTCGCTACGTGTTTTGTTTCTGGCACGACTGCCGTCTTCTGTTGCCGAACCTCGGCCTGAAGCCCTTCGACTGAAGAAGCAAACACCATCACCGGCCGGTGACTGTTCAATGATGACTGCTGAGAGAGTATGATAAGTGATATCACATCCCAATCACGTATTGCCTCATGGCCCAACTGAAATGGGCCTCTCGGCTGGGTACGAGGCCATCGGGTGCATGAGGCCAGAACGATAGACTTCGAGACGGTTGCCCTGGCCTTGGCCTTGCAGATCATGGGTCGTTCTGCAAACAATCACTTCGAAACGACGGCCCCGACCCCCAAATCGACAAGACTCGATGGGGCTACCTTATCGGATTTAGGCTACCGAAGAGAAATGACCCCAATATGCCTCGGTTTGTTGGCAAGATCCTCCTGTTGCTCCCGTGCCTGGCCCTGGATCTCTGATAAACGATGTGCATCAGGCTACATGCCGGCTGCGGCTGTAGACGTCAGGGGAAACCAGCCGGCTGGGTAAAGCGAGAACGGCTGAACGACATGAGTCTCTGCGCTGCTCCCCGATCCCGATGGCTTGGCCGCCGCATCCCAGGAACCTGCGACCGTGCTTCCCACCCGTAAGAGACCAGATGTTTCCCAAAACGGACAGACTTGCGATTCGGAACCTGCCACCAGTCCACCTTCAGCCTGCGCCTCAGGAGATCTCTGTCGAACCCCAGATGTGTCTTACATGCCAAGGGACGCCTCTTTGCGGGATGTCTCTTGTTGTCTGTGGCGCTTCGAGAGATGCGACTGGCCAGAATTCTGGACGGGGAACGGGGTCGATGCCTTTTGGGACGGAATTGGACGACGGTTGTGTGTGGAAACGTCTCCCCGAGGTTGACAATACTCACACCACACCATATCGTCATCTCAACACCAAAAGGCTCGGCGGCGTGGTTTGACGTGCAGAAGAACTTTGTATAAGATGGCTGCAAGACCGTTTTGACTCAAACTCATCTCATCAGCACCTGCATTAGTCCAACTCTACCACATACCCGTCAACGGTCAGCTCGTTCCAATTCATCCACGCCCAGGAGGCAGTCATTCACTCTTTGCGACGCTGTATCTCAAGTCTGCTCTGCGAGCGTTTTCTTTTCTGCCCACATAGTCCCCTCTTGCCAAATCCAAAACCTTCCTTTTTACTTCCTTCACCATGAGGTTCAGCAACGTTCTCGCCTTCGCAACCGCCGCGGCTGCCTTCCCCGGCCTCCAACAGCCTTCGTACAACGAAGAGCTCGAGGCGCGCGACCTCGAGGCCCGCCAGCGCGGCCGCGTCGGCAGCACCGCCAAGGAGTTCACGCAGGGCGGCTGCAAGGACGTCATCATGATCTTCGCCCGCGGCTCGACCGAGGTCGGCAACATGGGTACCATCTGCGGCCCGCCGACGGCCAACGCGGTCAAGTCGCAGTTCTCAAGCATGGCAGTCGAGGGCGTCGACTACGCCGCGGGGCTGTCGACCAACTTCCTGCCCGGCGGCGGCGACCCCAAGGGCATCTCGGAGATGAAGCGGCTCATCAACAAGGCGGCGACCGACTGCCCCAACTCGATGCTGGTCGTCGGCGGCTACAGCCAGGGCGCGGCGGTGACGCACCGCGCGGTCGAGGACCTGCCGCAGGCGCAGAAGGACCAGATCGTGGCGGCCTTCATGTTCGGCGACACGCAGAAGCAGCAGGAGGGCGGCGTCATTGCCAACTTCGACCCGGCCAAGACCAAGATCATCTGCAACCCGGGCGACGCCGTCTGCGTTGGCACGCTCAACATCCTGCCTCCCCATCTGGCCTACGGCGCCCGCGCCAACGAGATGGCGGACTTCATCACGCAGAAGCTCACGGCGGCCGGCGCACAGAGGCGCAAGTAAGGGAATCAAACGCATTTGCATATCCATCCTCGAGATGGAGTAGCGGGGGCTTGATGCCCCAGTAAAGCATTTTCAATGTTGGGACGGCGGCATAACTGTTTTCTTCACATATTTCCACTCTTCTCTTCTCTCTTCACTTCTCTGTACATGGCTGGCATTAAGAGATATCCGTTTCTTCTGTTGCATATTTTGGGAACCAAGACTTTTGTGTGACGTCAGCATATGGGCCTCCTTGGTTGGAGGAGACTGCTCTGGCGACGGGGCAGCCAGAGAGTTGTGAGCTGACTGGACTGGGATGTTTGGGGAAGGAGTTGGCGGCAACCAAGACAGGCCTCAGACAATCGTTGATCGATGTGCAAATGAATAGAATATTCTCCGAACCTTGTGCTCCATCCGACAGTGTTCTGTAACGGTGACTGATCGAAGGCCTGACATGTCACTGGGTCGAGGAGGGGGTATGCCGGCAGCCACAGGGCGGAAGAGGCCGAGGTACCTACACCCAGTGCTGAAGTGAGGTTCTCGATAGTTGCACTGTGTCTTCGTAGTTGAATACCGTGGGTACATGCAATACCACAGTTTCCGCACTGTACCTGGGTCATTCTCTACTTCCACTCAACAAGCTCTGTCTCTCCCTTCCTTCAGCTTACACCTCACCACAGAGGTTATCGTCATCGGCGTCCTCTCAACATCCGCTTCCATCAAGCCGGCTGAACGCAAACAACAGACGATGGCATCATCCCACCGGACACCGGACCAACTCAACTTAGCTGGAAGCACATGTCGAAGGGCTGAATCCCGAGCGTGTCAATTCGCCAGCGCGCAGTATCGACTGGCCATGATTCCATGAAATACCTGCGGTGCGCCGTGACGACTCCACCAGCGTGCGACGCAGCTTCAAAGGGTCTTGCCTGCACCACCTTTCGCCTGAACAGTTCCTCTCGTATGACGCCCGAAAAAATCCGCGGCCAAATTCCCAGGATGCGCTGTCGAGAACACCGGATGGCATCCGTGCTGCCTCGCCCTGCCTCGCACCTCGGGATTCTTAGGTTTCCCGCAGTGTGAACCTTAAGACGCAGTCGCTAAGAGATGCCTCGGGGACTCAAGCAAGGCATGGACGTTGAGGTCCGGACCGTCACGACGCGGAGCCGCCTGGCCCAAAAGCCCTGGGTCGAATTCCTGCCCGTCGTTGATCCATCTGCCGTTGCGGAGGCGCAAACGAGACACCGGGACGGTCGATCCCCATCCCTTCGCGGCTAGAGACGTTTTTGGCAGTGTGTCCGAGGCAGAGGCCAGCGAAACGGATCGCCATCCCTGATTTATTCCGTCGTGCCGGGTGCCTTCTCGGCGGCAACTCTGTTCGCGGAGGGCAGAAAATCGCTAAGCTTTCGACTTTGTCCAAGTTCATGTGCACCACACGTGGGACAAGATGCGGCTGGCAGCTTTGGCAGACGGTAGTGTCGAGTTTGTCGGAAACCTTGGCAACTCTCAATCGACCTCCCCAACTCTCCCTCCGCTGATGCCTCCGCTGCCGCTCAGCTTGGCAATCAGGGGTTCATGACCATCGTCTGCTGCTTACTCGCTCGCTCGCTCACTGTGGCTTTGTTTTCTTCACCTCTGACCTGATTGACAGACGCACCACAGAAATGTCCTGCAATCGCCTCCAGCAGCCGCCCAACGGCCCCAGGCTAGCGTTCCCACCACGTGGGGAGATCAGCGCGGGATAACGGTCCCAACGGGGGACGCCGCCCGCTGACGCATGCGCGGACGACTTTCTGAAAGCTGCTGCTGGATCGATATCTTTAGCATCCTGCAGTGTCTAATTTCGCGAGGGTGTCTTTGGCCTTGGCAGCCCACTCCGGGTGAGATGCACCTCGTTAATGACGAACTCGATGCCCGCTGTTTTTCCCTGCTCACTGGGTCCGCGTCTCCCCACGATTTCCCACGACTTGCCTCCATCAATTCGCTTTCTTGCTTCCGTCAAAGCATCAGCTGTTCGCGGAGAGGCGACAGGATGGCTATTCTTTGCATTGTCCAACTCAGTCCTCTGCACGTCCGACGGCGTTAAAGCATCGCCATCAGGAGACCAACCTTCGAGAGACGAACAATCAAAGCGCGCCCGCCCGACCGAGTCTGATGCAGCCCTACGAACCGCAGCACCTGAACGAACCCATGCGGTCGACCCGGCTGGCTTCTTTTGATGTTTGAGGCATGATCGAATTTGCAAGAAAATCTTGCATCTGTCACTCGCTTTTTTGATGATTTGAGAACGCGACCATGAGCGAGAAACCGGGCACCGAAACGCCACCGCCGGGCGAGCCGCCGCACGGCGCCGACAATAATTCAACGGGGAAATCACAACAGACCATCGCATCCTCCGGGCGCGACGCCCTCACCTGGTGCAAGAGCATCTTTTTCGAAGTCGTCCTCGGTCGCAAGACGTTACCGCCATCAAAGAATGGGCGCCATATCCCACTGCAACTGGACCAAGAGGCGCCGCTTACGGACGAGCGACGAGGCGGTCATCCCTACGTATCCAATGCCATCCGAACGTCCCGATACACCGTTTACGACTTTATTCCCAAGCAATTGTTCTTCCAGTTCTCCCGCATCGGCAACTTTTACTTCCTCTGCGTTGGTGTACCGCAGACCGTACCAGGGCTCTCCACGACCGGAAACTTCACGACTATTCTCCCGCTGTTATTCTTCGTCCTGGTTACTGTGGCGAAGGAGGGATATGACGATTTCAAACGACATCGGCTGGACAAGGTGGAAAATGCGTGCACCGCCAAAGTGCTCAAACACTCGAACCAGCACCACCGCGCCAGCGCTGCCAGCTGGATTTCACGAGTGAAGGACAGATTACGGAAGAAAGACGGCAATGAGGAGTACGAAGAACAAGATGAACCTTGGGTTCGGACGAAATGGGCCGACATCGAGGTTGGAGACGTGATCAAACTGGCGCGCGACGACCCTGTCCCAGCGGACATCGTGCTGCTGCATGCAGACGGAGAGAATGGTCTGGCGTACATCGAGACAATGGCTCTCGACGGCGAAACGAACCTGAAGAGCAAACAAGTTTCAACCGCAATTACTGGCTGTGATACTGTTGAGGGAATCACCACTTGCGACGCAGAGTTCGTTGTCGAAGACCCCAACCCGGACCTGTACAAGTTTGATGGAAACGTCTCCGTCAACGGGAAGTCGCTGCCACTCACGTCGGCCGAAGTTATTTACCGCGGCAGCATTCTGCGCAATACGGGTTGCGCGATCGGCATCGTGATCAACACTGGAGAGGAATGTAAGATCCGCATGAACGCGAACCAGCATCCCAAGGCGAAGAAGCCGGCCCTCGAGACCGTGGCCAATAAGATCGTCATCACCTTGGCCATATACGTGGTTGTCCTTTCGATCGGGTGTTCCATGGGTTACATCATGTGGCAGAGGTCTCAAGAGCGGAGGACGTGGTATCTTCAAGATGCGGAAGTCAAACTTCACGAGATTATCATCGGCTACATCATCCAGTTCAACAACGTCATTCCGCTGGCCTTGTACGTCAGTCTTGAGATTGTCAAAGTCGGCCAGCTACTCATGCTCAACTCCGACATCGACATGTACCACGCCGAAACGGACACGCCGGCTCGATGCAATACAAACACCATCCTCGAGAACCTGGGCCAAGTGGGCTACATATTCACCGACAAGACTGGCACGCTCACTGAAAATGTGATGAAGTTCCGAAAGTTGAGCATCGCGGGCACAGCTTGGCTGCACCAGCCTGATGTTGACTTGGAATGCGAGAACAGCTCAGTTGATACCCTCTCTGAAGTCAAGAATGGCCCCCGCATTTCCACGCAGTACATCAGGCCCGAGGCAATTTCAGACGACTATCTCCAGTCTCCGACGTCTTTTGGCAGGCCTTCAATGGCTCAGTCCCGAGCACCGCCTACCAGGAGATCTTCTTCGCAGTGGAGATCCACAGGCCGCCCCGACCATGTTCAGCCTGACGTAACGACGAAGGACCTCCTGGAATTCATTGCCTTGAGGCCGCACTCATTGTTTGCCAGAAGAGCAAAAGACTACATCCTCGCCATGGCATTGTGCCATACTTGCCTTCCAGAGATAAGAGATGGCGCAGTGGAGTTTCAGTCTTCATCCCCCGACGAATTGGCCATCGTCCGGGCTGCTCAAGAGCTTGGGTACACCGTAGTCTCTCGATCCTCCACCAGCGTCACCCTCCGCCTCGCGTCAGAAGCCGATAAGGACCTCACCTTCGATATTTTGGACGTCATCGAGTTCAGCAGCCATCGCAAGCGCATGTCTGTTGTCGTACGATACCCCGATGGAAGAATCTGCATCATCTGCAAAGGCGCCGACTCTGTTATTCTGCCGAGGCTAAAGATGGCAAACATAGCTATGCAAAAGGCTCAGGATGTGAGAAAGAGCGCAGATCTCGAGCGCGAGCTCCTTCGGAAGAGCGAGCAACATGAACCAAGGACAAGCATCGGCGGACGGGCTAGTATGACATTACGCCGAAGTCTTGGTCTGCAGCGCCCCGGGCCTGGTCCAAGTTCAAGACCTACAATGGATCGGAGTGTGTCATTTGAGGCTAGCAAGCTTCGCAAATCCGGCGATCTACTGCGACCTTCGATCAATGTCCGAACAGCGTCCTTTGAAGCATCCCCTACAGCGCCGACCTTTTCCAACCAGACGCCTGAGAAATTCGCCTTCCTCGACGATCCTTCCATTGCGGACGACTCTGATATCTTCACAAGATGCTTTAAGCATTTGGACGACTTCGCCACCGAGGGACTTCGCACCCTGCTTTTCGCTCAAAAGTTCATCTCTAACCAGGACTACCGCGCTTGGAAGCAGTCCTTCGACGCCGCTGCCACCAGTCTGACTGATCGGCAAGAAAAGATCGAGGCAGCTGCAGAGACGATTGAGCAGTCCTTCAACCTTGTCGGCGCTTCCGCCATCGAAGACAAGCTTCAAGAGGGGGTCCCGGAGACAATCGACAAGCTTCGGCGTGCCAACATCAAGATCTGGATGTTGACAGGTGACAAGCGAGAGACCGCCATCAATATTGCGCATTCGACCCGCATCTGTCAGCCAGTGTCCGACCTGTATACACTCGACGTCACAAAGGGAGATCTCTCCGGGCAGATGATTGCGCTGTCAGAAGATCTGCACTCAGGCACGGTTCACAGCGTCGTGGTCATTGACGGACAAACACTCGCCGCCGTGGAGAAGTCGCCTGAGCTAACGGCGCAGTTCTACTCCGTTGTCCCACTCGTTGACTCCGTCATTTGCTGCCGAGCGTCTCCAGCACAGAAGGCCCTCATGGTCAAGACTGTGCGATCGCAGCTTCGTAAGAAGAAGGGTGGCCGCATGGGCTATGGCCTGACGCTTGCTATCGGGGACGGCGCGAACGACTTGGCCATGATATCTGCCAGCCACGTCGGCGTCGGCATCTCAGGCAAGGAAGGTTTGCAGGCGGCGCGTGTAGCTGACTATGCTATCGCTCAGTTCCGGTTCCTACAGCGACTGCTCTTGGTTCATGGCCGTTGGAACTACGTCCGCACTGCCAAGTTCATTCTTTGCACTTTCTGGAAGGAGATGTTTTTCTATCTGCCTACTGCCTTGTACCAGCGCTACAATGGGTACACTGGTACCTCGTTGTATGAGATGGCCAGCTTGACTGTCTTCAATACCCTGTTTACCAGTCTTTGCGTTATTTGTATGGGCATCTGGGAGCAAGACCTTAGTGCCGACACGCTTCTCGCCGTCCCGGAACTGTACGTGTACGGTCAGCGAAACATGGGATTGAACCTGGCCAAGTACGCCGGATGGATGTTTTCAGCAGCCTGCCAGGGTGTCTTGGCCTACTGGGGGGTATGGGCGGGGTACGTGTGGTTTGCGCACTCGAGCGATCAAGGCCTTTTCGCTGTGGGTGACTTGGCATTCACTTTGGGAGTCGTCTGGATCAACTACAAGTGCTTGTGAGTATACCCAATCCCTATTCGACGACATATAGCTAACGTTTCTGCAGCATCCTCGAAACACACCACAAGACCGCTATCGTGATGGGATCCTTCTTCATCACCTTCTCCGGCTGGTGGGCATGGAACGCCTTCCTATCAGGCATCTACACCCCATCGCCATCACCATATGCTGTCCGCGATGGCTTCTCCAAGATCTTCGGCGCCGACGCCGTATGGTGGTTGACCCTAATCATAATGACTCTGCTCTTCATCCTGATGGAGACCATATTCCGCACCTTGCAGCGGTGTCTCATCCTTGCCGGTCTATGGAGATGGCCATGGGTCCGTAAGGAAGACGACGTTTGCGCTTATGAGTGGCGCTTGGAGCTGTGGCAGGAATTGGAGAGGGATCCTGCCGTCAAGGAGAGATTAAGAAAACTGGCTCGGGATGAGCCTGAAGATGAGGAGGAGGAGGTCGATGTCGCTGTTTTAGAGGGCGCGGTATAAGTCATTCCTTTGCGCAAGATACCCCATCGTTTCATAGAAAATACGTGTTTTATTTTATACTCGAAGTCTTTGTTGTCGTGTTCCATATGCTTAGGTTTCTGCCTCTGTCACCAAAATAAGAGCTCTCAAATCCGAGGACGACAAGACACATGTTGACCAGAACAACAGTAGAAAAACACCTTATTCTCCGCGCTGCGCCCTCAACAGCTCCGCCTCATCAGTCACCCGTCCCTCCTCGAACCATCTCTTCTCCATCTCGCTCAGCCTGGCTGGCGGCGCCACGCCGTTTGCCCTCCACAGCTCCCTCCTCGACTCGTAGACGCCCGACTCCCAGGTGATGCCCTTGGCCTTGAAGACGGGGCGCACGACGTCGTCAAAGGCGGCGAGGAACGTCTGCTCCATCTCGGGCTTGTCGAAGACGCCGGCGATGTGGTAGATTGCGACGGTGGCGACGTCCGACGAGGGCGCGCCGGCGGTGTAGATGCTGTCCGCGGCGAACTCGAGGAAGTGGGCGTGGCAGTAGAAGGCGGGCAGGCCGGCGCTGGTGTAGATTGCGGCCATGCCCTCGGCGATGCGCTGCTTCTCTGTGGCGGTGAGAAGGTTAGAGGGCGTGTTGAAAACCCACTTTGGCATGCTGGGCAATGTTGTGTGGGATGGACAAATTCGAGGGAATTGCTAATGTGTCTTTTTTCTTCTTTTTTCTTTGGACTTTCTTTTCGTCTGAAGATGTTTTCAGAAAGCTGTCCCAAGGGCTATCATAAGATTGCGAGAACTGGGTTTACTTCTAGACTTTATTTAGACGCGACGAGGTGGCATTTGATCGCAGGGCGCGTAGTAGGGCGCGAAAGTGTAAATATGTTGAGGTGTTGAGATGTTGATTGCAGTGATACGATTACTAATCGCTACCATCTCAGTATGTTTAATTCCCTCAAGCTTTCTGTGAAGGACGGCGAAGGAATGCCCATTGTGGTATCCTGACTAGGTGGAAGAATGGCACTTCATGTGGACTGACAGTGCCAGCGGGGCCGTAGTTGAAGAGCTGAAGCTGTGATGACACCTCCAGCCGGGCAGCCTGTCTCAGCCGGAACAGCGATTATGATTTCCGCATTATCCACACACCATCACTTCACAGGACTTGATGATGATACGTTGCTGCCTTCGGGGGCCCGGAATCACTATATGATGGGTAGCAACTAGTAGGACAATTGCCCTCGCTTGATTTGATGAAGGGGTCTACTTGAATCTCAATCTCAGAACCTGTAGTGTGAGGTATTTGCATATTAGAGAAAGTATCTTGAAGCAGATCTTGCTGTTCCCGGGCTTCCAGTGTTTCTCCTGCCGCAAGGCCTCCCACCATGAGCACATATCTGTCATGGAGTGATATCTACGCCCTGTGTTCACTCTTGCCTTCTTCACTCTTAGAGTCATGACCGGGATCATGAGATGAAGCTCAGAATCCTCAATTCATATCTCACACAGTACTTCCCCCCTCAAGCAAATTGTCTATGCTATCCCTCGAGGCAAAAAGCCCTCAAACACCAGGACAAGATAACCCTCCATCCTCGCAAACGCTCCAAACGTCAAAGCTACCATACTTGCCATCAAAACACCCCGTCTTCCCGTCAATCTCGGTAGCCTCGTCCAGCACGGCGATGATCGTGTCCGGGTCGCAGTCGTCACTACTGAAGAAGACAGCCACGAGCGCCGCGTCGCCGTCGCCGGCCTTGACGATCATGGACTGGTCCTTGTGGTTGCCGTCGACCGTGCACCCCGTGCCGAGGTGAAAGTAGTGCCCGTCGACGAGGAAGTCGCCCGGCGCGCCGCGGCTGCATTTGGATGGGTCGCTGGGCGGGTTGCCCCAGCTTTGGTAGAAGGTGAAGGCGGCTGCGGAGTTGGCGAGGCCGAGAATGGCGAGGTGGAAGACGTGGTTGGAGAGCATCGTGGGAGTATTCAAGGTTGTGACGGCTGGAGGGCAATTTGGGAGGGTAATTCCAGTCAATTAAATGTACTAGAAGAGTGCAAATCGCGGTGAGATGGATGCGATGAATCGATTGAATTGTGGAAGAAGTGGAGAACAGAGATCGGAATGGAGGTTTTCCAGCGACAATATATATTGCCAGCCAGTGGAAATTTCAAAGGATATCTAGAGTCAGCTACCGAACATGCGCGTATGGTAGGCCTCACTGGCAGTCAGCCCCAGCTGCAAGTCCGAGTATTACGGTAGCTGCCCATCTGAATTACAGTACTGTATTATTTTAAGAAAAGTTCTTCCAAATAAGTGCCGTTTTGGAGGAATCAATCATTGAAGGTTGATTTCAGGATGGCCATGCTACGTTCAATGAGGAATGGCCTGCAGACTCGACGGCTGTCCGGTTGAGATCCTGTGCTTCAGTATGTCACGTTTTGTTGCACTCTCATCTCGGACTGAGCCTCAGACTGAGCTCATCGACTCTCTCATCTCATCTCGGACCATGCTTGCTCCTTCTTTGATATCGGACTTAGCTTACTGGTTGGAATAGCCAAGTCCAATACTCAGCCACTCTAGATGGCAGCGCATCTCACAGGATCTCGGACTGAGGATCGTTCACGCTCAAGTCATAGGTGCATAACCAGAATTTTCTTGTAACGTATTATGCAGTCTTTTAGATCATAAAGTTGATGAACGCACACAAATACCTTACATCGACGTCGCTGATTGCAACTTCTGTGACTAGGTACATCCGCCCTTCTATTTAAATCCGCGGTTACATCTTTTCTGTGTCCAGTTCTGTTTCTAGACTCCAGAACAACTCAGTATTCATCATGAAGCTACACTTCATTCTTTCTCTATTTACCATTGCGCCACGGCTCTCTTCGCAATTACTGTCGGTTGATAGATCCGTTCAAGAGGGCCAGGCCATCTCCTCGGTTACGTTCGCCGCCAGGCCTCTTGAACTCTTAGCGCGGCAACAGCCACAGGCGGCGCCAGGCAAGAAGAAGGATTCGTGCAAGGCCTGCCCGAGGCGAAAATGCAGCAGCAGCGCATACTTCCGCAACGCCGCCACTTGCAGATGCGAGAAGTGCCCGAACGGCCAGAAGGCCAAACAGAGGGGTGACGGGTGCGAGAAGGCGCAAGACGATAAGAAAAAGAACAAAAATGACAAGTCTGTAAACAGAAGCCCTCGCATCACAGGCGCCATGCTGACTTCATATAACAGAATCAAGGACACAATCGAACGCAAGAAGAAGGAGTACCACCAGAAGAAGAGACAGAAAACCAAAAAAGAAATGGCCGACAAGGTCAAGGATAAGAAGAGGACCGAGTACAAGCGCAATAAGAAGCGGACCCGCATGGGCAAGTGTCTGCTGCTCGTCCCGCTGTCCATCTTTGGCGAGTTCGACGGCATCGTCCCCCTCTCTTCATATGCAGAGGACTTCTTCTCCGAAGACTTTGTGACCGACGACGCGATTGACGAGTTCTGGCCGGGCGACTTTGGAGATGCCCCCGACGTGGATATCGACTCGGACGAGTACACAACGTCATACGTGGAGATTGCGGCCGCGATTGAGGATGATAAAGACACGAGATGGAAGGATCCGATTGTGCCCATCGGCTTGAAGCGCGAGGAGCCATCGAGAGTTCCTGTGTCTAAGGAACTGGTAGGAGAGTTCACACGTATGGAGGCCTCAGATGAGACCACCGCGGATATTCAAGCTACCTATCACCAGATCAACAAACGCAATCCTGTCGCGGTACGTAACAAGCTTTCCGAGGAAAGCCCCACCAAACTTTAAGGCAGCTGCTGACTTTAAATATCTAGGCCGTTCTGAGGGCCATTTTGGCCTTCGTCGGGCGTTTTGCATCTGCTACCAGGACCGTGGTCGGGAGATTCGCGACCATCGGTCAGCGAACGAGTGCTCGTCTCAAGGATTTGGCCGCAAGAGGCGGTGCCCGCCTTGCGAAAAGCGGCGGCAAGAAGACGCTCGACGAGATGAAGAACGCGGCTCGCACGATTTCCAAGAACAAGAACTGGAAGAATTGTCTGAATGGAGTCAAGCCGTCGAGAACGGCGGCTTGATTAGTCTGTCTACTGTCATGGAGTTGATTTACGTAGAGCGAAGAGTAAGGCCCTGCTGGTGTTTTGTGGCGGTTTGCGAGTTGGGAGAATGTCCTGGATCACTTTGTCGTTTAGATTGCTCTTGTCAACTTGAAGTTTAGTCGTTTTCCTTTTCATAATTCTCTACTACATTGCTTCACTTCTACCCTTGAGCTTACGTGTACCTCTCAATGAGGGAAGCCAATGGACTTTGAAGAGTACGACGGAGCAGAAAAACGCCTTTCCTAGTTGTGAGCGTTTTGCCATTTTTTTGTGGCCCGAATAAATGATAAAGTCATCACGTTTTTGCGTATTTTTACAGATGATTATGAAAATCTGAACAAGTCTCAGCAAGGGTTACACCATGACTTTATAATGCGATACATCGCGGATCCCTCAGAAGTATTCTACATTTGAATCAGCAAATGAACTCGACATAAAGTTTGCAGAGTCCACACAGCTGACGTCTGCATTCCGTGCTGGAACGTCTGAAATACTAGTGATGTTCTTTGACCCTTCAACTATCTGCCGCCTCTTTTTGTCTTTTTGCTCATGTGGAATGCCATATCTGGAAATGAAGGTTTCTCTAGGTGATTTCTTTGGCAAGTGCAAGTGCCATCCAATGGACGTAATTGAAATCACGCATTTCAGATTACGGTTATCCAAGGATAGAGCCTCAGTACTATCTTGATGCATGCCACATGTCAGCTTCGGACTCAAGCCAGTATGTTAAACCGAGCAGTGCTCTCTTGAGGTGCTTACAGAAACCAATCCGAGGGGTTATTTCTTTTCGCGAAAAAGCCGAAAGTGCGAAGAAAACACCATGTCAGCTCATATTGATCACCTAGTGTCCAGCCGCCAAAAGTCCGAGCACATAAGCTGAGATTGAAATCCTCAGAGTCCTGTCTAAGCCCCCAACTCCGTGCTGACGACGGTGAAATGCATTCGAAAATTCCGAGGCTCAGCCACATGAAGAGCATTTGCACAGTCCACAGGTTGACTACAGGTATTATCGCCCGAATGGGTGACAACACCTTGAGTAAAAGCCACCTCTTAAGTTTATAAGAGCGCGCGAATATTAAACATGCAGATGTCCACTTGGAGGTCATTCATGGTCCATAGCGAAGTTGTTCCACAGTAACCACTTGTTTCACACTACGATTCTCATATCTTTGACAAAATGCACTTTCCTACCTTTCAACTGCTCGGTCTCATTGGTGTCCAGGTTGTACTTGGCCACCCCGTATCTGCATCTGAGGTAACGTCTATTTACTCTTGCTTTCTGGCAGTTTTTGCTCTTCGCTTACACTCGATGCTTGGGCACCACAGCATATTACAATCGAGAAACGGAAGCCTGATGGTTTCTGGCGAGAAGGTGGCGACGACCTTCTCGGCGAGCTGAATTTAGATGAGCTGACAATTGGTGAAAACGTGGGGGGTGGCAAAGACGGGAACGCATTCAAGGCGACGGTGACCGGGGAGACCGCCGCCGGATGGGATCGGAGCGTCACGTGGATATTGAAGAAGGATTATTCCAACAAGCAACATATCTTGAAAGAGAAGGATGCCTACAAAGCTATAGATGGCAAGGACGTAGGACCAAAGTTTGGAGCGCTTGTCTATGATGATTGCGGTGTTGATGAAGAAGGAATTCTGATCGAGTTCATCGAGTCGCGCTTCGCAGACCCCAACAACAAGGACGATGCGAAGAAGGCATTGGAGGCTGTCAAGAGGATGCATGATGCGGGCTGGATTCACGGCGATCTAACCTCTGTCCGCAACATTGTGATCAGGACATCGGACGACAAAGCCGTTCTTCTCGACTTCGCTCTGGCGAGGAAAATCAAGAGCGCCCAAGACAGCCGAGAGGACTTCCAAGACCTTGCATTGGCTTTTGCGGGAGTGAGATTCGATGATGACGGGACGACATGGAAAGTTAGGGAGTAGGCGGCGACCTCTCCGGCAGCTTTCGTGCGACGGCGAGACTGAGAAGATATCGGCGAAGGAAAGCGTGGAAAGAAGCAGTTTCGTAGAATGTTTGAACTCTATTGATGTTTATGTTGGCATTGCTAAGTTTATAATTTTTGAATATCAGGAAGCCTGTGTGAATATATCGTGACAGATATTCCAAAGCCCACCTTGTGTCTGTTTCGATGCTGAGCGACCTGCTCTGCAATCCCGAAAACCCGCATACTTCGACCAGTTGTTCTCGTATCGTACGATAGATCCCTCTTTACGTCTCTCTGAAGCCTTAGTGTTTGGTCTGAATTTCCCTCGGAAATGAAGGCTCCAAGCAATTGGACTTAATTGTTCCCCTGAGACGATTTCAGAACCATTCAGAGTGTTCGCCGGATCGACCGCAGTTAGTGGATCTGCCAAGAATGGCTAGTTGTGGATACTGGTGGAAGATAATGGCTGCCTGGAATGTCGTCTGGAGATGACACTTCACTTTTGACATTGCATCTTTGACACGTGTGCCATTACTTTCTGATTAAAATTTCCGTTCCCACTGCAGCAAATGTTTCAGACGACATATTCTTGTTTACTAGCTGTGATTGCGTTTCACAGCGATGAGACTCACGCCAAAAGCATCAACCATGGACTCTCCTCTACTGTGCATGTTCAGCTTTGCCTTCTTCACTATCGGGGCAATGGCCACGATCAAGTTCTTTGACCCACCATTTCAGTGCCCAAGTGTCATTGACACTGTCCTTCCGATTGGGCAGTATAGCGAATATCTCTATGGGAGGCTTGAAGACCCAAGTGATCCCGAGATGCAAACCATGAAGGAAATACACAATACGCTCTCCAACTGTTCGTCCGTCAAAAGTCTGAAGCTGCTTTTCACCAAGCTCCAGGGCGAGTTTGAGCCTGACCGCTATGACTTTCCCTTCCAGTACCCCTCGGGTTCGCGCTACCCGTCACAACTAGAAGTCCTCGACTTAGAGGGCTACAGATTTAACGAACAGCCGTGGGAAGAGGCGCGCAAAATGATGTCAACCACCGACTCGACCTTCCATAAGTACCTCGACTGGCTCGGGTCCGGCAAGGCCTGGAGATGGCTCAAGTGGGTGTGGCTCTCGGAGCAGCAGAAGCAGATGACGAATCTCGACTTGTGGCTTGAAGCAATGGACTTTTCCCACATAAAAACACTCGTGCTCATCCCACCAGAGCCAAGCATTTTCTCGAGGTCTAAGAGCCATGCGCCCAACTCCACCCAATTAGCACCGCACCTCAAGTCTCTCACATCTCTGACGGCCCGCGGGCCTTGGGCAGGAGACCTGATTACAGCGCTGCCGGAGAACTCGCTTGCACATCTGGCATGGTTGAGCAGCCGGAGACCGTGGCGTTTGGCTGAACCTGCCATTCGCCATCACGCAAAGTCACTCACGAGTCTTGAGTGGAGGGCGTCCGAGGCAGAGGCAGATTGGAGATCGTCCATCAACCCGGAGCAGATCGCAGAGCTAGGGATCATGGCTCCCAATCTGCGTGACATCACGATTGACATGCGGCAGAATGATGTCTGGCCGTACAGACACCTAGAATCCCTCGCCACAAAGTTCCCCAAGCTGGAGAACGCGACCTTATTCTTCGATATGGCGAGCTACTGTCGCAGAGCCATTGATGCGCGGAAGGACAGAATGTTGGGCCGGGAGAGATGGAAAATGGAAATGAGCAGCAACTGCGGCCCGGGTGAGGACGAGTTTGCTCACCCGCGGCTGGATGTTGCGAGCGCACAAGATATGTTTGAATTCCTGGTGGAGAAGAATGAGGGTGGCCAACTGAGGAAAGTCGCTTTTTACTCGGGAGATTGGGACAGGCCAAGGGAGGAAGCTCGATGGGGGTCGGAGTGGCTGGATGGGAAGCGCGTCTGGGCTAATTGCTGGATATCTGAAGATCTCGCGGAGGTGAAAGATACAGACAACGAATATCGGCATTACGAAGAACCGTGGATGGTGTGCCAGGCAGGGAGTAAGAGACAGTTCCATGAGATTGGTTCCCGAAGAACAATCTGGGATAACGACGAATGGTGGTGGGACAGGACGATGGAACAACGGATCTGGAAGATGGACATGGGCAATTCTCCAGCGAACCCATTCATTTCACAGTCATGTGGCTCAAAGACGCGGGTGCATATTCAACAACCTTCAGGTTTGGCTGAATAGACTGTGCCTTCGACATGGTGGTCCTCATGCGTGTAGTATGTTGACCTTTCAAGTCAGAACACCAAGGGGCGGAACGACAAGAAATTATAAACGAGTGTGATTCTTATGAAGCCACGACGAGAAAGACAGACTGTAGAGCTAAAGAGTATATTCCAACCCCCCTGACAGATTACCGGCCCATGCCAATGTTTCTGATCTCACCGAAATACTTCGTCCTCCCGTAGCCCTTCATGGTTCCCTTAACATCTGTTCTGAGTAGAACCCGTCGCCGATCTGCAAAAGTCCTCACCCTCATTGTAAATCATGTATCCGACCCTCAGAGCGCCGAGCGCCTTCGTTCCAGGAACATACAGCCCACATGATCCAGTGATCTCCTGCAACTTCTGGGTATAAGTATAGACATCGATGTCCCCAACTCCGGCGCCCCTAGTGCGGCACAGGAAAGCCACAACCGGGCGGGCAGAGCCTGATCTTCTGATCTCGTACCAAGCCATTCCAGGGTTGATAAATGCCCTGCCCAGCCTTTGCTTCCTCATCTGATTTTTCAGGCCCTGAACTGCGCCGTCACAATTGCCGCTGTTCATTCTGTACTTGCAACCACAACAGGTCTCGCCGTCACGTGGCAGTACCAGAGGGGTAGTGCCGCGGATCTGAGGGTGGGCAGGGCTACTTGTAACAAGGGCGTCGAGGCTAGACATGTCGGGGTCCTTGAGGTGAACTTCATGGCCGGTTTCGTTGTAGTAGGCTACGTAGAAACCGTCCGCCGCATCCTTGGGGAGCGTGAAAGCTGCAGCGATGGCAGCGATCGAGGCGAAAAGAAGAAATACAAAGTGCATTGTAAGTTGTAGAAGCTGGAGTGATGGCAAGATTCAGATGATTTGTGTTTATTTCATGTGTCTCTGAGCAATTGATACTGACCTCTTCTTCTTGAGCAAGGCCATTTGGCCCCGTATTTATACTTGAGGTCATACGAAGCCTGTTTGCTTACACTAAGGTACCTGGCTGTCTCCCAATGTGAGGCTCCAGCCTTTCATGCTCCAGAGCTTTCGAGAGCTGTTCCGCGTGATGGATGATGTCTTATGCCAGCTGGTATCTTGGGTCACGACGTAACCGACTATGGAGGATTCGGCGAGTAGAAAGTCTTTGGTAGAGATGGAGTGGCGGTGGTCAGGCTGATGGTGCTGATTTTCGTGTCCTCGTGAACGTACGACTAAAGGTCATTGGAGATGTTGCGAACTAGCTGAATAAAGCTTCAGATTGTATATCGTAGCAATAGTCGTCGACATGAACGGCCGTATATCTGAGTCTTGGGCAGCAATGTCTCGTCCAGGCCTTGTGAGGTCAGCAGCTCGAGCATCCTGAATGAAGAGGGCTGCAAACACAAGACAACGTTGTTCCACATAATCAAAGTCAGTGGCAGGAACAATCTGCGGACAACATGGCTACAATATCAGAAAAACAGAAACACAAAGCACACCACACAGGCTTTGGAGACGTGAAAGTCCTCAGTTGTCAATCTAAAACAAGCTTCAAAAAGGCAGCATAGTAACAGAGAGATGGCTATCTCACCAACAAGCATCTATTTGCATAGGGGATATGCAGACAGACCCTGCTTATGACAGCTCGCCTTTCGTGTGGATCCACGAGCCTTAGCAAGGTTACACGTTCTGTTTGGCAATATGTCGGGAGACAACCACATTAGCTGACATCTTGTGGGTTTAAGACACAACACACCATAGTTATACTTTCAACTTCCCAAGTGAGCCGTTTGTTTCATCACAGGTGCACCACGTGTCTAAAGGCAAATTCGCCATTGCATTTTGAGGTCGAAGTCCACACCTTCTAATTGGTTCACTCGCCCGCGCTTTGCGAACCTTGGCGGCCTGATGCCAATTCAGATGTATTTTGGCGTGATAGTGCAAGGTGGAGGCAGCCAAGACCGACTCTTTCGTCTACATGGTAGAATCAGTGTCTCAAAGCCGCTTGCACCTAATCCTGGACAGAAGATGGCACTGAAAGTTTTGAAGAGACCTCAAGTGTCAATAACTGTTCGATATCCGAGCTTCGAGACCTTGGGAATCAAAGCTGTAAACGCTTCTCTGAACGTAGCAGGGGCTTGTTTGCTGCAGTGTTAAGTTCGTGGACATTATTCTCGTCTGTGGCTTTGCGATGACAAGGGTAAGTGCTTGCCAAGCAACGGATGGAGAATTCACAATTTGACGCAACGGGGCTCGACCTTGGCAAAGTAACTGTCAAGGTTGCATCCATCCTGCAATTGCAGCCAACCCGCAACCTTACCTCCATCCAAAGTAGAATGAGCTGCGTAATCCTTTGCAATCTCATCCTCTACCCGTCTTGGTTCATAGAGAACAACTCATCACTTGTTCAATTGCATGAATGAACCAACAAGCTAACCGGCCGGGCGTCCCGTTCCCTCTTCCCCGCATCCGCCATCCCCGCATCCCCAGCCCGTCCGTCTCCAACTTCCCAACCTCATCGGGTCACACGGCCAGAAGCGGGCCCAATAGTGGACATAAAAGCAGGAAATACGCGCCTAAGGGACCTGGGGTACAGGAACGATGCTCTATTCGGACGCAATGCCGAGGCTCTTCCATCTTCCTCCGCCCATCCCACACAGCACAGCTTCTGTCCTATGTAGCTCCAGCCATTTCTAGTCATATCTACGAGCCAAACCACGAGGCGCTAACCCCACGCGGAAGCCACTTCGGACTTGGACCTGGACCCCTGGCCGACTTGAACGACAGTCCGAACATGTGGTCGACGATCCATGGCGTCCGGGGGACGATGAACCTCCGTCTGATTCGCCGTTCGGCCACGACGGGGTACCCCTGGCGATCACAACACAGCAGCGCAGCCACCCCGGCGTTCCGATATTTGCGCCGGGCTCAATTTCGACGAGCTGATGGCGCGGCAGTGCGGCACTTGCGATGGGATGGCGTTGCCTCGCCGGCCCTTTTCGCGGGCATGCAATGCTGCTTAGCAATGCGCGTACGGATGCACCATGCCAGCCTCTGCGCCAAGAATCGTTGAGGTCTGCGACGTCATTCATCCCGTTGGGCTGGCGAGATGAATACCTCTCTCCCTCCGACCTCCCCGGTTTCCTTCTGTGCCCTCCTCTGCCTGCTAGCTTCTTCGTCTACCGTCCGATCCGACCAAACCGATCCTGTCTCACCATTGCTCATCATCCACGACCGAACCTGGCCGAAAATGAGATCCACGACGAGGACCACCGCCGCGATCGCCGGCCTATTTGCGGCCAGCGCTGCCGCGCAGAACTCGACCAGCACCTGCGCCAGCGGAGTTCATCTCATCGTCGCACGTGGCAGCAACGAGCCAGCTGGTGTTGGCCGGATCGGCAGCGTCGCCAATGGCGTCGTCGCCGCCATCCCCGGGTCCCAGATCGAGCCGCTCGATTACCCTGCGACCTTCGACAACTACTCCGTCTCAGTGGAAGATGGCGACATCGCCATGAACCTGGCCTTGACGGCATACAGCTCGAGGTGTCCCGACTCAAAGGTTGCCCTGCTCGGATATTCCCAGGTACGTGAGACAGCTGTCAATGTTGCATCTTCCTAAGCTTGAGACGGGAGTTCATGACATGACTTGGGACGAGACATTCTTCGGGCGCAATGAGCGCGGACGATGATTGGACACGAACATGCGATGAGGCTGCGCTTTTTGCTTTCTTCTTCCCGCTGACGTGCATGAACGCAGGGTGCGCAAGTGACGGGTGATACCCTGTGCGGCAGCGTCGACGAAGACGCTGGCGAGGCGCTGGATTTAGAGTTCAACCACACAGCGCCAATTGCATCTTCCATCGTCGATCAGAGCGGTATGTAAAAGCTCACGAAGAGCTTGTACGGCGTGGACTTTTCGGACATTGAACGCTGATTCTTTCGTAGTAATTGCGGTCATTCTCTTCGGAGACCCAACCCATACCGCCAACTCGACCTGGAACCGCGGCACGAGCACTCGCGACGGCGTACGTTGAGTCAAGATGTGCAACTACTGATGCGAGACACTGACTCGATGCTTGTTCTAGATTTTCCCTCGCGATAACACTACTGCATGCCAGCAGTACGCCTCCAAGATCGCGTCGTGGTGCGACACGGGCGACGTCTATTGCGACATCGGTAACAACACCAAGGTCCACGGCTCGTACTTTGGCAACTACACCGATGACGCTGTGGAGTTTGTCGTCGCCCAGTTCAACGCCTCCAAGACGAACAGCACGTCTCCTTCGGCCACCCCGACGCCTTCTACCGTTCCGGCATCAGGGGCTGGTGCCACTGGTCCGGGCATGCTCGTGTCGATGGCTGGACTGACGATGCTCGCGGCTTTCCTGATGTAAATATGTTGCACATAGATGACGGAATGGCAGCGCGCGACGAATACCCCATAATGGATGTTACGATTCAATATGATACTTAGCATAGTAACGAGATGTACGAGGCTTCCAGTATCCTTGATTGCTCATTGATGGCTTGTGGTTATCACCTCCTTCGGGACTTGCCGTGTTACTAGAAGAGGTCCGCAAAGTCTAATCGCGGCGAGTGGGATGCCGTGATAACTGCTTAATATATCCCAATGTCCGTGTTCGTCGGTCCGAGTCTACGGACCGAACGATCCACCTGCTGTCGATAACCAAACGGCAAGCCCATTGTAGATCACTTAAACGGTCTTTTGGTAGTTCCTCGTCAATCACAAAATTCTGTCATGTTGCTGCATTCCTTGGGCTAAGCATTTGGTCTCATTTTAGAATTCACCACTTCAAGGAATTACTCAAATACAGTGGTAGAAATAAAAAGCAATTCAATCATAAGAGGTATTAAGTCTCATTGAAGGCAGGCTGACAGGGTATCAAACTTCGTCCAGCGTCATCGCTACCGTCTAATATTTAGATTACATATAAGAAAGATAATTCCTAGTTCCTTGCGTCTTTCAAGGCATATATCAATGTTCCTATCCTCCCCGGCTTCCTATCGTCGTGAGTCGCACTGTACTTTCTCCCATCACCCTCATTAGATTTTACGCCGCATGAATCTCATCATTGGCTTTGCAGGCTCAGCAGGCTTCTCCTCAGCGGGCTTGTCGGCGACAGGCTTCTTCTCTTCGGCGGGCTTCTCGGCCTCCGCTGGCTTCTCGGCAGGCTTCTCTTCAGGCTTCTCAGCGGGCTTCTCCTCAGGCTTCTCGGCAGGTTTCTCGGCTGCGGGAGCCTCATGTGCGGGAGGACTCGCCGGCGCTTGATGAGCGGGAGGGGCGGCCGGTGTCTCGGCCGGAGGGTGGGCGGGCATGGCCTCAGCCGGGGGAGCTACGTGAGCCGGGGGCATCTGGTGAGCCGGCGGCGCAGATGGCGCGGGGTGTGCCGCTGCGGGAGGAGTGTGCTGGGCCGGAGGGGCCATGGTATGCACTGCCGGTGGCGGGGTATGTTGCACCGGGGGAGGTGCCATGGTATGGGCCGGCGGCGCGGCCTCGTGAGCGGGCGGCGGCATGGGGTGTGCCGCCGGAGGAGGAGAGGCAACATGGCCGGCTCCGGCTGTCACGGTCGTGGCGCAGTGGCTGACTACTTGCGTGACGTGGACGACCTGGTGAACGGTATGCGGCGGCAGCGTCACGGTCTCCTTGACCTCGTGAGGAGGCAGGGTGACGTGCACTGTTTCCTTCACCACATGGGGAGGAAGAGTCACGTGAACGGTTTCCTTGACCACATGGGGAGGAAGGGTGACGTGCACCGTCTCGGTCTCCTTTACCACGTGAGGAGGGAGAGTGACAGTTTGGACTGCGTGCTGGGTCTGGACGACTGTGGCGACGTGGGTGATGATCTTCTCGATTGGGAGCTCCTTGGTCACGACCTGGGTGACGTGAACCGGTAGCTCCTTGGTGACTTCGTGGGTCACGGGAGGAGCGGGAGGAGCAGAGACAACTCGCTCGGACGTAACGACTTGGGGAGGCAGAGTGACGTGGACTGTCTCGGTGACCGCATGAGTGATTGTGTGAACGAGAGGAGGAGCGGTCTGGACAACGGTGTGGACCAGAGGAGGAGCAGTCTCGACAACGGTATGGACGACAGGCGGAGCGGTTTGCACCACCGTGTGAACAACAGGCGGCAGAGTCTGAACAACGGTCGCCACGTGGGTAATGATCTTTTCCACGGGAACCTCCTTGGTGATTTCGTGAGTGACCGGGGGCGCGGACACAACTCGTTCGGAGGTGACGACTTGAGGGGGTAGGGTAATGTGGAGAGTCTCGGTGGCCACCTGGGTAATGGTATGAACAACGGGAGGTGCAGTCTGAACCACCGTGTGAACGACAGGCGGCAGGGTTTGAACGACGGTGGCCACATGCGTGATAATCTTCTCAACGGGAACCTCTTTGGTGATATGCTGAGTGACGGGAGGTGCGGAGACGATGCGCTCGGATGTGACGGTATGAACAACGGGAGGCGCCGTTTGGACAACCGTATGGATGGCTGTCTCGGTCTGCGTGATATGTACCGGAACCGTGACCTTGACTTCCTCCTTCTTGGTCTCGACAACGGTATGAACGACAGGAGGGGCAGTCTGGACGACAGTGTGTACCGCTGTCTCGGTTTGGGTGATGTGGATTGGAACCGTCTGCGTGACGTGTACTGGGAACGTGACCTTGACCTCTTCCTTCTTCGTCTCGACCACGGTGTGGACCACTGGCGGCGCGGTTTGAACGACGGTATGAATGGCTGTCTTGACCTCCGTCTTCGTGATGTGTACTGGGACCGTCTGTGTGACGTGTACCGGAACGGTGACCTTAACCTCCTCTTTCTTGGTGATCGTCTCCTTGACTACCTGCGGAGGAGCGGTGATGGTGACGTGCTTCACCTCGGTTTTGACCTCGTGCTTGACTTCGGTCTTCGTCTCGGGCGGTGCGGTGACGGTTACATGCTTGACTTCCGTCTTAATTTCGTGCTTGACTTCCGTCTGGGTCAGGTGCTTGACCTCCGTCTTGACTTCATGTATTGTGGTAGGGACTGTAACATGGACAACTTCCTTCTCCCCTGGCACCGTGACGTGTACGGTCTCCGTCTTGACCTCGTGGACTGTTGTCGGTACATGAACTGTGTGGACGATGGTCTCGGTCTTCGGCTCGCACTGAGCAGGTGCCGCTGCTGGAGGGTTCGGGGCAGCCAACGCCACTGAGGCCAGCCATGAGAGGATTGCGTATCTTGAAAGTAACATGGTTATCGAGTGGTTGGGTGTGTGTAGATATCATTTACTTGAGGATCCGGACGTCGAATAGAAGGAAAGACACAAAAAGGAATAAAGGAATGTACGAGGCTCGCCTCTGAATGGGGTCGAGATACCGGTCTCTGAGTTGTTGAATGAAACGAAGTAAACAAAAAGCCGCAGCGAGCTGGCGATGGGCTAGCTGCGTGAAGAAACGAATGAAAGAGGGCGCGCGTGCGGATGAAGTGAAGGGGGACAGACCTGCTGATCACTACATCTCTGCAAAGGAGGGGAGCCAAGTCATTATATCAGACGGGGCCTGGTCATCGCGAGCCTTGGCTGCTGGGTTGGGATGGGTCTTGCCAATGCACATCGTCCGCAACAACCGGTGCACGGAAGATCGGATGCGCGCGGGCGATAGCAGGGCAGGAGGTGTGGTGGCTTTTCCTGATCATGGCCTGGGCATGGGAGTGCCGGAGCGTGGTGTGAGGGTGATGGAGACGTGGTGTTGTCGTCACATTCGTGGGGAGCCGGGGACCGGGGGTAGCAAGGCGTGAGCGAGTTCTCAGACGTGATGTCGAGCATTGGGCTAGATCGTGATGGAGGCTGAAGCCGTGCTGGATGCGGTGAGGGTCTGTAGGCGAGAGACAGCGGTACTGGGTGCACTAGCAGGTTTCCAGCGCGGCTGTAACCGGGCCAAGATGGGATCACAAGTCTCGCTGCCATCTGAAAAGTGACGGGACGGTTTCCGAGGGAAGGGATGAAAGACCAGGGTCCGTCTGTTTTGGCTCTGCGGCTCTGGCAGGGGAGTTTAGCCAGGGCTGAATGTCGAGGGCAGAATCTGTCGGGCCACAGGCAGAACTCGAGGCTTAGCCCTCGTGCTCGGGATCTTCAGGGGTTGTTTGCCATGTCGGACTAGCAACGGCCCCTCGAAATCAGAAGAGGAAATCCGGAATCGAGTGAAGCCGTGGAAGACGCGAGCTCAGCTCTGGCTGGGCCTCCAACGTGAAACTGGATGTTGTTGACTGGTTGCACCTTGCAAGTCTTCCCCTGGTTGGGTGTGGTGATCATGAGAAAATCTTTGCGATCATGATCTTGGCCGTCGTGCCGCGGGATAAGATGGTGGCAATGTCATGTCTTGGTGCCAATCCTTACTTAGTCTTGGGTTAAGCCCTCCATCATTATCCAGGTCTGATGAACTCTTGACGACTTCATGCTTTCTTGGGGGAAAACTAGCCATGAAGAGTAATGTCCAACACCTCAATACACAATCCTCTCTGTCCCCCCCAAAAGAGCTGATAACATCGCATGAAGTCGTCCCCGTTTGTTTCTCTCTACGCAGCGCCTCAAACCCCCACCGGCACCTGACACATGTCAGCAGCCATGTGGTACTCGAAGCGGCCCAGCGAACATGATCTCTCGCTGCGACCCTCAGACTTTCAGAGGGACCAGACGAACGTGGCGGCGCCCAGGGGTGGCTCCGGGGCACAGGGCCACAGCGCCGGGATTCAAGCTGTTAGTGCGTGTGAAGAGCCTGCAGCTTCTCCGTCCTGGGTCATCCGAAACCCCCGCCAAGATCTGCCAAGATTAAGCCCTTGTAAGAGCCCACCTGGACAGGCATGCTTAGGACGAAAAACGAGGAGGTACGAAACGGAATCAGCTCAGTTTCCACATAACGAGCAGTCCAGCAGGGCGAAGGAAGGGGGCTCAGAGCGGTTCCGAGGTTTCGGGGAGCTCGTCACAGAGGGCACTGGGGCAGATGCGGGTGGTGGTGGTGGATGAGGAGGAGAGCACCTAGGGGTTGGAGCCGGTAGACACTGGCCGCTGAAAGGGCGCCAGCAAAGTTAGGGTTAAGCATTAAGGTTATTTCGTTGGGGTCACTCTACAGCGACCTCGCTGCCTGTCACTGACCTCATCCAAGGCCCGTCCTCCCACCCCTGGCAAGGGTCCCCGCTGCTGGTCGGATTCACTGTGACCCGGGCCCCTGATATGGGCCGGGCAGGGGTCAGTTCAGTGGGAATCTTGTTTCTTCATGGCCAATTGCGCGTCTTCACATTATCATGACAGCTGGAATGGGCAAAAATGCGACCATGAATGCTTCCCGATCCATGCGGTGCGCTGCTTGGTCATAAAAACCTGGCGAGCCCCTCGCTTTGGCACGAAACCGGGATGCTCCTGCGCCCCAACTGCGCGAGTCATCTATGCGCCCCCCGACATGACACTCAGCTTCATCAGCTCTCTGATACAAAAGGGACCACGAGCCCTGCTGCACTGCATTCTAAGTCTTGATAGACCTCTCTCTCGCCAAGTGGTGTTCAGAGTGGATGGCTGCCAGTGGTTGCATTGTTCGCCGGTTCTCTCACAGTAATGACAAACCTGATGACCACAGTACTCCTTTCGCCGAATAGTGGAGGCTCTCCTCTCCTGCTCGCCGAATTTCACATCTCCGATGATCAATTCGCCTGTCTCTCGATTACGTATCTCATTGAGACTACAGACGCCTAGACGTTTGACAATCCGGACTGAAGGGATATCGACACAGTCTGCCTTGACAGATGAGAAAAAGTCCGTCGTCAAATTAAACGCTCTATTTCTTTGGACTGTAAAGAACATAAAATGAGCCGTATAAAACTTACAGTGGTGCGGTGCATGCTTGAGGTGTTGTGATCAAGGTGTTGTGACAGCTTGTCAGAGTGCATTTTATGCATTGCCAAGAGCATGCACAAAATATCTCTATGGCCATTGATGAACAATCGACAACGTCTCCCGTTTTTTGATCAAGGCGACAGTGAAACAGGATGGTCCACCTCCTTGTTCTTGTCTTCCCATCTCGAACATTGCCCCCAGCCATAGCCCCTTCGCTCCCGGCTGGGCATTTCTTGGATTAGTGATCCGAGCGCACACGTCTCTGAGCCATCACTCTCTGGGCTCCAGGGCTCGAGGTGATGCAATACTTAAAAGAATGAGAATGGCACTGCGGTGTAGAATTCTTGAATTTCGTCAGCAGCCTTACGGATCGGGTGGGATGGACTTGGTGCGGGGAAGACATTTTATATTACTGATCCAGCCTTTCCCGACGGTGGAGGTATAAGGCCCCGGTGTTCACGTAGACTACATCGGCTTGTCGTTTGCCGCGCATTTCAAGTCATGAAAAACACGAGATGAATAGTATCCTGGCATTTTTCATTCCATGTGATGAGAAACTCACAGTTGAGTTGCGTCGTTGGATCGAATATGCACAGGCTCCCCGCACAGAAGTGACGGTTGACCGAATTATGGATTATTCAACTAGTCCGAATCCCACTTGAGGCGTCATATCATAGCACGCAGTGACTTTCCCGTACATCTTAGAACCTCGGCCTATCGAGTGTGCTGATTAGACTTTCGTTGAGTCGGCTGCAATATTCACAGTTAAAAAGAGCGAATGAATCCACCCGTGATTTTGCACCAACAAGTTCTCAATAACTGGGCTTGCAAAGCAGCTGTGATAATCACACAACCTTTACCTCGTGGAATCAACTGAAATGGCCGAATTAAGAGCCGCAGTCTACGTCGCACCTCCCATCTCCGCCAAAGTCCCTGGTCGTGATACTACAATATTCTGGTCCCCAATCTCTTGCACCCTCGTCTACTCCACCAGAGAAGCCGTCCTCATCGACACCCCGATCACGATCAAGCAGACAGAGGAACTCATTGCATGGATTGAAAAGGTCGCACCCAATAGGAAACTCTCCTATGCGTACTTTACCCATGGGCACATAGATCACTGGGCAGGACTCCCTCTTCTCTTGAAACGCTTTCCGGAGGTTGTGCCGCTCGCGACCGTCGGCACCATCAAGCACATGGAACAGGAGATCGAAGAAGGCTACTTCAATCAGGTCTGGGAGTCACGCTTCCCCGGCCAAATCTACAAGCCGTTCGCTCTGCCGCAGGCCTTGCACAACCACGTGTTCAAACTTGAAGACCGCTGGGAGTTTCATGCCATTGAGTGCGGGCACAGCGACACGTACGCTTCAACTGTGCTTTGGCAACCAAATCTCAAGCTCGCTGCGTGTGGAGACGTTGTTTACGGACAGGTGCACCAGATGCTTTACGAGGCCAACACCAAGGCGAAGCGCGACGAATGGATCAGAGCGGTCGAGAAGGTCGAGGCACTGGACCCGGTTTATGATATCCCAGGACATCGACAGGCTCAGGAGATTGATGGGGTTTGGCACCTTGCTGCGACGAAGAAGTACATTCAAGACTTCGGGAAAATCGTTGAAAGGGGGCCAAAAGATGCAAAAGAGGTGTTCAAAGAAGTGATGAAGTTGTATCCTGACCGATACAACCGTGGAGCGGTGCAGCTCAGCGCAGCTGGAGTATTCATGCCTCCGAACACCAAGGAATCTCGTATTTAATCTGGTGGTGCAGAGAATTTCTGAAATAGACTTGCTGATCTGTTGCGTGTTGTTTGGATCAACTATTATTTCTGTCTCATTGCCGAAGACGCGGCCAATTCGCAATTTTCAAAATAACACCCATGCGTCATCAAAAGTCTCAAAAGTGACACCGCTGAATATTTACTATGTCTGCTGCACCACGCAGGTCGTATGTCATCAGGGGTTACAAAATAACGCGCCAGGCGTCGCAATTGGCCATTATCTGTCTTACGTGACCTGCCCTCGTATTCGCACTTACGCTATAGCTTCAAACTCGGTTATGTCAATGTGCAAAATACTCTAGGCTGTTCTAGCCCCATGGGCCTATCATCACTTCTGGTTGAAGCACTCATCTGCGCCATGTATGTCAGCCTGCATATATAAAAGTGGAAATATCGTAGCCAATCCTCCAGGAGATGGTACACAGTCGCGGTACAAATATGAGCCATGTCTCGTCTCGACCCAGATTTTACCAGGTCAGCCGCAATTCATACACCTCGCGACAGTGACATCCCCAACGATGAGATTGATCCACATTGAAAATCTCGATATTCAAGAGTTCTTTGACACTCCGCCACCATATGCGATTCTGTCGCACACATGGGAGAAAGATGAAGTGACATTTCACGACGTCAGTCAGAAACGGGTCGACGGCAAGAGTCGGTTGGATTAAGATCACCAGGTTCTGCAAGATTGTCAATGAGTATCTATTGGACCCTGTCAAATATGTATGGGTTGACACTTGTTGTATAGACAAGTCGAGCAGCGAGGAGCTCTCGGAAGGCATCAACTCCATGTTCCGATATTACCAAGAGGCAGTGTCCTGCTTTGTATACCTCGCCGATGTAGTCTACTCCGATCCCAGCAAGCCCGTGGACACGTCTTTTGAGAGATCAAGATGGTTCACCCGAGGTTGGACGCTACAGGAGCTCATTGCTCCCACCGATTTGGTATTTTTCGACAAGGAGTGGCAGCGTATCGAAACGAAAGTCAACTTGGCTTCCCGAATTTACACCACAACGAAAGTAGATGAGATAACTCTCATATCGGGAGACTGGTCAGGTGCTAGCATTGCACGAAGGATGTCCTGGGCCTCGACACGAGAAACGACACGGCTGGAAGATATTGCCTATTGTCTTCTCGGCCTATTCAATGTGCATATGCCCCTACTTTACGGAGAAGGCTCAAGGGCGTTCATCCGTCTGCAAGAGGAGATTCTCAGACAAAGTGACGATTATTCTCTCTTTGCATGGGACGCTTCCCAGGCAGAGGAAAACATCGCCCATATTGGCGTTCTCGCTACCCATCCTAAATTCTTCAAAGACTCAGGCAGCATCGAAGCCTACCCAGTCGCTGGTCCCGTATCCATTTCGAACTTAGGAATCCACGCTCGACTTTCTTTCAAAAAGAACGCTACGGGCCAAACTCTGGTACATCTGCCATGCGGCTTTGCAGGAGACGTCGATTCTGTTGTTGTGCTTGGTCTGAATCATTTTCAAGCTGAGCCTGTCATCCTCAGCAGGGCCAGGTCGAAATTTCGGGTTTCGTCTACCAGCGAAATACTTCGCCCCGAACACCATAATGAGTTTTATCTCCTCCGAACAAGTCGGGCAGTCCAGAGCATGGTCAGCAAATGTTGTCTCACATACTCGTATATCCGCAAAGACTACGATAGGTTTATACCGGTTCGATTGTATCCACGTCAGATGTGGGCATCCAACGAGTCTACAAGATCAATGACTCTCACCTTACCGGCGGATGGTGATAGGATGTTGAAGGCTGCTGTAGTGTTTTGGTGCGCTGCTTTTGAGGGGTGTTTTGCCGTCATTTTAACGCTGAGGTGTAATCAAATGCAGGGCAACGTCCAACTTGTGGAAGGTTCCGACGGAATGTTGCCTGACAGGCTCGAGGAAGTGATTGAGTCTCTGCCGGCGCCGGAGAAATCGAATCATTCGCGATTGGACTCAGGTATCATGGCCACTATCAATATCAAAATCATTCGCGGTGTTCGCATGTTCGCGGTGGTTGTCACGCAGTTGGAGTCTTTTCCCCCGCGGCAGCAGCATAAGTCGAAACAACCGGAATCTCAAACTTCCCATGGATTCTCACTATCATTCTTGAAAAAGAAAAAGGAAGCCTCATAGTTGGATTATGAGGATGAGAATACACATCTACTTCAAATTCCTGGTATCACGTACTTAGTGTAAACGTACTTACGTTAAAATTCGAAAACTCTGATAGACATGAATATGAAGTAGTTTACAAAGTCGACGTTAATGAATTCTCCTAGACTGGATATTACGCACTTCCAGGGCTATTTAATAGTAGAAATAACGTTTAAACTCGATTTGAAATTGCGTACCGCAACGAGGCTATAGTAACTCGCATGAAACAGGAAACAACATGACGAAAAACAATAATTAAGGTCGCTCATAGCGAATCGGTCTCACGGCCCATGCAGTCAAGCCTAGTCAACGGACATGACTATCAATCAAAGGCCCACACAAGCATAGGTATTAGCCCATAGACCGGTGCAACTAGCCCCAGCAGCGGGGTTCCACTTGATAAAGTTGGCAACGGTGATTCCATACTGCTTCGAGATGGAGTCACAATTCTGACCGCTCTGGACGAAATGGAACTTCTTGCAGTTGGAAACCATGCCGTCTTGAACAGGCTGAGGCGTGGTGTTGGCCGGAGGCGGCGTCGTACCTGAGCCACCAGAAACGCCGGTGCAAAGACAGTACCCTGCCCACATACCAGTACAAGCGGTGCCGCCGATGCCCTTATTCCAAGTCGCAAGCTGAGAAACGGTAACACCCACGGACGAGGCAATGGTACTGCAAGTATCACCCGCCTTGACGAGATGCCAACGGTTGCAGTTATCACCCATGCCGTCCTGGATGGGCTGCGGCGTGGGGTTGGGCGTGGCCGTTGGAGAGGGCTGGGTGGGCGATCCGCCGATGATGCCGGTGCAGATGTACGTAATGGCCTCAAGCCAAGATTTGCGCGAATGTGATTCTTGTCATCGGGTCAAGGATATCCTGGCTCTCTGGGTCTCGGTGAGTCGATCTCAACAACCCAGCGCATCCAAGCTTCCTCATTAGGTCTATCCGTCGTCGTCTGCCTCCTTTAAAAGTGACCATGCATCTTTGAAAATTGCAGCGCCACAAACTTGCAGAGGCTGCCTAGAGCTCCTCGTGATAGAAAAGGAGACCCCTCATCGGTTATCCGGGACTACCCACCGGCGTAAGTGGCAAAGTTGACATGGCTAGGAGGAAGAATCAAGGAAGGTTAGAACTCTCATTTCCTGTTCTCCGAGATCAAAATCATGCTACATCGATTGTGGATGACTTTCCCCGTGATTCATTATTGCACATATGTCAGCCTGGATCCTGCTTTGCATCATGACATGGTAGCTTGCCACCTCGGATAAGAAAGCCCACCAATAGCCGATCATAAAGCTCATACCAAGATTGTAGAATCTGCAATGTCTCATGCCAAGTTGGGACCTGCTTTCGAGTGGCAGAGCTTTCGGGGTCCATGCATGATCTGTACGGTCATTTCAATGTTGGTAGTTGCACACATCATAAAAGCAAGGTCAGGTACCCGCGCTCTGCATATTAAGCGCTTAGGGCCGAACCATGCCTTTCAGGCTGATAATCTGCATGCCAATATTGACACTAATTTCAGACGCCCATGGCTAGTAGCATATGGTCAGATATCTTTCTAGATGGGTTTTGAAAACTGCTGCGGCAACCACAAAACATTGTTGAATTCGCGTTACTAGGAGTATGTATAATAATGACTCAAAGAAAGGTGAATGCGGCTGATAAGAGCGGAAGCAGAGCCCAGCCAACCACAAAACCTGTGGCACACCCTTCGCTCACTTTCCGTGGGCATGGGGCAGCAATTGTCTGCCATTGGCCCTCCTCGCACCTCATTCTCCGTAGCACTGCGGCAGACACGTTCGCCGCGACCTCCTTAGCAGCTGACTTGAACGCGCATTCCGGATTTACATCTGTCTCGAAAACCGGGCATGGCTTGTCGTAAGAGTATGTCTTTTTGAAGTCGGTGATACGCACCGCAACCGAGGTGTTCTTATCGGACTCATCGCATGAATTGACGGCAGCTTCGATATCAGGACGCTGTGCACCGTGTGCTGTTTGAAAAAAGATTCCACGTGAGGCGTGCCCGGGTCCGTTTGACCATCCGGCCTCCGTGTCGTTGTTGGCAAAGCATCGGTATGGGAGTTTGACCTCCCATAGAAGTTTGAACGAGTCCGCTGTTCCGTTGGTCATGTTGACCGACTCAATGTGAAGATACTGTCTAGGTGGAGAATCTCCGATGATATTGTCAAGCCAATTGCCAGGGAACCCAATCCAGCGCGATTTCCAATCGGGTCTGCTCTCATTGAAGTCGTCACCGATGGACGTTACGCTCACGTCGAGACCAATGTTCAGAGGCCAAACAGCGTCAAGATTGTTGAAACCGAAGACGATGGGAAGTAGCTGCGTCGGCGCATACGTCTCGTTGTCGCGCGGGAAAATGAGGTCGACTTCTAATTCGGCAGGAAGCTGTCGTACAGCGTTCACAACGCTGGCTGCGAGGAGAAGTTGCACAGTTGAGCGAAAAAAGCTGAGATTTCTCATTTTCGCGGTGGTTTCGTTGTGGATGGTGAGGTAGAGATGGCGGATCGTGATGAAGCGAATTTGGACAGATGGAAAGAGCAGAATAGATGACCGTAGTAAGAACCTACGTTTGCATTTGCGTGACTGAGATGAAGCCAAGCCTCAGGTCGGGCTACGGAACAGCAGCCAAGACTTTCCGCTCCGCGGGCCGCAACCCCGAATGGAGGAGTGATACTCTCCTGTGTTCGCTAATACGGGAGAGCGGAAATGAGCCAACCTTTTGAGCAAACGAATGCATTATTTAAGCGGTTCCTCACCGGTCCCTTCTTTTGCGACCTTCTTATTTGAGCAACATAAGTCATGAGCTGTGAAGCCAAGACCATAAACCTTGCTCTCTTTTCAAAGCCCCCAACAATAGGTAATTTACACATGGTTCGGTCAAGTCAGCCGAGGGATCGACTCAGGACAGTATCTTCGTCTGGTCCGTTATTACAACATCCAACAAGTTAGCTCATTCCTCGGCGAGCAGTTACCATATCCAGCAACTGTGCCATGTTGATGCAGATGAGCTAGAGAAGACCGCAGTGGCGATGGCCTCAAAATATCAGCGGGGGACTGGGCGCAGGGTCGGCCTTCCGAAATTGAAATTTGTTGTGCAAGTTGATGCAGAGCAATAATTCAAACCCCGCCCTTCCGACTCACGGGAGCTGTGATAGATGATCAACGACTGGGAGAATTTGATATCATCGATGTTTGGCCAGGCCTTTTTGCTGTGCTTGGCCAGACTCTCATATAAGAACAGCAGCGACTGAGGTTATTGACAGCACCTCTACTTGCTGCGGCCCCTTACCAGTCTTTCCCTTGACATTATTTGTCTGTTCATTCACTCTTTGACCCTTCTCTCGCTGATAAACGCTACCTTGGTCTTACATGATGGGCCGACGCTACTTCCTCCCCTTATTGGGGTTGGCGGGCTTGATTCCTCGTTCCATAAATGCCTTGGCTCCTCTCAAGGACCTATGCCCAGTGACCTGTCTCGAGGCTGGGTCGGATCCGTCAAACTGGACTGTCGTTGCTGAGTTTGACCTGGACTGACGCCGAAAGCAACTCCAAGATCATGGTCGACGGTGATCTCTGGGTTTCATACATGGATAACGACCTCAAGGAAAGCCGCACCCAGCTTTACAAGCGCTACAATATGGGAGGCACCATCGACTGGGCCGTGGACCTCGTCAAGTTTCACGATCCGCCCAACTACGGCATCGACCATGAGGGCATCGACCTTGGACTCAGTTGGGCCATGGTCAAGCAGGGCATCAAGAGCGGCAAGGTTGCCAACACGATTGGTTGTGAAAATTCGCGTGGACTTCGCACCGGCACATGGGTTACAAAGCAGTGCACCATACGACCGGTCACCATCCCATCGGCATTCACCCCCACTGAAAGATGGGAGGCCCTTGGGGCCCAGGATGCCTGGACTGAAGCAGTCCGCGTATGGTTTTCATGCTATAAAAAGAAGGGAATACTCAGCTTCCATCAAGCTGTCGCTGAATTTCTCCATTTCGACTCTGACGTCGTAAGGAATGACCCGATCTTGGTGCGTAGTGGAAAGTGTTTGGGCTAATATTCTTATGCAGGGTTGCGATGATCTGGCGGCTGCGACTAACTGCGAAAGCTCCAAGGATTGTGTCACACACAACACCGCCGATGATGAGCCCGAGTTCCACACGGGAGCCGCGAGCTACGAAGTCTGGAACTCGATAGCTTCGATCCACCGGGTAAGTTGATTTAGAAGGGTCCGAGCATTCGACAGAAGTATGCTAAACCATTCGTGCTTGTTGAATGCTGACGATTCTTGCTTTCCAGAGGATCAAGAACTACTACAATACCCTCATCAATGCCGTAAACGATTTAAAAGGCGACCCTGAGAACTTCATCGCCACTTTTGCCCCAAAAAGGGACGATGGAACGGACCGTTTCAACCTCCTGTTGACGCTGATTCCTATTCCTATTAACACAGCAGCAGCACGTTTGTTTGGAAGAGGTAATTTGAGCTGTCGCTCCATTATCAAATTATTTTGTCTCTGGAGCTTTTGCTGATAATCTGACAGCCTTCATGACAAAGGTTTTCTTCCAGAGTCCTGGCAAAGCAAATGCATGGGAGGCGGCAACTTCCAATATTGTGAACGCCGGTGCCTCGATTGCCAACGACGCGCTGAGTAAGGCCTCGGACGACCGAGCTGAGGTATCGTTCAACGCAATCTACGACACAATCATCACAAGCTGGAAATCGCAGACGAACCAGTTACTTAAGACGCTCTTCCTCGGAGAAGAAAACAACATCAAGATTCTTACTGATCTCATCTCGGAAGGCAAGATGATCAAGGGAGGACAGACCAGTAGAAAACGAGCAGAGGAATACGACGGATATACAGCAAGCTGGAATCAGGAGAAAAACATCGAGCGGGCCTTCTATGCTGCCGCCATCCCCGCCGCCTGGACCGCCAACCGACCCGCGCCCGTTGTCGTCGATTTTGGCAACAGCTGCGAGATCGATGCGCGCGATTACTTCACTGAGGAGCCAAAGCAGTACAACGTCGGTTGGCGATGTCCCAATGGACACTCATACATCCTCGCGGGTGTACGAGACGGCCCGCAAGGCTCGTGCGGCCCGAACTATCCAGGGGACGGCGGCGGCTGCAACCCGACCCACAAATGGACTCTCGACATACTGGGTGGCATCGGCCAGCTTCAGGATGGCAACCTGGACAAGTGGGGAGGCGTCACGGTGGACGACCTCATTACTGGGTGAGTTCAAGCCTACATCTGTCACTGCTGGAGTTGGCTTCTTCGACGCCGGCCTACCTATACACTTACGTAGAGCAAGACTGACTTTGACAGTGCGGTCAATACGTTCGAGAAGAACGGCAGAAAGAACGTGATGGATGCTACAGTGGGGGCGCCGGACATCAAAGACAAGTCCGTCGCCGACGAATACAAAGGCTCAAGGATGGATATTCGCAGGGGCGGCCTCATCCGCATCCCGGTCTGTAGTGCGGAGGAGGCGACCGCGAACCTCAACAAGGGCCGTCAGTACCACGGAGATTCGCCCAACTATCCCTGCAACCCATGATGGCAGCTTGCCCTTACATATTCTCACCACAGTTGCATGAGGCAATGGCTCGTTACTTTGCCGGAATGACAGGGTTGGGCCTTCAGAAAGTAGCACGTGGACCGATTAAAACTCCTAGTGGTAGGACGTGACTTCATCTCTCTTAGCATTCATGTACATACTATATCTAACAAGCTTCTTTATGTAAGATCACACGACTCAACCTCTGACTCAAGTACCGTTCGCCGGCTGATGCCATTCCTCGCCATTGGTAGTGGTTGTCAAGGTGCCATTAGCGTCGAAAATGTTGGTCATAATATCAATCGAAAGATGAAATCCCTCCGGGCTAGTCTTCTTGGTGCCGTTGTTAGGCCCTGTCTGAATGAGGTCGGAAAACCAGTCAACCTGCTCCAGCGTTGGTGTCGGATTCCTTGCCGTGACCTTCTCAGTTCCAACTAGTACGTTTATACCATCGTCAGAAAAGTCATGGTACTCTACTGCCACAGATTCTGGCAAAGTCCCATCGCTCTTTGGCGTGATAGTGATGTTCGCCCAACCCCCGGTCTTGCCCTTGAGTGTGAAGGTCCCATTCAGCGGCACCGGTCTTGCAGGCGGAGGGCTGCCAGGGACGTATGGTGTTGCCCACGGTATGGTGTCGGGCAAGCATTCCACTGGCGTCCGACTTTGAGGTTTGCGGCTAGTGAGATGTGCCAGCATCATTCGCTCAGTCCGGCCCCCGAGTGCAGTGGATTTATAGCATGGGAGAGGGTTCGTGCCACCACAGTCCGGGGATGTGGTGAGGGCTTGCCAGTAGACAACGCGAGTGCCATCATTGGACCATCTCGGGTCGGCGCGGCCGTTCCATTCCGGATCGTTGATGGCGCCACCGCCAGGAACACCGTCTCCTTCTGCGTTGAGCTTTTGGCCAAAGTATGATCCCCGATCCCCAAAGCCATCGATAAGCCAAAGCTGAAAAAAGCGACGCTGGCCGTTGTTTCTGGTTGATGATGTGGCACTACTGCTTACCAGGTCCGTCAGGGGTGGTATGCCCCGAAGCCCGGCAATGAACATCTGCCTCCCGGTGCCGCGTGTGTCCATGGCGACAGTCCACTTGTCGTCCGGGGAAACATCGACAGGATCTGTATACTCAGGGTGAGCTGTAAGCCTCCGAACCTTTCCGGTTGTGAAGTCGGCGGCCATCACGTCAATATTAGACGACTCGATAGGATAGCCAATGAATGTGACCTCCTTGCCAGTACCGCTGAACCCGCGAAGCTCACCGACAACAATAGCATCGGGGTTAATCCGAAGTTGGGTGCTATCTTCGGGATCGATCTCGATGGGCTGTGGCTCGTCGATGTTGAAGAGAACGTTGACGTTCGCGAGATCATAACGAGGCGCGAGTGGCTCGCCTGCAGATGGTGCTGGGTTGAACTCGAGCCTTCCAACATATCCGTACTGGTCCACCTTGCCGCTCCGGACCGTAAAAGAGCTCCATCCCAGGTGCTTGTCGTCCGGATGAATACGAAGTTCTCTGATGCTGCCACCCACTCCAGATCCGTCGGCTGAGGTGTTCCATCGGATGGGGTAGACATGAACCTTATCAGGGGTACACTCCTCGCTTGTGAGATCGGCCTCGCACTCGATGATGTTGGGGCCTGCAAGCAAGCGCCTGTTATCGCTGAAGCTTTGCGGGTAATCGAGCAGCTCGCTGCGGCCGAGGGAATTGTCTTCAGGAACACCACAGGTTATGCACTTCCAGGCATCGCCATTAGGAAATGTGGTGTTATCGACTTTGACGATGATCAACTGTAGTCCGGTGTAGATGCTCGCGGGGTCAGGGACAGCAGGGGCACCGGTGAAGTTCACCGCTGCCACGACGTGAAGGTCATCGGGTAGGAAGTCTCCTGACTGAAGGCCGGTGGACTTGCCAATGCATCCTGTTCCCCGAGGATTAATTTCTTTAGTACAGCCGCCGGCCCCGGTGTCTGCTGTCACTGGTGGCAGAGGCAGCTCGGTGACGGTGACAGGTTCTGGCTCGGGCGGCGGTGGTACTTCAGACTGCCGGCCCATGAGACCGGAGTCCCTAGTCTCGAACAATCTGACATGACTTCCGAATCGGGCTTGATCTTGTGTTGGAATGGCATGAGCGAGACTGAGGCAGATGGCACCAACGAACGATGTATCGAACAGCATCCTGGGAGTTCTTGACTCGAAGTGGAATGAATGACAAGAAAGGGAAAGAATGGTTCATGTTGCCTCAACGACTTTATACCTCCTCAGCCACCCCCGGATTTCCAAACTTTCCTCGGCTGATCAGCAGATATGCCTAAATGCCGAGAGATCTTGCGGGGCTTGGGGTGGTCGCTTCTGCGGCATCCCGTGAACGTTGATGATCTACCCGAAGTCCGAAATGACGGCGGGGGCACTCATGCATTATCCCATGTCTTCATCTACGGAATGAGCAAGGGCGAGGGGCTACATACGTACGGTTGGGGGGCTATGGCAATGGTCTGAATGGTCAAATTATCGTATGGCCATCCGAAAATTCACTCGGGGCGGGGCCGCCGGTATACGCGGGACGAGTGGGTCCAAATACGGGGGGCACGCCGGCCATACGCGTATAGACCCCACTGAGCGACGTCTGCTACGGAAATGCTCTGGGTTCTCTGTCACGATTTTGTAAAAACCTCTTTCTCGAATGTTCACTTGGATCACTTCAGGTTGCAAGGTTGCAGCCGAAGTCAGCCGTTTCTTTGATACGACTTTGATGGCATCCTCTGACATCAACAGTCAGCTAGGTCATCTTGAGGAAAGTGTACAATGACTGCGCTTCAGTCTTATCTGCTGGAGAACAAGTTTTCAGTTCAACTACAGAAGATTTGCAATGATCACGGAGGTTTGCAACTGTAACAGGCCCTCCGTGGCTACCAAACCGCCATCAACAAACTCCCAGATCACATCTCCCCAGAGAACCTCACCCACTTCACCAACATCAACTCCGTCAGGAAGAACAACTTTTACCTCGCCTGGAATGCCATCATAGTTGAGGTTCACAACGCTGATCAGCGCCTGCGCCTTGGTTTTGTCCACCCACACCGTCGCGTCGACTCGCTTGGCTCCTTCAACGGCAAGGTCCTGCGTCCTCTTTGTGCCCAGCAGGAAGTCCACTGCCGCTGTGTTCGTGAACACGGCAGCAAGACGACTGGTGAGGTTCTCCAACTCATCAGTGGCGGGGTAATTCCACATCACAATACCCTTGGCACCGTGGTTCACCGAGAGCATGGTCATCACGACCTCTTCGTCTGCTGTCGGATATCGGGCCCAAAACGTCTCGTTGCCAAACGCCTGAGGCGCAAACCATTGCGTCTTTTGCCATCCGAGAATCTCATCTCGGCGGTAGAACTCATCCAGTCGGACAGAAATATCCTCGAAGTTACCTTCACAGTCGTCGCATCCACAGCACCCGTAGGTCGTGTTACAAACTGTGTCGTATACCGGCGAGAATGTCGCATTGATAGCCACGGGGTACACGTCCGACATGACAATATCAGCGCCTGCTGCGTAGTCGGCATAGTAGAAGTCCCAGCAGTTTAGAGCCAAAGAAACCGGATGGTACGGGTCCAAAGACTTGATCTGCTCGTACGCGATTCCCGTCGAGTTGGGCGGGTTCGCTTTTCCATCCGCCTCGTCGCTCTGGTACCAAAGCAAAATTGATGGGTGTGTACGCAGGCGAGTAACCTGATCAACCATGTTTGTCAAGTTGGGCCATGTCCAGAGAACGTCATAGCGGAAGTAGATCCCGAGTTCATCGGCACGCTGGAGGTAGGGCTCAAACTCGTCCCATGGAAAGGGGATCTCGCCAAGACTACCTGTAGGCACGATATGAATAACGTTGTAGCCCATCGCTGCAAACTCGTTAAGGGTATCGACGCTCTCGTTCCAGTAGAGAGTCCATTGGGCTTCTCCAAGTTAGCAAAGTGATTTGAGTGAAACAAAAGGACAACTGACTGTAGTAGGTGTACGCGAAGATCAAATCCCACTCGGCATCCTTTCCCCTTTGCGCAAGGAGACCGCCATAGAGGTTATCAATGCGTGCGACACTGCCGTAATCTTCTGGATAGGGGAGGAAGGAGAATTCGGTCCAGCCTTCGTAGACGTGTGTTGAGTCAAGCGTCGTGCGCACGGTAATGTTGTATGCATCCATCCGGGGTGCAAAGGTGTCCAAAGGAAGCGGCACCTCCTTGTCTACCGACCCCAATTCTATGTCTTCGGTCGCCAGAACATTTTCCCCGTTGATGATCTCAATCTTCAGCGTCTTTGGTGCAGTACTGGTGGTGTTCTGTCCAAATCCTGTAGGCAGAGGCGACCCGACTTGATTCGAGATTGCAGCGTCGATCAGCAAGTTCGCGGTGTCGTCGGTCTCGAGATAAATGCTCAATCGGGGGCGGACTTTGAGGCGCAAGAGCGGTATCTGCGAGATGGCTGGTTCCCGGAACCAGCCACCCGGGTCGAAGGATGAATTTCTGGAGAATGATGATGAGCATGTCGTCAAGCATCGCTGCTTGCATTACTTACGTTGCGCGGTAGGCTTTGCCGCACCAAATATCCACGCCCTCTGGATTATTGAAGCGAATGGCCTGGCCGTCTACGAAGGGAAGCGCCGCAATCAAGGCCACAAGAGGCCCAACGACATTTCCCAGCATCATGATGGAAAAGTTGTCTTTGATGCCGCGTAAGTAGTGTCGCGGCTTGGAATCCCATCTCTGAGATCGAGGAGGTTATATCAGCGGGATTGCTACCATTCGCCCAAGCCTTGGGCCCAAGGAATTGGATCGTTGCTTCTCGGGAAGCTGAGTGGGCCACACCCTGCGATGACGACTCCTGTTGACGTCGACCATATCAGGACGCAATTGCGGATGTCACTGAGGAGACTGAGGGGCAACAGCATCTCCAAATAGCGACGTTACATCTCCTCCAACTCATTTTACCCTCGTTGCAAGGTGAGCTCATTAACCAGCGGTCAGGCGGGGACAGAGTCGGGGGTGAAAGTGCCGAGTCTGCCAACAGAGTTGGCACTATCAACATCACTCGGGACCTACCTAGTTGAGGTAGTAATCTGCCCATTCAACTGCGGGGCTTCTGCGCGAGGTTGGATCGACGGCATCGTGCATGGGGAAATTGATGGCACCCAAGTGCGGGGAGATAAGCAGGGGTTGAGATAGTCTAGCCTCCAGGGACTGTTTATCAGGCTCCGGTTTTCGGGGGAGCAAATCGATGGATCAGTTCGCACTAATTGGCTAGATCGTCAGCTTATCTATCAAATGCCACTGTCTGCTGGACGTTGTCTACCAACTTCAAGATCTCATGAAAAGTTTCAGGTTGCTCTTCCACGTTACAAAGCAGACCATTGCCTCTCAATTAGAAGTTTTGTCTACAAGCGTAGCCAGAGGTAACGTGCTGCCACCATCATAGAGCTTCAGCGATAACAGCATTCCCGCTAGTCGCGGAAGAGAAATCCTCTCATACTCCGGATCCCAGATGCTGCATTCCCTGGCAAGGAGGATAGACTCCAGCACACTCGCAATCTCCCGACTATCCCACATGCCTTCTTTCCTCCGCATGGCATAGAGAAGCGAAATGGCCCTTTGCTGAAGATCCAGCTCACCAGAGAAACCGGCAATGAGGCTCATCCGCGGGATCACATCAGCAGCCAGGGTGAAGACTGGATACTGCATCGGCTCAGCCTCAGCATACACGAGCGATTCGGCATCTTCCAGAAGATCCTGGAAATATTGCCGATCCGGAGGTTGTGAGCCCGGAGCCTCTAGGCATTTAATAATTACCGCCCAGTCCTTTTGCATAACTGCCATTAGCCGCGCCTCCCATAACTCTTGCTTGGTCGCTGATGGACTTGACTTGAGATTCTTAATGTAAGTCTCAAGCCGAGCACTGAAGACATCGAAGAGATAGCGAGCGTGAAGCCATTCCTCGGCCCACTGCTCATCATCTCTTAGTGGTGACATGCCCTCTGGCAAATTCAAAAACGACGTCCAAGAGATCGGTATGCTGCCCCGAACATTGTAGCGTAAGGCTTTACCGAAGGCCTGATCTACAAGGTGGAGATCGTACCGAGCCTCGGTGGCGGAGGAGTATGGCTTGGAAGCATCTGTGTTGCTATTCGCCCGGAAGAAGTAAGATAGGTCCGGAATGAATTCCCCTTCTTCCAGTAAGTAGGCAGCATCGCATCCCAAGCAAGTGAACATGTCGGCAAGATCGCATAACTGATCATAATAGTTCTTGACTGTCTCGGCCATACACTTTTGGTGCGCTGAAAGAGGTATTCCTGCCTGAGCATCGGTTGCTGCTTTTGAGAGAGCGACCATGATACTCGAGCCGGACCTAAGGTGTTGAAGAGCTTTGTCGTAGCGTCCTTGCATGATTTCCAGGCAAATGAAAATCAAACAAGAAACGAGCGAGGTCCTGAGAGTGGTAGGCGAAAGCTTTTCCATATCTAGGGCCGTGAAGTTCATGGCTTTGGAAAATTGTTGAGATGCCATCATGTTGTATGTTTGTGCATCCGCAACCTGGTGATCTCCTGTGTAGTCGCCTATGAAGCCTCGGTGTGCGCATCCCAAAGCTATCAGGGCGTGCTTAACTGAGTCGGAATAGTATCCTAGAGGGATAATGTAACTGCTCCACAGGTTCTCCAGGAACGCGATAGTCCCGAAGCCCGCAACTGTGCACTTGCGTACATGATGGAACATGGCCCTTTCTGTCGGTGTTCCCGAGATGTCCCAGTTGACTGGCGGCGGCATTGCTGATGCTTGACGACGCAGCCGAAGTTGGAGACATCTGCACCTTTGACAGGTTGCATGCCCATTGGCACAGCATCTCCATAATGTCAACTACTGTAGCGTTGGAGAGTGTAGCAGAAAGAACTTACTTGCTACATAGCAGCCCAATTAGATCATCAGTCACAAAGTGAGGGTCGGTTGAAAACATACTGTGGCTGGTGTTTTGAAGTGGCTTCAGGGGTAACCTTCCCTGTCCTTTCCGACACCCTCAACATCCTCGGTGGTGGGGGACTCAAGCTGGCGGTGCACTGCGGCTTATCGCGTCAGGTACGATTTGGCAAAGTTTCAGGCAGGAAGCTTTCAGTCCGGGTCTCGTGGCTTCAATTGGGTGGGATATGAGCGTAACTCTGAGAGCACGCAGTCGTGATGAAATATGCGATGAGTGGGCTGAAACTTGTGGGTTTTCAACTGAGCGAGCGCCATCGCCAATTTCTCTTGGCCAAAGCTGGCAGTCCCACTTCCGCTCGTTTTGCCCCCACATTTCGGCCGACGCCTAAATGTTTGACGATGTCTGATTCGCTGACTACTTTGGTAAATGAAAGCGTGACACATCGAAGGCGAACGCGGTCGAAAAATGCTGGAAAACGCGTTACCTTCAGACTACTTTTCGGAAGATGGGCAAAGTCCGATGTCTTCTCAAGATCTAGATTAGAGGCGTAGCTGTGGCTGCTAAACTCTCAGCCATGAAACCCAAAATTACAACTATTTGGTGTTAATTAATTGGTGGTGCGTAGACTAAGTTTGACCGCGTACTTGTGTGGAACAGATGCAAGTTACGAATAGTGTCCCTCATTTCCCATTCGTGACTAACGGTTTTGTCTAATATGAGATTTTCGGGTCCCTCTTGTGATGATTTTATCAATATAAACACATTGATACTTACCAAACAAGATTCGGTTATCCTTGAATCGTGTCCAAGTGTTATGAATGAAGAATAGGCGGTGCTTCCTTCTTCCCTTCTAACTTTTCTTCCGCAATTTGCCGCCTGGAGGCGCACCTTGTTGACTGCCGTATGACTCTGGCGGGGAAAAATGTGTAGGGAGCGTAACCATAAACGGTGCTTTTTGGAGCTGCGATACGTTATTTTGAAGCTCAGCAATTAGCCAACAATGTCTCCATATTTCTGTTCGTTCAACACACAACGAAAAACATGCCGAATGCTTCTTTCTTCTTGCCCAATAGCCCACATGGGTAGTGGTGACACTAAGATTATCTTGAACATGGACAGACTGGGGTGGGGCACGTCTGCAAGTGAATGTCTCGGAGGAACAGCGATGTGTTACGTAGGGTATCTCAGGGCACACACCAAGACTGCGCTTGAGAGAACGCAACCCATAACGTAGCCGTAGAATTTTGCGCGTACAAGCTGAGAAAGAAAACAGAAACATCGGTATGTTTTGCAAGATATGTCTCTCCCACCAGCACTAATAAGGCGTAATGTGCTGCGATACTTATGAGAAACTTTGCGCCCCTCGGGTATGAAGATCGGCAGTTGCTAACGTCGATATCAGGATACAAGACAAAGGTAGACACCCTCACTTGCGGGCTCATTACAGCTTCTGCTCTTTGAATCTGCAGACAGTCGAAGCGGGATGTAGTCAAGGAGGGATCACACGTACACTTACGAGAACGATAGCCTGACAAGGATAATTGTTTTTTTCGTCAATGTTCCGTGGCTCGTGTCCTGCAGATCAAACAGGTCAACGTGCACTCCCGATCCCGCCTAGGATATGATGCTACCGACCGCCTGACATGATATCTTGACACAGACTTCGGAAGCTGGCTCTTCTGAGCGAGGCTTGCGAACCACCTTCGCGGAGATGCGCATCTCCTGGTGGCATTCCAAGATGCTCTTGGCCTTTTATGTTCAATGCAATGTAATGAAACCACTTGGCCCTTGAATGATCTACCGAATCGTGACTAACACAAAACCACTTTTGAGGCTCCAGTTGAAAGGCATAGACCATCGGTAATCCGGGGGATTCACCTTCCCTTGCTCTTATTGAACAACATGATCTGCCGTAAGGGGCAACTTGGCTTAAGCTTATCGATCAAGTATGCACTCCAAGATCTATTCCACAGACTCGGTTGATTATCGAAACGAACCACAACATGATCGTCGTCAGAGAACTGGAGCTTATCCGAGGGGCCGAAGACCCGCAATAGCGCAGATCCTACGTAGTGCCCACCGGAGCCGAGACGATGGCCATCGCCGAAGTCCTCTCGGAGCAAAACCCGTATTCACGATAGCCTCCCGGGACTAGAAGGCGCCAAGATACTGACACTTCAAAGCCGTGTGTTTTCCAAGAAGAAAGGCAATCGGACCGGTTCGCGAATTGACAATTTTCATCGTTAACTGTCAGAACTGCATCATGCGTTCGTGCTTGTCATGTCTCATTTCATGAGGGGGCCCAATGGCCATTGGCATTTTACGAGAGGGTGACATGATGGATCAAGCTTGATTGTCTCGATTGAACAAGGATACACGAGTGAAATCCAGGGGCAGATGTTACTCTGAACGGCGTCGCAGGTACGAATAACCCGAGTCGGGGATCGGGCTGTACGAGGCACGCGGGGGGCAGAGAAAGGGTGTTCTTCTGCTGGACGCGAATGGCAAGTTGACGGTGTCACATTTTGTGACGAGCCCTCGAACGACAGACGGTCAGGCGACACAAACCAAAAGATCAATCCAGGGGCGAACAAGACTTTGGCGCAAAGAGAGGGAGGGCTCAGCCTTCTCAGGCTCTATCGCCCACCATCAATTCTGGAATAATCATGGTTCCCCTCTCTTCGTCCCGAAACCGTGGAAGGCGACCCTGGTCCGGACGAGGGAACCAATCGCAACTCTCCGAGGACGATGGGGGAAGCCGATCTACGAATGATACGGCGGCTTCGGCCGAGGGATCCAAGCGGCTCTATGTGGCTCCAGCCAGGCGCGACAAGCAGGACCCCTGGATCGCAAGGGGAAAAGAAGGTGACGTTTCGTTTCATGATATTCCATTCCAAACATTTCAAGGATGGCGCAAGTTTGTGAAGAGTTTCGAGCACGGATTCAATTAAGACTGCCCAATTATGTACAAGTATGTGACTCGTTCGACCAATCCCCCCTACCCGATCGACAACAGGGATTAATACAGACAATTATGGAAGACGTGCGATGCTCTAAATGCTTTGTAAGAAGAACGGGATGATATGTTACAGGGAATAATATTTTTTGACCAAACGTTTTACCTGGCCTTCAAACTAATACCGATTCGCACCAGGCGCCGAAGACCCTCCCCTGCTCACACCCACCAAATGCAGAAACCGAGACACTTCAACTCAACTTACAGAGAGACAAACACACACCATCCAACACAGTAACACTAGCCCCGTAGGGCCCGCCACACGTGTCGCCCAGTCCAATGTTCCCGCCGTCGAATATGTTGAAGGACCTTGGTAAGCAAGTCTGAAGAGGGCGCAAGTCGGGATTCGAGAGTTTCGAAGAGTGGGGGGTCTTGGGCAGCCTTGCCAACCCCGCAGGCGTAGGTAGGTTCAAGTCTCAGACCCCGGGGTTCGCGTGGGCAGCTACCTGTCAGGCAGACTGCCACTCTTGGCATGCTGGCGGCCTTAGTTGTTCGCAGGCCTTGGCGATCCCAACTGGGCAGGTTGAAGGGGCTGGCTTTGGGACTGCTGTTGTTGTTGAGGACGCTGTCCGGCGTTCGCGTTTCCGCCCCGATTGCCGTTGTTGCCATTGCTGCCCAGAGTAGCAGGTTGTACACCATTGCTGTTGCCGTTGTTTCGTCCAGCTCCGGTGTTCTGGTTTCCAGTGTTCTGAGTCTGGCCACCGTTGTTGTTGCCCTGGTTTTGGCTCTGGTTCTGGTTGCGGTTACCAGTGCCCTGATTTTGGTTGCCATTGTTACCCTGGTTTTGATTCTGGTTCTGGTTGGTGTTGGTGTTGGTGTTCGCGTTGCCGTTGTTGCCCTGGTTTTGGTTCTGGTTCTGGTTTCCACCGTTGCTACCATTTCCAATACCCTTGCCAATGTTGCCCTGACCATCGGTGCCCTGATTCTGGTTCTGGTTGCCGGTGTTCGTGTTGGTGTTACCAGTGTTGGTGTTGCCGGTGTTGTCGTTGCCATTACCATTGCTCTGGTTCTGAGGCTGATTGCCATTGTTGCCCTGGTTCTGGTTCTGGTTGGCGTTGCCGTTGTTAATACCCTGGTTTTGGTTCTGGTTTTGGTTCTGGTTCTGGTTCTGGTTCTGGTTCGAGTTACCGTTGTTGTTGCCCTGGTTCTGGTTGTTGTTCGCGGGTGGTGCGGCCGGGGCGTTGGTAACTTGAGGAGCAGCAGGAGCAGCACCGCCGTTGTTACCGGCGTTGTTGCCACCGCCAGGGGGAACAGCGGGAGTCACGTTCGCGCCCTCAACCTCCAAGCATCCGGTGGGACGAACAGCCTGAATCTGTGGCATACCAGCGGCAGCGAAGTACATGTCGATGTTGGGAAGGACATTGACGCAGCGGTTGTTGTTGATGGAGTTGACGTCCTTCTGCGCGGTGTCCGGGCCATTGGTAACCATTGACTGCAGGGTGTCGACGACTTGCTGGAAGGTGCCTTGGGTAGCGAGGACGTTGTTGGCTTGTGCGACCATGTCCATGCCCGTGAGCGCAGCGTCAAGGACCATCTTGTGGTTGAGCTCGTCAATCTCTGCATTGAGCGCAATCGTGGCTTGCTTGGTGAACTCGGCGCCGGTGAAGGAAGTGGCGCTGTTCAGGAACTTCGTGACCTTGCCAGTGTCCTGCATCCAAGACATGACGGCGTTCATGACCTGAGCGTCCGAGACACCATTGCGACCGGCGGCGGTGTTGTTCGCACCTTGGCTGGCTCCAGTTTGTTGACGATTCTCCAGGCGTCTGACGCCCCGAGCGAGATACCGTGAGTTCCTGTCCACCGCTCCGCCTTCCGCTGAGCTAGCAGTCGGCAAGGCGAAGACACAGGCAGACAGGAAAGAAGCGACGAGGAAGAAAATGACCGAATACTGCATTATGGCGGTGTTGTTGAAGTCGTGGATACTAAAGACTAGCTCGAGTGGACGAAGAAAGCAACACACGCACTAAGAAAAGACGGTAAGATGCAAAGGCGAAATAATGGTAAGGTGAGTAATAGTGTGGGTGGCCGCCACTAAAGGAAAGTGATCGAGTGGTGGGCCTTCCAAAGGCGTCCGACCATTCGCTGACACAAAAGGAAAAGAAGAGAAGGTTGATTAGGTGAGATGGGGGAGAGATAACGCGACAGAGATCGGAAAGAGTTCACCGGCCCGGAAACGTGGGAGGACGAACAGGAAGGTGGAAGGACTTATATCAAATGCCCGCAAGCAGAAAGATGTGGTTGAAGATGGAACAATTGAGACTGTGCTTGGCGCGTTGGACGAAATATTGGTCTGAAGAGAGTCATGGGTGAGGGGTTCTTGGGAGAGATCAGGCGCATCTCCGCGCTTGGGGAGTCGTGATGGATGCGTTCGAAGCAGACGAGATGTCGCGGCCAAGAACAATGTGTTGCAACGCCAAGGCGTGGGTGGCAGGGGAGCTGGTTTAAGCAAAGCAGACAAAGCAGAATTCTTTAGCTAATCATGGTTCTAAGAAAAGACGAGCAGAGTCTCACGGCCAATGGGATGGCTTGGGGACTGAGGGTATCGAGCAAAGCATGGGGGTCAGTGTGGATGGAAGACCTGGGGCGACCTGGGGCGGATCATAGACGAAGCATTATGTGAGCACGACAAGGATGGGAGAGGTTGAGACCCAGATGGAGTCATCAGGGGGGTTCGCGGTTTGTCTGCCGCAAATGCCCAGTCGGAGATTTTGCCCGGGTGGGCGCATGAGCCATTTGGCGATCATGAAGAAGAACGGCGCCAAGGCTCATTGGACAGAGAGGTCAGGCCAGACTGATCGAGTCAACACCACACTTCGCTGGCTTGAGAAGAGAAAGAGGGGGGGGAAACAAGATGGCTGTCATCTGTCTCGTAGAGTCTGTAAAGAACAGATGCTTCATGTTGCTCGATGAACTAGCACCATCCTGTCCTCCTCAGAACGGCACTTCCGGTGGCAAGGCGGACTTGGCCTCCCACTCGAAATCCGTTCTCGTCAACTCTGTTGGTGTGGTGGCCCCCATGGGATTGGACGTCGCCAAGTGAATGACGGAATTCGAGGCAGCAGAAAAGAGGCAGGAGGGCTACGTGATGCCAAATTCTCCCCAACCTTGCTGATGAACGACACCCTCGAGGACAGATCACCACCAGGTGTTACAACGCAAAATGTTGCACAGACGGCCCGTCAGCCTGTAACGGACTAGGCTGTTGCCCAGCGAAACCGAACAAGGCAAGACACATTTTAACTCATGCTATGAAGTTTCTGATGACGACACAAACATGTCCCAAGAAACCCCAAGGAAAAGGAACAGCAAGGCCCAGTTTCCAAAGAGTCGGAAGGTGGGTGAAGGGTAAGGTGACGATGAAGGCCAACAGGCGTTGGGCGGGAGGGGAGGGAAGGGCTATAGCAGGTCATTCTATGACTTGAGGTAAACGCAGAGAGCTGCAAGACACAGACGCAGAGCCGCCCGTGGACAAGCATTTGCCAAGCATTTCTTCCAGGTCGCACATCAGCCGCGACGAAACGAAAATCCTCTCCACTTTGACTTGGCAAAGAAGATCAAAACGGCGGACCGGGAGCCAAGGATCCGTCGTTTATTATGATGATCGCCCCCTCAACTATTGCGTCGTACTGAGGACTGCACATTGACGCGTGGGTCGGCGGCCTTTTACATGAGCGAGTGCGGGAAAGAGAGAGAGAATGCAGCCAGCTGCGTATGTAAGGCCCATTGCATAGTCACGTTTGCCTCCTCATCCCGCCCGGCCTCATCTGATGAAACCCCACGCGACCGGGCTCGAAACGACGAAACTCACCTCACACCGTCGCGCTTGGGTACGAAACCGAGGGACCCTGGTCTCGATTTTTCTTGTGACTGCACTTCGCCTCTCCATCTGCCTCATTCGGCTGCTTCCTTTCTTTCAGCCTGTGAACGAGGGCGCCTCTTGTCTTGACGTCTCTTGTCCTTCCTCCTCGGCAGCAGGATCAGTCAGGCCCGCCCCATCGCACCGTCGGAAGTGCCATGGTCCGATGATTAAGCCCGATGGATGCCCCCATACACCTTCTTCTCGGCCAGGAGGCATAGACATCAGCATCAGCGATTGTGCGGCCGGAAGAGGCTGGGAGCGGCGTCTGCCGCAGTGGCACTGGCTCGATTCCCTCCAGCCAAGTCATGCGATTGGCGGATGCGACTCCTCTTCGGCTGGGCGCTCCTCTGGGCGTCCGACCGCCCGACTGTCTATGAGACTCTGCCGGCTGAGCCGCCATGTGGCATGTCACCGTAATGTCTTGTCTTCCTTGCCATATATCCAAGTCGGTAGCCGCATCCCTTCCCGAAGGCATTAAGCTTACTTGGCCCTCGTCTGAATGCTGATGATCCCTTGAGTTGGTCGTTCCGCTATACAAACATCTTCCCCCTAGGACCCGTGGGTTTAGTAACGGTGTCTCTCCTTCCCTTCCCTTGTCATCCTCCTCTTTTTCTTTTTTCCCCTTTTTGTTTTGTTAACAGCCCCGGTGGTTGACCCTCGCTAATCATAATGACGCTCATGAAGTTTTCACTTTCTTTTCTGCTTGTTGGCTTGAGGCTTAGCTGTCCGGTCGTTGCTCAAGATCAACAGGCGCAATTCAATCAAGTCATTAACCTCAATGGGGATGTAAGTTATTAACCATTAACCTTTGGGTTTGCATCATCAAGTCAGTCGCGGGTTGGGTCATGGTGTTGACGATGATTGATGATCATGGCCCCGCCTCATCATGGGGTAACACTAACATGGCATCACTAGATGCGATTGAACAGACTTGTGTTCCCCGACAACTCCAAGATTGAGACATTCTCCCAGACGCAACGTCAAGTCATCGTCAACCAGAACCCCAACCCGCTCCCGGCAAGCCATGTCGTCGGCTCTACGGGACAGCCGTTCGTTCAGCTCTCGCGCAACTCCTTCACCATTCAAACGAATGGAGCCACCGACCTGGTGGGCGCTCAGATCGAGCTGCCCATTGACCAGAACATGCTGCAACAAGCTGGAGTGACCGCCGACAACACCTACGTCGCGTTGCTTTCTCGAGACCGCCAAGCTTGGATCATTCAGGAGAGCATCAAGAGCGTCAACATCACCGATGCGACCGTCCGCATGGTCAAGATGAACACGATCGACGGCGAGTACGTCGCCGTTGGCCGTCAGACTTCCGAGCTCGGCACGTCCCTCACCCCGTTCGGCCAGCCCGTCACTATCGCTGGATCTGGCATCCAAGAAGCAGAGTTCACCGACGGGTTCCGCATGTCCATCCGGGCGAGCCAGCCGATGAGCATCAAGACCGATGTCGTCAACGGTATCAGCACCGACATGGTCACTAATGGCATCATGTCCATCAGTAAGTCCCCTGGATCAGACTTACACGCCAAGTTGCGGAAGCTAACGCAAACATCGTAGACAACTACCGCTACCTCGTCACCAGCAACTTGGCTGGTGTTGTTCCTAGCCTCAACCAGATGACCGCCGTCGTCCAGATGCCGCGTAAGTCTAGCCCGAAAGAGCCAAAAAGCTTATTTTTCTTCATGGAATTCCGACTTACCGGGACCTGAAACAGTCAATGTTGACCGACTCATGGCTATGGCCATGCGCGCGGGCGCTTCGCCCCAGTCATCCATCACGCTTGGCATTGCCCAGCGTCCCGTTCTCCAGAACCCTGGCGGCGCTACCGGTGGACTTCAAGCTCCTCGCCAGAAGCGTCAGAACAATGAAGCCAACAACGGCACTGCTTCCAACGAGCCTAACGGACAGCCGCAGAATGGCGCCAGTCCCAACGGCGCTGGAACTGCTATTGGTGCTTCTCCCGCCGCTGGAAACCCTAACCAAGGTAACCAAGGAGGTAACAACGGAGGAAACACGAACCAGCCTCCCCAGGGCAATGGCAACAACCCGCCTCAGGGTAACAACGGAAACCCTAACGCGCCTGGCCCGGCCATCCCCGCTGCGACCCAGCTTCTGCTCGCTCAGACCTTTAGCCCCATCAACGCGCAGGTCCTCCTCGACCGAGAGAACGCTCGCATCGCCGTCCCCGTCGGCCAGATCGACGGTGAGTTCATCCTCACCATGATGGTTGGTGGAACTCCCGTTGGGACCCAGCCTCAGCCGGCACCTCAGCAGGGAGGTGGTATCACTGGTCAACCTCAGCAAGGTGGCCTCGGTGGTCAACCCCAGCAGGGTGGTCTTGGTCAACCCCAGACATCCCAGCCGCAGACTCCTCGACCGGCTACCCCGGCCCAACCCCAGCAGCCTGCCGCGGAGCCGCAACAGCAGCCTCAACCAGCGGCGCCCGCGGCCGAGCCTCGTCCTCAGCAGCCTGCGCCTGCTCCTCAGCAGCCCGCTCCCCAGCAAGAACCCAGACCTGCGACGCCTCCTGCTCCCGCTGTGCCCGCCCCTGCTCCTGCTGTTCCGGCTGCCCAGCCCCCTGCCGCTGCTCCCGCCCCTGCCGCTCCCCCCGCCGCGCAGCCCAAGCCCAACGGCCCTCCCACCGGCGGCGCCATCACCGGCAACCAGCCCGGCCCCGGCGGCGGTGCCATCACTGGCTCGCCTCCCCCTCAGCCTGGCCGTCCCGCTCGCAGACAAGAAGCTCCTCAAGTCCCCCCCACCGGCGCCATGGGTTTCGAGATGAAGATGGCCGACCTGATGGCGATGGCGGAGAACAAGAAGAACGGCGGCACCATGGCCACTTGGGAGATGATGACCAACTTCGTCGCGCAGCAGAAGTCGGCGGAGCAGAAGAAGGAGATGACGAAGAGAAGACGGTCGTTCCCGGTGAGACGACGTCTCGGTGGTGTGCATTTCTAAGGGGTAAACTTTTGGGTAGCATGGCGAATAATATTCGATGTGTATTCTTTTCATCATAGTACCCTCGG